AAAATTCATTAAAATTATTTCATCTCAAATTGTATCTTCAAAATTATCAATAATTAATAATTATTATGGTGATGAAACAATTGATTAGATTGCAAGAGATAAAAGGGATTAATGAATCATCGGATTACTTATTGGTCAATTGTTTAAATTAACTGTGATGATGATGAAAGATTAGTAAATTGTTACACTTAATCAGTTTTGTCGCAATTTATTTACGAGGATACGAAAAATGTTTTAAACCTTTTTTTTAATGGAAAGAGGATTAATTGTATTAATCATGTGAGGATTTTATCATCATGTTAATAGATTAAGGAAATGATGATGATTAATTCAATTGTTGATTCGTATTTTAATTATATCTTATCAATTCAATTGAATTGGTTGTATTACAATGTCTTCTTTAATCCATAGCAAGAGAAATTGTAAAGATTACAATTAATTGCTGATGATGATAATAGTAAGAGTAATGGAGAAGGTAAATTTAAATTAAGAGGAAAAGTAATTAACTGAATCATTCAAAGCATCGATGGAGATAGAGAGTCAACCTAACAGAAAGTGAGAGATGAACAGGAAGATGAAGGAAGAAAAAAGGGAAAAAATTGTCAAATTTATTTCTTTTTCTCTCTCTCTCTTTTCCCTCATATGTATAGAGAGAGCCTTTTAAATATCTATTTCCGTTTCCCGCCCATGGTGAAATGACCTTTACAGTAAGTCTTCATCTTTCCTCTCTCTCTCTTTCGGTCTTGCAACTAACTAACCAATGTAACGGCCTATTGAATGAGTATTAATATACAAGAAACACACGAGACTCTCGACACGGTTTCGCTAGCTCAGTTGGCCTTAATTGCCATTACCAATATACGGAGGGAGAAGTAGCAAGAGAGAGAGAGAGAGGAAGGGAGGGTTGAGGCCACTTCTCTCTCCCCAACTCTCTGTAACAAGCCTTGGGTGAAATATCAGCCTACGCCCAATAGGAAACGCGTTTTTTTCACAGAAAAAAAGTCAATCTTAGTCACCTCTAAGGAGGATTGAGTTTTGATGGTTAATCTCAGGTGATTCCCTTAACTATTAAACGGTATAACAAGTCACTTCGTTGATTTTTCCCTTAATTATAATCAACCAACGAATCGATATGCAAGAAGTTGACATTGATCAAGATCGTTGAATCTGTAATGATGTTTGCTTCTTGTTAATTTGAACACTTTTAATTGTGCCAAACTTTAACACCCTGTTAATAGTGATTATCATTTAATGACAATCAACGTTGTTACTATAACAATTTCAAATCTTATTTAAACTAAATTTAGCTCATCATTTGCCATTTGTGATCAGAGACAATGTTATTTCATTTATTAATATATTAATCATTAATGAATCAATGATTTACTTATTGTAATGATGATCATGAATTCAGTTACCATGAAAACAACATTTTCATAACAATGATAACTTTTTTTTTATCTCTGTAACAATTCAAATTGTTTTCAAGGGCTAATCAACGTATCACTAATTAGATTTCATGGTTAATCAATAGGTTTAATTACTATTATCAAAGTTAATCAAGAGAAACTTTTCTTTTTTTTTGATTATTTGCTCACAATTTGTTTTAATTTTATTCATAGTTTGCTTATGATATGAATGTTAATTGTTAATTAAATATTAAACAATATTGATTGTTACCATTGGAAACATTTGACAATATTAATACAATCAAATGAGTTTTAATTGCTTCAACTGTTTTTTTTTGTTGCCGGTTAATAACTGATTGTTGTATTGGTTAATCATTAAACAAATTGTACTTCCTTGAACTTTGCTTGATTAGATTTGATTGTAATATAATTTGCAAGTTGATTTAGTTTCTTGCTTTGGTCAAGGTTCAATTAGATTTTAATGAAAGATGTTGATTGTTGATGGTGCGAGTGTCATTGATGAAAAAAAAGCAAATTTAGCCGATTGGCACTTCCGTGTGGGTATTGGTGATCATTATCATGGAGATGATGAAGGTGACAATGAGGATGGTAATGGTCAAGGTTGAGAGAGAATCTGTGAGAAGATTTTTTTTACCTTGGGTGTTTTATCAGCGCGTATAAGTTAACACGTTGAGAGACCATCAAGTTTCCGGGTTTTTGGCGTTTTAATTAGTATTACATTATGATCATTATGTTGGTTCACCTTAGCAAACATCAAATAGCGGCAAAAATGTCACTCAGTATGTCACTTACCTGAACAACCAGTTCGAAGACGGTATTTAACCAGATGACTGATTCGTTAATTATATAGATGAGAGAGAAGAACCATTCTTATATTGATCAAATTAACGGTAAAACCTCGAGCTAATTAGCAAATGGAATGAACATCGAATTGGTAAAAATGATCTTATCCTCATTTACGAAGAAACTTTTTCTCTGTTCTAAAAGAAAAAAAAAAGTTTTCTAATGTTTTTCTAACGATGATGTTGATGATGATGATGATGATGATGATGTGTTTATTAACGAGACAGATTAATGTGTAAACTTGAGAAATGCATTAGAAGATCAGGTAAGAAAGAGAAAAAGAAAGATAAATGATGATGAGGATGAGAAAAAAAAATTTATCGGCGAAAGTAAAAAAAGAGCCTCATCATTATCATCACACAAACATACACACTAATCATCCGAATCATCGAAATGGATGAAGATGAAAAGATGATGAGGATGAAATAGATGTACAGAAATTGATGAAAGAAAACAAAAAAAAATAATCAAATATTTGATTCCATGAAATTTATTGGGTTTACCTTTTTGATTGATGGATGACAATTACCTAAACAAAACAAAACAAAGCATATAAAGACTAAGGAAGAAAGAGAGAGTTATCTTCTCTTTCTTATCATCATCATCATCATCGGATCTTTCTTGTTAGTTTTGTATTATTGTTACACATTATCATCAGAATTTGTAGTTTCTTTTACCTTTTTTTATCTGTTATTATCCTCATAGAAATTTAATCTTTCATTCTTGTTGTTGTTTTTGTTACCTGTTTGTGTTGATTTTTTTTTGATTGTTCAGTTTCAACTGACTGATCATGCTGATCCGAGTCTCATCATCATCTGAAAGTCAATTGTGAGTTGATTATAATCATCATTATCTAACCTGAGGCCGATTCGTTGATGATATAATGTTAAGGATAACATCATGTCGGTGGTTGATGTTTGTTATACACATAAGAATCTCTATGGCGGCTGAATTCAGAATCAGAATTAATCTTAATGATTAGAAAAATCATTCAATAGTTTCAATCATTTAACTTTTTTCTTCTTTTACACATAGTATTTAATACGTCAGGTTCACAGGTATTTCTATCTTCTTCATCAACATCTCATCATCCTCATCATCTTTTTCATCTTTAATATTAAATTGTTGATTGTTATTTCATCTGATTGGAGAGGATGAAAAGTTCTGTGTGAGTTTTTAATGTTATGTTGTAATTTTGATCACATTTTCACTTTGTAGATGATTTTTTATCTTTCATCTTTTATCTTCATCATCATCATCATCATCGGATCTTTCTTGTTAGTTTTGTATTATTGTTACACATTATCATCAGAATTTGTAGTTTCTTTTACCTTTTTTTATCTGTTATTATCCTCATAGAAATTTAATCTTTCATTCTTGTTGTTGTTTTTGTTACCTGTTTGTGTTGATTTTTTTTTGATTGTTCAGTTTCAACTGACTGATCATGCTGATCCGAGTCTCATCATCATCTGAAAGTCAATTGTGAGTTGATTATAATCATCATTATCTAACCTGAGGCCGATTCGTTGATGATATAATGTTAAGGATAACATCATGTCGGTGGTTGATGTTTGTTATACATAAGAATCTCTATGGCGGCTGAATTCAGAATCAGAATTAATCTTAATGATTAGAAAAATCATTCAATAGTTTCAATCATTTAACTTTTTTCTTCTTTTACACATAGTATTTAATACGTCAGGTTCACAGGTATTTCTATCTTCTTCATCAACATCTCATCATCCTCATCATCTTTTTCATCTTTAATATTAAATTGTTGATTGTTATTTCATCTGATTGGAGAGGATGAAAAGTTCTGTGTGAGTTTTTAATGTTATGTTGTAATTTTGATCACATTTTCACTTTGTAGATGATTTTTTATCTTTCATCTTTTATCTTCATCATCTCTCTCTCTCTCTCTCTTGCTCTTTGATTCGTACGTTGATCCGTGTCAAGGTGAAAGGCGGATATCCGTGATAATAGTAATAACTACAATATTTTATCAATTGAACTTGAAAAAAAAACACAGAAGCAAAAAAAATGCGCTAATTGTGATGGTTAATGATAGTTATCAGTAGTTTACATTGATTGGGACAACTTGAGGTCTGAATTGTCCGTCATCATCTTGATGATAAAGTTTTTCAATTGACACTGGGAATTATTATTTCCCATATTTAATCAGTTTTATTAAGGATTTAATTTGGTCACATTGGTTAAATTGTGAAAATGTTTTAAAAAATGTAAGACAAAAAGTGCAAATATTTAATGTTCTGCAATTGCAATTGATTGGTAAATTGATTGGGTTGCAATCAAATGAGCAACAATAATGACAACAAAAAACCAGAAAAAAAATCAACAATCAAAAAATTAAAGAGTTGACTTAATTTTGGTTAATAATTTCATCAGGCAATTGTTAACAGTTAACAGTTTATTGATTAAGTTGGTTTGTTGGTCTCAATGATGATGTTAACTATTATTATGTGAAGATGATGATGATGATAAAGGGGGAAGAGGTTAAACCATGGAAGAGAGTAGAGACTTCGTTCCTTTCGATTCAAAGGAAGAGGAGAAAGAGAGAGAGAGAGAGAGATTAGGTAAAGGAAGAGGGCGAGTCTGAAGATCTACAGTCAAGTGAGAGAGAGAGAGAGAGAGGAATGAGTGAGATTGATGAAAAGGAAGAGGGCGAAGTCATAATAGAGCACAGAAAGAAAGGTAAGAGAAGATGAAGATGGAAAAGAGAGAGAAAAGAAAGAGAAAAGAAAGAGAACTAAAAGGAAAGTGTAGATGGCGCTGGAAGAGGAAGAAAAGTTGTTTCTCTTTTTTGAGAAAAAAATAATTTAAGGTCAGTCAAAGACGGATGGAACTTGTGTTAACTTCAACTCTTACTCGACTTCTCGTCTTGATTGTTGTTAAATTTTCTTCATAAATTTCGTTGATTGTTGGAGTCACATTTTTCTACCTCTACTTGAATATCTCCCCCTTCTCGTGGCCCTTCCAATTCCAATTTAAAGTCTTCAATTTCTTCTAATGGAATTTCTGTGAATTCGAATTTCTTAATATTTCTATTCTTCTTTTTCTTCTTTTTGTTGGTCTTCAACAATTAATTGATTCATTTTCATCTCTAAACCAATTGTTTTATTTATTCTTCATCATCATCATCATCATTACCATTTTCTTAATTTCTTATCTGTTCTCATCTAAAATTCATCATCACCTTAAAAAACATTAAATCAAATGTGCAAAATGTTACCATTTTTTTTCCTCCAACTATTGTTACGATTCACTGAATCTTGTTCATCTCGATCAACACCAAAACCGAGGATTCCAACCTCGTTTAATTCACTAACCCCTTCAACCACCCGACCCAATATAACCTATCAAACATATGCCTGCCCCGAGGCATATGCAAAATGGTATTGTCTTAATGGTGCAACATGTTTCTCAATTAGAGTAGGTGAATCTATTCTGTATAGTTGTGAATGTGCCCATGGATATATGGGCCAAAGGTGTGAATTCAAGGATCTTGATGGTTCTTACCTTCCCTCACCTTCAGCTTCCACCTCAAGGAATGACAAAGTGACCATTGGAATGGCCAATGTGGCCGGTTTTTTCACTTTAACTGTAATCCTAGTTATCTATGTTTATATTGCTTGGACACATTTTAATAGTAGACGATCATCATCATCAACAATTCACCGGCGACACCAGCAACATCAACTTCCCACCCTAACAACATAACAAATGACAATTGAAATTTAACTTGACCACCAGGAAAAAAAAAGATTCAACATAAAATCAAATCATAATTTTATTGATTCAATTTTTTTCTTTCGGTGTTAAAAGTGAAGTGAAAATTGAAACTTGACCGATACCAATATAAATTGCTCCGGTTTATACTTTTTCTTTTTTTTGGAGACGATGAAGATTCACATCATCTTGTTGTAGAGTTTAAACCAAAAGAAAAAAAAAAAATGTTATCCCAACAAAAATCATCATCATCAATCAACTCGACAACAAAAAAAAATTCATCAACTATTAACTTACATCTACTACAATCAGAAAAGAATCAAAATTAAGCAGCAGAAAAAAAAGAGAAATTAACATCTTTTATGAACAAAGGAGATTATAATTGAATAACTAAACAATTTAATCAATTTGGTATCGAGTTTAAATTGTTGAATCTGTTCAAACTGTGATTTAATTTCCAAAAACCTTTGAGAGGTTTTTTTTTGGAAACAAAATGATTTTGTCTTGTCACAATGTCGTTGTCTTTGAATTTGGCGCTTTTACCGTTGCTATTGGAAACCGTTGCCGTTGGTAACAATTTTGATTATTTGATTGATCAAAAAGTTGTGAACAAAAATTGCTCTTTGATTTTGTTGATTAGGTAAGTTAATTAAATCAATTTGAAAATTTTATTGATAGTTAAATGTTCAATGTGATGTTTGTTTGAACATTTTGCCATCTTTAAGCTAAGGATTTTGGTGGACACATGAGTTGATCATCATTAATCTTTTGCATATGTGATTCTAATGAGAAAATTTATCTTTTTAAATCTTTTGTTCACTAATCCCTTTTTGTCTTTTCTTTTTTTTGTGTCTTCTCTAGAATAGAATTTTCTTCTCACAAGTTATTATATTGTATTAACGATTTGGACCCAATCAAAGAGATAAACCGAAACAGAATCAGAACCAGAAGCAACTATGAGTGAAAGATATAATATCCATTCTCAACTTGAACATTTACAATCTAAATACATTGGTACTGGTCATGCTGATTCAAGTAAATACGAATGGTTAGTTAATCAACATCGAGATACCAATGCATCTTATTTGGGCCATTTTGATATAATTAACTACTTTTCTATTGCCGAGAATGAGTCAAAAGCACGAGTCAGCTTTAATCTAATGGAAAAGCTTGTTCAACCTTGTGGACCACCACCAGAAAAGATTGAAGATTAATATATTATAACTATACATATCTATAAATATACAAACCAAAACAAAAAGGATTGTTGATCAAATGTTATTGTGTCACCTTATTATCATCATCATCATCGCCATCATCATTTCTGATGATTATCATGAAAAAAAAGACATTGTCATCCTAGCTTATCCTAACCTTCAAAGGTTTCCAAGGATCCTAAAGTTATTTAAATTTTTTGTTTACTATTATTAATACAATAACTACTACCACTACTAAAGCTTAAGTACAAGAGTCAAAGATACTGTATAGCCTGAAAATTGATTAAATATTTTCTAAAAAATGGCAAACCCTGTAATCAATTACTTCATTCATTACTAATTTGAAAGAAACATTAATTTCCAGAAAACCAAACAATCAGGATAATTAATCGGATCGCAAGGAGTCAAAGATCAACTGGACTTATGCTGATGAAATGATTATTCAAAAGATGAACAATTTGTTATACATTTAATCTCATCAATTTAAAAGTTACATGATCAACTTAATTGTAAAAAAGTGATTGGATTGGATGATGAACCATTGATGGTTTAATCAGTGACAGAATAGGAAAGATTTTGAAAATGGATTAAGGAATGAAAAAGATTAACGGATCAAAGAAATGAGAGAGATCGAAAAGAAAGAGGAAATTAATGGTGGGCTTTCGAGTGATTAAAGTCAATTAATTGGTTAAAATTTCGCTACTTGAATTGTACCACAAGCGATCGCTGATCCAGAATTACCGGTTCTTTTACTTTCAAGGTCACCGGAACGTCCTAAATCATCGGGTTTCTCAGTAATCTATTAAATGATTAAAGGTAAGAAGTTAGATGATTAGTAATAATAATTTGGAGAAAGAAGAAATTATCAACAATTAAGAAGATTAACTTACAACAATGGTTCGATTGAAAACTGAATAGCCTCCCGTTAGACTGATTATTTGATCTGTCAGGTCAAAATAGGCGATTCCATCTCGATCGGCAAAGATATTACCCAAATCTCCAACATGGCGGATCCAATCATGTTTACCACCATGTTCAGTTTTCTGAGGATTATAATGATCACCTCCTGATGAACAATCATTTCCAGTCAATGGCTTCTCAAGAACATGCATTCCATGAGCACCCGGAGGAAGACCAAGAATTTTTCCTCTGATAATCACATGTTCATTTTCCTAATTTCAACAAGAAAAAAAAACGATAATTCAGTTAATCAATCAGGTCTGTATTCAATTGTTTATTTTAAACGAACCTCTTGCTCGAAATTAATTGTTCCTGTTACTTTATTGTCCGATCCTCTAATTTCAGCAACTCCACGAGCCACTCGATGATTTGGATAAGGAGGATTAGATGGATAAGAATATGGATGACCTGTGGACGGAAAGTAATTAGCCCCAGGGGGAAGGACATAGTTAGGGTACCTTGGAACCCAACCAAACCTATGGTCAAAAGTAACGGTACTATCGGCGAAATTGGCTGGACCCGGAAGTAAACCGTATTTGGTATCAAAGTTTGATATCGGAGGCTGACCGGACATGGATGATGGCCCAGAAAGAGGGGATTGGGATGAAGGTGATTGTTGTGGTGATCCGGATGATCCTTGACCAGAGGGAGAAGAGGATGAAGATGAAGATCCAGGAGGAGACATTTGTTGTGATGATGGAGGAGGAGGAGGTGGTGGTGGTGGGAGCATTGATTGAGAGAGTGGAGGTAAACCTTGGGACATTGGATTCATGGGTGATGATGACACTGAAGTTGAATACATTTGCATGGATGATGATGGATAAGCGGAAGTGGGATAACCTGTTGAATAGACATTAAAAGTTGATACCGTTGATGATTCATTGATTTAATTGGTTGAAAGTTGATTAAATCACTTACTTGGTGGGTAACGTTCACGGTAATGTCTCCAGTAATTGTTTGCATCAACCAAAGGGTCAGCTGAGTTTACCATTGGTCTATTGGGGTCATAATATTGTCCGGAATTGTAAGGGTAACCAAATTTAGATCCATAGTTAGGACTATTTCCGTAGCGATATCCAAAACGATTAACTGATTTCACAGATAAACAAGACGATTAATTGATTGTTAAGAGTTTCTTTTTGATAAAAAAAACTTTTCCTTACTTGATGAAGTCGCTGGATAAGGATCGTTGTAATACTGACCATTGGTCAAACAACAAGAAAGACAACAAATTATAAGGTGAAGAGTTAAAGTTTTACAAATATTGGAGTAAATTGAAAGGCTCATTTTGATTAAATTTCACTTTAATGTCATTAAACTTGATGATTAAATTGTTTGAATGGTTTTGCTGATGGTGATTAAATTAGTGTTGGTCAAATATTAATCCAGTTGGTATATTTTCTAGTCACTAACTAAATGTTATCACTTTAATGTTAAATCACAAAATGATCTGTTGATTAACAAAATTGTTGTATCATGATTATCAAATTATAAGGAAGAGAGAGAGAGAGAGAGGAAGACCATTATTACAATTAAATGATGATGATGATGATGATAAGTTGAATAATCATCTCTCTCATCATCATGATCATCCTTGGCCTGAGTGATTTAATATAAAATAATCGGGTAACTGTAAATCCGCTGTGGATTTAATTGTAATCAAAGTGAGTGTGATATCAGAAGTGAATTAGTTGATTATTGTTATTCTCGTTTTCCTTTATCATTATTATATATTTAGTAACAACGACACTTGAAATTGTGTAAAGTTAATTGTTACCGTTGTCCATTTATTATCATGATTATATAATTGGACAATCAATCTAAGTGCAGATTATGAATCAGTAATCGGTTGGGTTAATTTAGATCAAATTTTTTCATTGTCACTTTAATTCAATTCAATTTACCTTGATCTTTCGTATATTAAACCTTTAATTGTTTGTTATTATTACATTTTTGGATCTCTATTAAAAGTTACAAATAATTAAATCATCATAATTAACCGGTAATTTTACAATAAAAGTTTTAATGTTAATGAACTTTTGTCAACTTAATTTATATGAAGATGATTTTTTTTGCTTTTAATTGTTGTTGGTCATTTAAACTAAACAATTAAATGCTACACATTTGTCTTGGGGGAATTGGAAATGTATTAAATACAGTTAATTGTAACAATTTATTAATAATGTAGTTAATTTCCTCTTCTTTCTTCCGGGAATGTTACTCTAATCTCCTAAATTAACAAAATGTTAACCACAATTAACTAGACGTTGATTGTGGTTAACATTTAAATGCCGTTTATCCGGTGGACTAGAATTGGATTTCACATGTTTGTTGAATTCGTTGAATTTGTTGGTTCAATAGGTGCAATTATCGGCGGGTATTGGAATGGATTAGTACATTTTCGAGGTAGTTTGGGACAGTGTGTTATACAGACCAACGGGGGCATACACATGAAGTCTGGCTTTAGTCCACCTTTAACATTGAATTCACAAATCGCACCTTCGTCCAGCACCTTGATACAAGCTGGACAGCAGCCACAAAATCCTCCATCGGCTTGATAAACTGTCCCTTTGTCACAATCTTTATGAAGGATTTCCTTACATTTAACATAATCGCAAATATTTTCAGTACAAATGGTTTCGCTGGTCAACTTCATCGCGTTGGTAGCATTGATCGCTTCTGTCACATTGGCCACATCGACCGCTCGCACCATAGCGATTACGATGATCAACATTGAATAACAAAGTAAAACTTTCATCTTGACTTTTTCATCAATAATAATCGTTGAAAAACAAAACGATTACCTTTTTATACTAAATTTTTTTCTTAATCGTAACCAATTAGATTTACCTAATGTATTTAAACACTACATTAACTTTGATATCTAATTAGTCTTGGCTTTAATAAGTATTGATTGATGACAGTAATTACATTTAATTGTTGTATTATTATCTATTCTTGTAGAATTTTTTTTTTACAAAATTTACTTCGATTACAATAAATGATTAATTCATGTACGTTATATTATTGTAATTGTCATGTCAATTATGGACTTTGGGTTTTGTCAATTGATGCGACAAAATCTCCACTAGAAGCACAATCGTTGCGACTCCTAATGCGATTTCCCAGCTAACGAATACAACTTTACACCCGTTAAAATTCAAGGGCTGAAAGTTAATCATATGCATTTCTGACTTTCCATAGGAAAAATATAGTTGATATGGTTTGATTCCTAGAACTGAGCTTGTTAAAAGTTCATTAATTATCCTTCGTAAGTCTTGAATGAAAATGTCTCCTTGAATCTGCCTGATCGATCTGATAGAATAATAAAGTTTATAATTATATATGATTATCGTTTGAACGATTAACTTACAATTTTTTAATCCTTGATCTAATTTCCTCTGCGTCTTTAGCTGGATTCATGAGAAATGCTTCCAATGCCCGATGATAAGGTTTCGTCGATTTATACTCATTCTTAGCGATACTCGAACCTAAAGATTCTGATAGTTTCCTAACAACTCGAGCGATTTCATTGGAACAGAAATAAACTGCCTCATGGCCCATTTGTTCAATAATACTTGTCGAACTCAATGGAATCGGTGATGCAGTTCCCTTTTTTTGACCTAAGTCATAAATTTTCGTATAATCTGTATTGACACCTTCTTGGAACAGCTCGAAAACCGATTCACCCTCAAGCCATAAAGGTTTTTTATCCTGACTGATAACATCTTCCAGTGTGTTTATCTTTGCCTCGTCATTGCCGACGATGGTACTGGTACTGAATATAACACCCAAGGTTATGGTAAATAACATGATCGCAATAGTTTGAACGGTTCGTAGCATAGATCGACCTGGAAGATATTGACTAAATACAGAGCAAGCGACGGTATTTAGTGCTTCAAATAATGATGAGATTATTGTATCACATTGATTATTTACTCCGTTTTTATTCAAATAGATGACCAAATGGTTGATTGTCTCCAGAATAAATATAAATGCGGACATTGTTAACCAAAGAGTAAGATTAATTGTCTCCAAACTTTTTACAACATCCTGAGTGACCGAGGTTGATGTCCAAGGAAATGAATAGATGTGATAAGCATCATCATGAATAACCGGACTAAAGTTACCTGGAGGATTTGGTATGTCCAGTGGTAAAGGAAGAAAACAACTATCAATTTCCTAAAGCAAAGACAATTAAAAGGTTATACAATTTAATCAGCTCATAATCAACATACTTGACGTTGTAACATCCCAAGAACTCCGGTTTTATATCCAGAATCGGACAATTGTCCAAGTGTCTCATCAGGTGATGTTTTTAAATTGATCCTTTGATTAATGTATTAACAATAATAAGGTTAACTTAATTGATTAACAACAATTAGCTTATTAACTTACTCGAAATTACCTGAACGACCAATAGTATTTAATAGTCCACTGAGTGTTTTCAATGCAGGTCGAGTTTGTCCATTTTCCTTGATAAACATTGCTGAAAATACAAACTGACCAATTGAATAGCCAAAGAAAAGTTGATTAATTACAATCAATTTACTAAAATAATTGTAAAACTTACATTGAAAGCACCAATGGTTAAATTTAATCTCTTTTCAAACATATTGAAATTGTTGTAAACTTACAATTAATTGAAACTATAAATAATGTAACGATTCGTATCAATTAGTGTCTTTTTTATCAATCAATTTTTCTCATCATATCAATTGTATTATAAGTGGAATTAAATTTCCTTTTATATTACAATAATGAGATCACTTAGAACAAATTTCAGCTCCCTCTACATAACCAAAAAGGTTAATTTCTTATAAAAAAAGGTGAACTAACCCTTTACCTTTTCCAAGCCCAAAGACACCAATCCGGTAGGGAGAGACTATGAAAAAGTTGTTGCTTCAAGTAAAATCACTACTGTAATACAATTTATTTGATTCAAAAATAAAATCAATCAAGTTTTGCTTGAATTACTTTGATCATTTAATAACAATAAGCGAGTATCAGAATCAGTTTATTGTTATTATCATCAAATAACATCAATCAATAATGTAAATTACAGATTGTATTTGTAGTAAACACTCAGAACTATCATATTAACAAACTTTATCATATCGAGAATTTAAATATCTATGAATATGATCAATGATTTTGAGTCAGAATTTATCATGAAAGGCACTCTAACTGTGTTATTTTCCCGCTTCGAAGACTTGAATTGAAATTTTCGAGCATTAATAGTCTGAAGCTCAATATTAACAAGGAAAAATTGTCTTAATCAATTGTGTAGATTGATAAAAATACCGATGATTAAACTATTTTCACAGTAGTTGCTATGCGATTACTAAATCAACTTGATTGTTAAAGTAAATTAACGATTAATTGTCATACTTAAGCCAATTAGCTGAGGCTTATAACTTACAAGATTACATCATAATTGTTACCAATTAGACAAATCAAAAAGATGATTAATGTATTAGCTTTTCATCAAAATGAATGTAATTGTGATGATTTAGTTTGGTACTCCAACTAAGGTATTCAAATTGCTTAGATTACTTTAATTACCAACAATCAGGATTTAATTGCTATTCGAGATAGTTTTTACTAAGAATTCTTGTTACACGATTAGCTATTAACCCATTTAATTGTCCATTGGAACAATTTATTTAACAGTATTTGTAAGTCCTTTGCGTTAGAGTGAAAACAATTGAAGATAATTCATCAAAATGTTAATCAATAAGCAATCATTAACACCGAAACTAATCAATATCAATCACTGAGAAACAATTCTGGGGATGGTGTATTGTTCACATAACTAATTGTTCTGATTAATGATGATGATTAAAAAAGCTATAGTATAAAAAGCACAATATCCGAAAGCAATTTCTATCAATTGAATCAGTTGTTTTTCCAACAATCAAGAATCCAAAATGAAAATCGTACTTTGTTGTTTAATCTTAATCATCTCAATCGTCGCCAATGATGCAATTGTTTGCACTCCAAGTTATTGTGCGACAGTTTTGTGTAAACAAATAGGACCAAACGACTGTGACCCAGGGTCAGTTTACAAGCCCAATGGCGGATTCTGTGGATGTTGTCCAGTTTGTATTGAACAGTTAGGAGAAGGTCAGTCTTGTGGTCCAAGTTTGATGATCAGAGGTGGACCACCACCGACCTCAGAGTGTAGATCACCGTTGGTCTGTAAATCATTCAGTCCAAATGAACCTCGAAAATGTACTTACCCTTATCAATCCCCACCAATAATTGGACCAACTTATCCAACACCAGCCCAACCAATTTCTGACTGTTCATCTGATTCAAATGACGCTATCATCATTATCGATCAATTCTAATACAGCAATTAACAATCTAATTGTAAAGAAATACTTTATTCTAATAAATATATAATATGTAATTCAATCACTTTCATTTTCATTTATTGTACCAATCAAAGGATTATTGAACGATATTGTTTTGATTAATTGTTACAATCATTGTGTTTACTTGGGATCATTAAAAAATAGTCTCAAGAAATGAATATTAATGAACCAGAAAAGTTTATTAGATTAGATTTGTTTGCTGTACATGACATTTGATATCATTAACAATTTACTAATTATCATCTCCATGAAAAAGGTAATTAGTGTGACGATTAACAAATATCCACAAACGATGAAAATGAATCTACAACCATCGAGATTCAATGATTCAAATTTGATTTGATGATTATCCGAATCAACTTTGTCCAAAATCATTTGATTTTCATTAATTGGAAGAACTGATTCAGTTAACAGTTCGTTGATGATTTTTCGCAAGAATCTGATGAAAATGTCTCCCTGAATTTGCCTAGTGGCTCTGGAAGGGGAAAACATAAGAAAACTGATAGTTAATTATCATTGGAAAGAGTTAATCACTTACAATTCAGCAATTCTTTTGGTGATTTCCTTTTTGTCATGACTGGGGCTGAGTAGGAAAGCGGCCAAGGCTCGATGATAAGGTTTCGGTGACTTGTATTCATGTTGAGCGATAGTTTTACCCAATGCGATTGAGATTTTGTTAACTGCCCGAGCGATTTCATTGGAACAGAAATAGGCCAAATCTGGTTCCATGTTATCAAACAGACCCAATGAACTGATTGGTATTGGTGCTACTGTTCCCTTGCGTTTGGCGAGTTCGTGAACATCCCGATAATCGGTAGTAACACCGTGTTGAAATAGTTCAGCCATCGATTCACCTTCAATCCATAAAGGTTTTTTATTCTGAGTGATAACATCTCTCAGGGTGTTTATTTTTACCTCATCATTACCGACAATGGTACTGGTACTGAAAGAAGCACTCAAAGTCATCGTGAATAACATTATTCCAATGATTTGAACAGTTCGCAAAATTGATCGACCTGAAAGATATTGACCAAATATTGTGCAGCCAAAAGTGTTGATTGTTTCGGTTATTGATGAGATCAAACTGATTGATTGAGATGATCGGTTTAACTTTTCAACCAAATGGTTAATTGCTTCCAAAATAAACATCACAATTAAGATTGTTATCCAGAGTGAAAGGTCAATCGTCTTCAAACTCGTGGCGATGTTTTGAGTGGCCGATGAAGATGCTCGAGAAAATGAGTAAATATGATAAGAATCATCATGAATAACTGGACTAAAGTTACCTGGAGGATTCGGTATGTCCAATGGTAAAGGAAGGAAACAAATATCAATCTCCTAATAGAACACAATTAATTACCATTAACCAGTTAATCAAATTAAGAAACAAACCTGACGTTGTAACATCCCAAGGACTCCAGTTTCGTAAACATCTCCTGTTAACAGGCCAAGTTTATCCTCTTTCGATGTTTTCAATATAATTCTTGAGTCGAAAAAAAGTTCTCGAACAAATAATTAGTTCAATCTATTGGCAGTTAGTCGCAATTAACTTACTCGAAATTACCGGAAGAACCAATACCATCCAATAGCTCTTGAAGTGCTTTCAACGCAGGTCGAGTTTGTCCATTTTCCTCAATGAACATTGTCGAGAATCCAAACTAACAGAATAATAATAAGTAATCATTAGAACTCAACTCGAAACTAATTGTTACAATTAACTTACGTTAAAAGCACCGATGGTGAAATTTAATTTTCGCGATTTCAACATAACAATCAAATCAAAAGTTTTGCGATCTTCTCATAAACATTGTGATCATATAAGGAAAAATTGATCCAATGATTAAATCAGATTGTTCCTAGCGTGTAGGTTAATTGTTACAATCGATTGTGAATATTTATCTTATCCTTTGACCACATACATCAAAAGTTTCTAAGTAAACAATTAGTTACAAAAAAAAAGTTTATATCATCAATAACAAAGTAAATGAAGTCTTAATTCAACAATTTAAACAGATCAATAATATTTAATTATCTTCCCTTGTCCAGTAACAATTAAAAAAAAAACTTTCTTTGATAATGATTCAAGTATTTGTACCAATCTATTAATGATAACAATTTGAAACGATCAAAAAAACAACAGATTGACAAAGGAAAAAACTTTATTTCAATTTGACAAATGAAAAAAAAAGCCTTTACAATTAGTTAATTATCCTCATTTGGTGTAACAATCAGTGGGATATTCTGGGTATTCAATGGGATCATAGAAAGGGGGTGATTGGTAAGGGTCAGTACATTTGAGTGGTTGACCGGAACTGAATGATTTACAAACCAATGGAGGTTCACACTCCGAGGTGGGTGGTGATCCACCTCGAACTAAACTCTGAACTCTACCACCACAGAGTTGACCTTCTTTCAAGAGTTTTATACAAACTGGACAGCACCCACAGAATCCTCCATGTCGCTTATAAACTGACCCTGGTTCGCAATCCTTTGGTTCGAGGCCTCGACATTTAACTGAATTGCAAATGTCTTTCGTACAAGCGATTGCATCGGTTGAGATGATTGAAACGATCACAATTAAACTGCAAAGTATTAATTTCATCATGTTGACTTTTCTGTTATTACACTTGAACACAATTAACTAATCAATTGAAACTGTAATTGGTAAATGTTTCACTTCTTATTAAATACTCTTATAGTTATGATTACTTCATTCAATCATTTCCATGTCTTTATAATTGATGATTATTATTAATAACCAAATGTTAAGTAACAATTAATCTTCATCAGTTGATTACTTTCCAATCAATTTATTAATAATTGTGTGTAGTTGTTTTCAATTAAGTTTTGCAATTATTGTTACAACATTCAATGTCTAATGATTAACATGTATTGATAAAGCTGTTCAATCAGTAAACAAGTAAATTAATCAAATTAATTTCCTCGTTAATTATTAATACTTTTTAATTGTATCCAAACATTACGATCTCATATTAAGCAATTAATGGTTAATTTGTTTTCTTCATTCAATTTGTAAATTTTACTCGTAATCAGATGTCATTCAACAATTGATTTTGTAGTTTAATCAATTTTCACAGTTAAATTATCATAGTTTTCAAGAGTAATTAATTTGATTATTGTTCGTTGTCTTTTTTTATTAGTTAATCATTTAAATTGTTTGCACAGTTTCATAAGGTTGGGAGAATCAGCATTTAAAATGAAAAGTTAATTTAAATTGACAATTGACAATTTACAGCAAATTACATCATTTAAATTGATTGTATCAGATTTGAATTGAAACTATTTTCATTGGCAACGCAATTAATTTTAGTGTTTGACTTGTTGTTGATTAAAAGGTAAATGGGAATGATTAAGCTTTGATTATTAATTTTCTCGATTGAAATTGTGGCTCACTGGTTGTTGTTGTCGTTGTTGTTGTTGTCGGTGGTGAAGTTAATTGCCCTCCGGGCTTTGGTGTAACTCGAGCACATTGAGACAGCAAACCAAACGTGTATTGGCACGTTAACGGTGACTTACAGATCGCTGTCGGTGGTGAGCCTCCGGGCATAGTGCAAAGTTCACCATCGGTCAGTAGTTTAACACAACCACCGCCCTCACAACAGCCACAGGGCCCATAGAAAAATGAGAAAGCAAAGCCCTCCGGGCAACCGGTCGATGGAATCGGTGGACAATAAAGTGCATTGCAAAGGGAAGGGTAGAAACAAATTGGATTAATACAATCAACACTAATCAGTGAAATTGTTAGAATTAAACAGAACACAATTAACTTCATCTTTGTATAAGAATTAAAATCTATCATCAAATGTTGATCAACAATTAACTTTACTCTTCATTTTGTTAACTTGCTTTTATTTCATCGTTTTTATAAAATTTGTCCGCTAATTGGGTCAATCGGATGATTAATTGTACAACCAGTTGATTAGTTGATCACAGAATTATTGATCAATTTGAATAACAATTTATTACGAAATTCGTTCTGTGTGAAATTTGATTAATACAAATTACTTTTTGCATGCTAATTAATCAGATCAAATCACTTCAAAGGTAGAAGGAAGAGAAAAATTAATCTTCATTAAATCACATTGAATTGTTAAAAATATCAGGCAACAATTAAGAAATCACTATCACTATCATAAGGTTAATTAAGTTTTCCTTAGTGATTAGCGATTTACAATTTAATTTATAATTAGATTTGCCCATAACAATTAGACAGGATAACTAACGGAAATACAACTAATTTATTAATTGCTATTTTTTGTCAACTTGTTAATCAACAATCAAAAATAATTGCTAATTATATGAATCTTAAGTCTTTCAATTTATTTATTTACTGGAACAATTGATTAAGGAATTGCTGTATTACCCATAATTAATAATTTACTCACGATAAAAGTGTCACATTAAATATAGTCAATTAATTAGCTAATCAAATTAATAATATTACTTGAAATTTTCCTGACTTGTTGATCAGTCGAGAAGAAAAAGTTATCACAATCAATTTATTACGATAATTTAAATTGTGTAAAGTTCAGAGCAAAAGTATTGGGAAAAATTAGCAAATCACATGTATAAATTGCGCTAAATTAACTTGATTCTTATGGTGAAGGTATTCAAAGGTAAATCGAATGCAATTTTGGCTCTTTGATTGTTGGTCAAGTATCAAGATTGACCCTCTTCCAATTACCTGACATATCAACATTTACCATAATTAGAAGATTAATTGTATTCAAATGGGCCTTATAATAATTAGGATAATGTAATTACTTGATTCTTGGAGCTGGACACAATATTAATTAGTGATAGAAACGTTAAAATTAATGTAATTATTAATTTTTGCATCTTTCAAGGAGTTAAACAAATTTCATTGAAAAATTTAGTTTTACAGTTAACTATTTAATCTGCAAGTCGGTTACATTGACAATTAGCAATTGATTTACCTTACCGGTAACAAAATACTCATTAAATTACAGTTTTACTTTCAGTTAATTTAGTTTGCAACATAAACATTTTGTATTGATTTTCTTGTAATTGTATAATCATAATCAAGAAATGATATTTAAATTGTAAAATTTGATGATTTGGTGCAAAACAAATGGTAAAAATTAAGAAATTATATTCAGCTTAATTATGGTTAATTAGACGCTTAAATGGTGATCGCAATGTCAGGTCAGGTCTCTTGATAAGCTAAATGAATAAAAAGATGAACAAAATCAAATTAGAATTGATTAATTTTTCTATTAGGATTCGAAAAGGATTATAACAAGTTTGATTAACCATAGTAACAAGTTTCTGAATGTGTCATCACTTAGGTAAACAATCAACTGATTTGATAACAATTCACCTTGTTATTGATTAGCTTGAGAACAATTAATTACCTGTTGGTGTGTATCGACCTCCGTTTGATTTTTCATTCTCACTACGATAAACAAAATAACAGAATCCAAGAGTAACTGCCAATGCGATCGCACAAGCGATTGAACCGAAAATAATTCCCGTTACTTGACCAGGAGTGAATGAACCTAATTACAGTCAATTAGTTTACAATTAATTGATTGTCAGGTAAACAAAGAGATGATCAATGATCATCACAAATGAACTTACCTTTTCTCTCACCCCTGAAGCTTGTGTAAGGATCGTAAGCACCTTGACAATTTGATTGATCAACTGAAAAGGTCGCAACTTAAATCAAAGAAAATTATATTTAATTTAGTGCTAAATTGTTGACGAGATTCAATTAGTATGATAAATCATTGATTACTTACCTAGAATGATGATTAATATAAATTTACTTGAGGTCAACATTGTTTTAAAAGTAAAAATGATTTCAATTCTTAAATCATGACTTGGAAAACTAATCAATCTAATTAAGCTAATTTCAAGTTGATTGTGTTAAGGTTTTTTTTGTCTGATTCTTTCCTTTGGTTAATTTTTTGTAAGAAACAATATAAAAAAGGAGATTAATTTATCTGATTATTAATGAACTTTTATATTGTTGCCTCGTAACCAACTGATAACATTAATTTGTATCAACAATCAGGCTCATAATTTGTGTTAACAATTAGATTAAGGGGAAATATTGAAAAGGAAGCAAGAAAATAAGTAATAAAAGGAGATGATATCAAGTTGATTATCTTAAAGTAGGAAAGACAATCGATTCATATGAATAAAAAGATGATGACAATTAAACTGGTTGATAAACAAGCTGATCAGTTGCCGATTGATCAATATTTCATCATACATTTACTAATTGTTTTACTTCATTAGACACTATTATCACCATAATCTTAATTCAGTTCTGTTCATTGAGTCAACCTGCCGAAAGATTATCCGACCAATGAAAATTGATGATTCTGGCCGAGGCCACATTTAATTGCTGTCACAATTAACGGTTACTGATGATATTTCTCAACACAAGCTCAATTGTCTTGATTAAAATTCATGAGTATTTCTTGGTCTCTCAAATTTTCCAGATCGATTCAAACTTACGAAAGAAACAAAACTCATTTGAATTGTGGTAATCGAAGATACTATTAATAGCTGTAATCTAATTGTTGCCACAGTGACACTTTTATGTGAACCCAAATTCATTCCTGGCAAATTAATCGTTAATTGTCTCAAATTTTCAGCTCAAATTAGAGGAGCTTATAAAGTTGTTTTAGATTATAATGACGGGAATACAGGATTTTACAGCGGATTAGGATTTAGACTAGAAAATGGACGTTTCATGGGACCAATTTCATGGTTCAATGTTTTTCGAATTGAAAAAAAACCAATTGAATTGTCAACCAATTTATTCGCTTTAATCTAATAAAGCAGAAAAATCGAGCACAAATAAAAAAGAAAATCGTTTTTCTTTTGCTCCGATTTTTATATATTGCATCAACCGCTTTTTCGTTATTTATACAAGTGCTTTTGGTTAGAGTGAACTTTTCGTCCAGTACCAATATCGTTTCAACTTGTATTGATTCAACTATCGTTCTCTAAATACAGTGACAAGTCTATTTACACCAATGGGTTGAAGGTTTTTGATAGATGATCCGATTTCTTATTTAAAAATTTAACAACTAGTCGATATTCATGGGTATCCATAGAGATATCGCTCTCGGTAGGCATAAAGTGAGTCTTTGAAGCTTTGGATATGTCGACCAAAAGGTTCCATGTCATTGTAACATTTGTCGAAAACTTTATCAACAATTGCATAGGCTTTCGAATGGTCCAAATCTGGAAGCGAAGATATCAAGGAAAGAAATGCTTTCTCTCGAACACATTCCTAAAAACACAGAAGAAAAATGGAATTAGAATAAAATTAATTGATAAATGAAAAGAATCCATGTCATAATGATGAGGTAAAGAACCTTTTGTGTGTCAGCCCAACGATAAATTGGTGTAGTTCCCTTGTAGATTGATCCAGGAATTGAACAGTGCATCAAATTAGCCGCTCTAATCTAAATGATAATCAAGAGACAAAAAACTACTAATTAATACCGATCGATTTACGATTAATTCATAGTTAACTATTTGGTTTACTTCGGTACAAGCGACATGTTCTGGATTATTGAAATCTAATTTTGCTCGACAGGCATCAAACATATGGATCATTTCGTGACCTATGGTTCCCATAAATTGACCTTTGTTCATATATTTATTGGAACAAACAACAATCTGATTATAGTAAACATCATAACCACCGGTCGTTTTCCCATTACAAGGCTCACAACTGAAATGCCGCCGATAATCAAGCTCACTGGATTCAGAATTAGAAAGAAAAGGATTAGCTCTCATATAAGAAGAAGGAATAATTTAAAAATAATTACCATCCATGAGCTTTCATGGCTCTTTCTAAAAGCTTAACCAAAGGATCTAACAAAAGAAATAAAAAAAACCATGAAAATGAATAAGGATTAGATTCCAAACCATCAGATTAACTTAATTAGTCTTTTGCTTACAATTCTTGAGGACACTTAATGTTCTGAATTCACATTGGTCTCGCTCTTGTCGTAAGTCTTTTAAAAAGCTCGTATGTCTAATATCACCACCTCGACGTTCTGGAAATAATTTCAAATGCTCATCAGTAACTGGATCCACATTGTTATATTCATCAGCTGATTGACTTTTATTTTGTTCACATTTTGTTTCTGTTTTTGGTTCATCCTTTTCCTTTTTTGGATCAGTTGAACTTTTCACGTTCGTGGACATAACCAACTAAAAACTCTCAGACTACAAAGATTAATTTTACACAATTAAAACAGAGAAAAACATTCGATTACATTAAGAAAACAATTTAAGTTAATTGACAAAAAAATGTGATCAAAATGTGATCAAAATGTGAGAAAACAAAACAACCAAAGATTAGAAAGCGACATCTCTTGGTAGACATTTCGATCGGTTGTTAATCAGTTTGCTCTTAAGTTTCACTGTTGATTAATTAAGTATATAAACGTTGCTCAATTGTCATGAAAGTTAATTGTTATTAATTCGTGAACACGCCTTCTACCAATAGTGACCTGAATGTTACCTTTTTTTCATCTCCATTGATTGAGGAAAAGTTTAGATGAAATAATTTATAGTCAATTCTAATGACGATTAAATGAAATAAGATCAATTGTTGATAAATAAAATGAAAATTAAACGAATCATTAATCAAGAATGACCAATGATCAAAGGGCAGATCTTCCCACATTGATTAAGTTCCTTAATTTTTGACCAACTCAACGAACATTTTGACATTCGCTCATCAAAAATATCGAAAAGTAATTGAAAGTGAAAAGAAAAAGCTACCTGATAATTAGTTTTAAAGATTATTATTCATCTTCAGTATGATAGAAATATTGATCAATTGATTATTTGAAAAATAATTGCGATTAAAATTTTTGTATCAAACTTTGAATCTAAGAAAATAATTTCATAGAGACAGTTAATCTTTAAAGTTTAATTTGAACTTGAAGTTAAAGAAGATGGGAAGAAGGTTCAAAATGAGATTAATAACAAACTCAGCAATCAATTAATCAATGATCAGTCATTTAAGGATTTTTTTTACAGAATTTGACCTTGAGCTGGGGTGAGATTATACAAGATGAATATTTAAATATCTTGGTGACAATTTAATCGCAATGAGAAAATTTTACCGTCATGAGGAGATATTTTATGCTCAATGTTAATCTTTGATGAAGCCAATCATTAATTATTCACGGCCTTTTTCAATTAGACCAAAATATTCATTATAAGCAGCTTCAACGTCTTCAGGCCGCCAAAAACAACCATCGACATCTTCAACACGATTAAACATTTCTGATAAAATCAACCAATTGATGCAAGTTTTTAATACGTTTCTCTTTTGAAGTATATCGAAAAGATATTTATGTCTTCGATTGATCGTGCAAACAGTGGATTCCCGTTCAATAGAGTGGCCTAAATGAGGCTTATCCACACCAGTCATCAAATGGATAAGTGGGTTGTGCTTTTCATCAGAATCTCGGGTGTGATTTTCATCATTAAATGTATGAAGTAACTGAGCAGATTGATCGTTTGATTCAATGTCTTTGATAGCGCGATCAAAAAAATCTTTATATTGAGGTGCGAAACAGGTATGAATGACATGTCGTTGAAAGGCCAAAACCGTATCGGGCAAAGTGAACTTCTGATCACGATCATCAAGAGTGTTCAACATATCCATGATTGTGTCCATATTACAAACGGTATCTTTTCGCCTTTTGATAACAATCTCTAGAAACGAAAGCTGGGCCCGATTAAGTGACATCTCTTTCTTTTCTGAACAAATGGAAGACCAAGATGAAGATGAAATCTCTTCGGTGTCTCTTCCACTTCTTGAATCAGTTTCCATGTTAAGGTGTTTAAAGGAACACTTGTTAATAGGACTAAACACAAAGAGCACAAGGAATAAGCAAAGTGGTTGTTGATTGTTGGTCGATTCAAATTGTCTAATTAAATCAAAATGACCTTAAATATATTCACATGTTTTTTGGTCAAAGGAAGTGGCAACTTTGTAAATTAAGAGTCTTAATCATATGGTAATAGAATCGCAATTGGGAGACGGTCCCTCAACTCGTTTTCATTTCAAAAATTTAATTTTCCTTTGTCATTGTTTTATTGATTTCGTTTAATTTCATATTTGTAATTTTGTTATTTTGTTAAATTCTAGCCTAATTATTAAAATGGCCGATCAACAACAACAGCAACAACAATCACAACCTCAACAGCAGCAACAACAACAACAGTCTAGCAAAGGAAATAAGGATGAGTCAGAGATTGATTTTATTCTTGAAGAGGATGATGATTTTGAAGAGTTTCCAGCTGAAGGTAAATGGAATCTAATTTGTAATTTAAATTAATTGTCTATTGTAATTAACACTCTAACATTGATTATTATTGTTCTTTTAGATTGGACCGAAAAGATTTGCCAAGATCCTGAATTCACCATTTGGGATGACAACTGGGAAGATGATAACACCAATGATGATTTCTCTAACCAGCTCAAGTAAGTATAAGCTATAAGATGAAATGATTTAATTGTTTAAGAATCAATATTCAAATTGTATCAATTATTTTTCTTTTTCTATTTCACAGAGGTTTACTAATGGAACATAAATTCCAATAGATGTCATATTTTCTTCCGGGAACATTTCAACTCTTTCTCTGTTTCACCTTTAACTCTAACCTCTGTCAATTCACTATTAACAGTTACTCTAATTTTCATACAATTAACCTTTTCCATCTCAGTGTCCTTGTTGGTTAATTGAATTCCTTTTGTACTCCATAACACAAATTCTATCGAGAAACGATTAAAATGATTTCTTAATCATTACAAACCCTTTCATAGGATTTACCACCATCGCCATCAAAAGATCAACAATCGTAGATAAACAAAATTACAAAGTTTAATTGGAATCACCTTAATCAATTACATTTCAATTATTGATTAAACCTTTTTTCCTATTATCAAGTAATACCAATTGATTATAATATTGGTGAACTAAATGATATACATATTTATATATTTATGAATTTTCCTTATGATCATAAAGGTATAAGAAAATTAATCCAAAGGAACAGTTAATTGAAGATGACCATTGATTAATCCTGAAGAATGAGTAATAATTGCAATGAGTATATTTATTAATATGCATTAAAATAGCCGATGATTAAGTTTAATTGTTCAATCTGTTTTCGGTTTAGCTGCTTCTCTCCGTCTAACCTGGACATGGACAATTAAACGACAGGTAAGCATTAACATGAACACAATTGATGGAGCTGTTTTTTCAAATTTATCCTTGACCACAACATGAGTGTACAAACCGAGAATAGTTAATATGAGAAGAATCCAATTAGCTAATTGTTTAATTCGCCCCGGAATTATGGCTAATGTTAGACCAGCAATAATCTCGGACCAACCGACAATCAGCCGATAATATTTAGGTGACACTCGAAAACCGGTGATATTTGGAAGAGGAAATACTTTGGCATATCGAACATAATTCCGACGTATCTCTCGGTGCATATCACGATTAACTGATGGTGACACTTTTAATGTACCAATTAAAAGGAAAAATAATCCAAGAAAAATGGATAATGTTGTTAAGACAATTGACTTCATCTTGATTGTTGACCAAGAAGCAAAAACCATACAAACAATTCCCTGGATTGGTCAGTGAGACATAAGCTCAATGAAAGATGATTTCAAGATTGAATGGACACACAATTAATGAGAGAACATTAATTGCTTGGAAAATTATTCGATCTAAATAAAAGGGAGAGAGAAAATGATATGATGGTGATGAAGATGAATTGATTAGTATATTTGGTGAATAATATTATCTGAATGGTGAAGATTCAATCGGATTTCTGACAGATTTACAATCTATGGGGTTGGAGAATCAGGGAAGCATATTAATTGGTTAAATTAGAAGAGAAAATAACAACAATTAGTTGAGTATCCAAAGAAACAGGGATTGGGTTCACAACAGAAATAAAGGCGAGAATCAATTTCCTTTTTTCCTTTTTTTCTTTCGAGTTTGTTACCAATGTTACATCAGAATCGAACCTTCCCAGTCTTTCTTTTCTTCTCTTTCTTTATCTTCTTCTTCCTCTTCATCCTTTCTCTTTCATCTTTCTTCATTTTTCATCCTTCCCTTAATCTCCTTTGGCAATACACTTTATCCCAATTCGATTTCATGTTAATCTTTTACAATTGTTTTCCTTTTTCTGTAGCTATCGATTGTTCATTTTACTTTTTTTAACGATTCGAATTGTTAATTTTTGATTCAATGTAGAAAAATTGATTTTGACACAATATAAGTTAATTATTGAGAACAATCAACATTTCTCATCGATTTTTTTTCTTTCTCTAATATTACTCAATATTAGAATTGAGAATAATGAGAAAGAACCAAATTAATGAGAAAAAAAGTTGATTGTTACTTTTGATTGATTGAATTCTAATCATTTAAAAGACTGAATTTGTCTAATGAACTTTTCATTTCTCTTCTCTTCTTATTATCAATATTTTCTTGTAAAATGGGAAAAGAAACGGAAACAATTTCAATGATACAATCTCATTGAGAACAATTTAAATCTAATTTTAATCAAATTCTGGCGATGATCAAATGATTGAAATCAAACAAATTTCATTGGAATAAACATTCCATTGAACTTTACTACTTAACAATACACCAAACATTTTAGAGAATTCAAGAAAATTCATAAGATAAAAAAACTCTACAATAATGGCATTAGAATCCAATTAACAGCAATTAGAAATTAATTTGATCAATTTTTTTGCGAAAAAACAAAAAAAATTTGGTATTTCGATTAATCGATCTGTTCGATGTATCGATTGAAGAAAAAGCTTCAATTTGAGTAAACAAACTTGGAGTGAGAATGTTTGATTTTCAACAACAAAGGATCTTGAGGTTGAATTTGTAATTAGTGAACAATTGATTAGGTGAGTGACTTTTTGATTTCAATAATTGTTTTGTTAGGAAATTGACGCCATGTTTAACAATCTGAGATAATGGTTGAAGTAAACACTTGATTTCCTAGATTAATGTGATTGTAATGATTACTAAAACTTTCCGATGAGCACAAGAAGCAAGAAATTATCTTGTGTACAGATACGAAGTGAACATTTTTCTTAATTAATTTAAACTAATTCTTCATCTTTAAATTATTTCCATTATTATCTCTTTTCTTTTTAGTTAAATAAAACTTGGACCCAATCAAAGAGATAAACCGAAACAGAATCAGAATCAGAAGCAACTATGAGTGAAAGATATAATATCCATTCTCAACTTGAACATTTACAATCTAAATACATTGGTACTGGTCATGCTGATTCAAGTAAATACGAATGGTTAGTTAATCAACATCGAGATACCAATGCATCTTATTTGGGCCATTTTGATATAATTAACTACTTTTCTATTGCCGAGAATGAGTCAAAAGCAAGAGTCAGCTTTAATCTAATGGAAAAGCTTGTTCAACCTTGTGGACCACCACCAGAAAAGATTGAAGATTAACACACAGAACAATCAACTAATCATCATTACCATCAAAAGTCAATATCACATAATCAGTAACAATTTGTTCTATTCTAAATTTTGAATTAAAAACAATAAACTAAATGGTTAACCAGAATTAATGTTTTCCTTTGTTAGAAAATGAAAATTCAAATGTGGCGCCAAAAGAAAAAAAAAGATTAACTTTTCTTCCCCCAATTAGAGGAGCAAACAAATAAAAAGACGCCCAAAGATTAACAATTAAATTTCCTTGGTGTTTGTTTTGGTCATTAATCAACAATTGATCTGAATTTTTTACTTACTTTTCTTTTGTTTTAATTGCTAATTACTACTCACTTTCTGTGTCTGTGTTGATCGTTGAAACATAAATCAAAATGGTTCAAGGAGGAATGTCTTGTGTAAAATATATTCTTGGTGTTTTCAATTTTGCCTTTTTCTTGTCATCCATTGGTATCATTACTCTTTGTGTACGAGCCATAGGAATGCCTGAATCAGCAGAGAAGATATTGGATGTTGATAATCGCCATTTAATTGTTATGATCGCTGCTTCAATTCTTTTACTGATCATCTCTTTCCTTGGTTGTTGGGGTGCTCTAAGAGAAAACAATTGTATGCTCATTTCCTATGGTATTCTACTTCTCATCATTATCGCCATTGAAGTTGCTGTTGGAACCCTTGCCTTCCTTTATAGTAACAAGGTAGAAGAAATGGCTTACAAGGGAATGCGTAAATACATTGATGAATATCAATGGGACTCTGATAATTCAACAACCAACAAGATTATTGATGATTTACAAAAGAATGTTAAATGCTGTGGAGCCTACAATTATACCGATTATGAGAGCCAATTTGGTGACAAACTTCCCTTATCTTGTTGTGGAAAACTCAAATCTAAATCAGCCATTAATCTATCAATGTCTACCCCTGGATCTACATCTTCGGGTTCAGCTGCAGTATTTGATGGATACTCATCTCCTTTTACTGGAGTTACCAACAATGAAACTTGCAGCTCTGCTGATGCTTTCAAAGATGGATGTGCTCACAAGCTTTGGGACTTGATGATTAAATACTATGGTCCAATCGGTGGTATCCTCATCGGTGTAGCTGTTATTCAATTGCTTGGTTTCATATTATCATGTGCATTTGCTCACAGTATCAAGAAAGATTATGAAGTAGTTTAATCAACAATCAACAGTAAACACTTGTATTCAACTTTTTTCCATCTATTTTCATTGTCTTTCTCTGTCTCTTCTTATTGTTTCCTTTTTCATCAACCTCTTTGATTTCCTTAAACTCTCCCACCTTTGCTATTTTATCTTTCTCTCCCTCTTTAAATGATCTGCTTCATAATCAACTTTTCACTATAAGCATTTAATCATCACCTCTCTAAGAAGCTAAAAAGCAATAGCGAGCAATGTTAACCACAAAATTGGTCATTCGAATTCCCCCTTTTTCTTAACTAAATTCAACACCAGAGAAAAAATTCTTGACCTTTCATATCTACCTTTCAATTTAATCTCTGACTTTAGGCTATGATTAAAACCTCTTTAAAGCACAAAGGCTCAATCACCATTGGAAGATAATTATCTGGATTAAACGAATGGAACAATTAACCACCACTACGCGCACACAACAAAAAAAAAATCAGACCAAAGGAGAAAATCTCAGAGAACCAGAATGGAAAAAGAAAATGAATTTTCTTCATTACTTGTTGACAATTGATCGTAAACAATTTATCTTGATTGTCTCATTACAATGTATTGGTGTCTGCTGGTAGTAGAAAGAAAATCTTTGTCATCCTAAATTGATCTTCTCTCTCTTTCCTCCTCTTTCTCTCTCTCTTTTCTCACTTTTTTCCTAATCAATTCGTTTCATGTTCCATCATTTCAATTTTTTCTAATGATTATCACTCATGGTGTTTGTTTGCTCATCATTACAATTAACATTATTACAACACAATTAAACCATCAACAAGTGTGTGTACATATAAGAAAAAAACATTTACATTAAAACTTCATTGATAAGTCAATATTTTCGTGGCTCCCTCATTAATTACGATTCAATTTATTGTTAAAACGATTACGATGAGAAGTAAATTAACCAAATTTATAAAGGAAATGAATCCAAGGGAAATTACCTGGAAATTAATTAATTACTTTAATCCACTTTATTCACTTTCACCTCATAATCAAATATTTACACTAATTAATATTCCCCCATCACGTTAATTAGGTGTTTCTAAGTGAAACTCTGATTAACACTAGAAATCATTAAATTGCTTGATTCGCATGCGAGAATTAAGATTCTCAATGTTTTCATTGTTGATTCATGGAATTGGCACTTTTTGGTGTTTAGCTAATTGTTTGCTTTGTGGATGATCAATCAGGTTTGTTTTTTCAATTGTAATGACAATTAGATGAATTGATTATCGGTCTTCTTTTCAAACCAAATGAGCGACGATATAAAATCGATCATCTAATTGGAAAAAATGAGAACAAAATTAAGTTTCGATTATTAAGTTAACAATATCGAACCAAGAGATCATTTAATTATTGATAATCGGTCAATATTAGAATTATTTTTGCGACGATTTTAATTTTAATGTCGAATGTCGATATTTCTATCGACTGAATCGCTTATTTAATTGAGTTTGTTGTTTTAAATTCGAGCAAGAATCGTTAATAGTTTAGAGAATTGACCTAATTTAATTAACCAGTTAAGATGAATGTTGGATAATTGAAAACGATCAATAGAGAAACGATCTTTATTAGCAAACGAGTAAATCAAATGATCTTTCAAATTTGATCAGATACACTGAAAATCGTTGATTATATTTGATTGTTTGAACGATTACCCAGTGGATTGATAGAAGACTGAATGAGATTGAATGAAGCACATGGAATTATAAAAGTTGATTGAACGAAACCCATTACAAGTACTTCGTTATGTCCAATCTTTAAATCTACTTACCAGATAATAATCATAACCAACACCAAAGATGATTATCAATTTGATCACATGTAACACAAAAGAGCACGTTGGTTAATTGTGAATGGAAAAGTTGATTTCTACGAAAGAACTCCATACTTCTTTACATTCCATACAAATTAATTAATTGAATATATGGATTATCTAGAAGTACGTGTCCTTACGAATCACTAGACTAGAGGAAAATCAAATTAGAATTAAATTGTGTTGTTATCACAGAATAATAGAGACAATTAAAGAGAAAGCAACGTTTAGAAGCGACAGTTTTTATATAACTGGAAAGTGAAGGAGAAAAGACAGAAAAAGAAACCAACAAGATGATCGAGATGAAGATGAGGATGACAGAGGAAGATGAAGATGAAGATGAAGATGAACGGGAACTTGTCTTGGAACCAACAATTTCCTCCTCATCCTCATCTTAATTTGGAGATGATGATCAAGGCACATCACTTGTTTCGCTCTTTTTAGACATATGGTGGAAAAAAGATTCGCATTTTAGCTAAACAGAGATTAAGAGAATTTGGAAAATCGCCAGAGAAAAGAAGATGGAGAAGATGATGAAGAGAGAAGATAATAAATGTACTCACATTACAGAGACTATTTTAATTCCAATATAATTTATGTTTTTCCGTTTCCCTTTTCAAGAGACAATGTGAGAGAGCATCTGGTCAACAATTAGTTCCATTTACGATTCGTTTCCCGCCTTCGATTCTTATTGGTTCATTTTTCTTTCTTTTTTTTCCTCTCTAACCCTTTCTGGCCTTTTACATAATAAGCGATGAGTCGTTTTCACGCTCTGCTTGTAGTCTAATTTAATTGTTTCTCTTTTCATCTTAAATTGTTGTTTATTGTTCATCATTTAGATGAGAGTTTCTCTTGTAAATCTCCTTTGAACTCGATCCAACTCAATGGATCATCGAAGTGTTTAACTAGAGTCGATTTGTTGACAACAATCTTGATCGTTAATTCTAAGGGAATCGGTTAGTTTATTCATTTAGTTCAATCGGTAAGTAATTTCTTAGATTATCGTTAACAATTAATACATGGCTCAGATTCTGTCATTTGGTTTTTCCATGTTCTTTTTTTGTATTTTGCTAATTGTCTCTTCGTATTCGATTAAGCAATCTGGTTGATTTTTTCGTTGATTGTTTTTGTTTTGTTTTATTTGTTTGTTTTTCCATGGCCTAGGATTTGGTTTACAATTTTTGGCTCTTCCTGTTGGTTACAACAAAGATATCAAGTAACAATTAAGGCACAGATCCTGTTAATTGTTTTCTATTTGAATGGTTAACAAAAGGGTTTAATCATAATTGCACGTTAATAGTGATTATTTAGATGGTCAATTGAAACAAAACATTTCTATCAAGTTGGTCTGCATCTAAGGATATGAAGGAAAGAATCAGTTTCATGAAGAAAATGTTTTCCTGATCAATTTTCAATCATTTTCTATTTTAATTGTTCTGATCAGTTTACAAACATCCTTTTGGTAATACAATCATATGAGCTGATCCTCTGTGTGAATTTAAAGTTATTACTTTTCAAAAGTTTGTATTTAATTTAATTATCCTCTTTCGTTATTTTTTGTTGTTAATTTTCAATCAACTAATTTCATCGATAAGATTGATGACAATCCATTCATTAGAAAAATTAAATCATCACAATTTACGCTGTTTCAATTGGAGTTGGATATCATTATCGAGGAGGAAAATACAATATCAACTGTAACAATTGATCATTTACCATTCTAATAATTAGTAACAATGTTTACTATTCACAAATTAATATTGATTACCTTGTTTTTTATATTCTTATGAGAAAAAAACTTCATTTGTTGATTAGTTTATTCAATATTTAATCAGCAGGTTTATTATTAATCAAATTTTATATATAAAAGGAGGTAATTATTACAGAACTAGTTTACAAACTATTTAAAAGTGACAAACAATTAACATCAAATTGTTTTCTCGTGTTAATTTTACATCGAAAATGTCAATTAATCCTTATTTTTGTTTATTTCTACTTTGTATTGTTACGAGTTTAGTGACAGCCGATGATGAATCGACTCCATCGTCTTCTGATGATGAACCAGACTCACAAGATGGTCCACCTTGTAAGCCCCACCGAGATGGTCATGGTCATGGTCCCCATCATCATGGTGGACCAAGAGGTGGACCTCACCGAGGACCACCACCACCACCTGAGTGTAAACCACCCAAATATCAATTGACCAAAGAGCTTTGTCAATGTATGGACAAGAAAATGAATGAATGTGCATCCGAACTTGGCCTAAGTGAACAAAATTAAACGATCATTGGAACATTTAACTTTCTGTTGTTTTTGAGAATGTTTAATCATAATTGTAAGTAGATTAACCAAACGAAACACTGGAACAATAACTAAACAATTTATAATCAAAATATTAATAAATTCTCTCATTTGTTGCAAAAAGTTTTCTTTGGTTGAACAATTATCCAATTTAACAGCTTCTCATGATCTATTACATTGTATCAACAAGTACAAATTAGAACTGCAATTCGTTGATAACTAAAAAAATAGAAAATACAATCGAAACATTTTCAAGCTTACCTTAGTAAATTTCGTTGATTAAACGTTAGTTTTCAATCACCAAATAAGTAACAAGTTAATTGTGAATGGAAAAGTTGATTTCTACGAAAGAACTCCATACTTCTTTACATTCCATACAAATTAATTAATTGAATATATGGATTATCTAGAAGTACGTGTCCTTACGAATCACTAGACTAGAGGGAAATCAAATTAGAATTAAATTGTGTTGTTATCACAGAATAATAGAGACAATTAAAGAGAAAGCAACGTTTAGAAGCGACAGTTTTTATATAACTGGAAAGTGAAGGAGAAAAGACAGAAAAAGAAACCAACAAGATGATCGAGATGAAGATGAGGATGAGGATGAGGATGATCGTCTCTCTCTCTCTCTCTCTCTCTCTCTCTCTCTCTCTCTCTCTGTTTCCTCTCTTCTCAAAATCCTCTTCTTAATTTGGAGATGATGAGAAGCATCTTCTTCTAGACATATGGTAAAAATGATTCTTATTTTAGCTAAACAAAGATCTGGATGATCGCCAAATTAGGTCCATGTAACTAAAAGAAAGAGAAATGTGATGAGGATGAAGATGAAGATGAAGATGATGGTTCCATGGGGATGATAATTTACTTACATAGACTATTTTAATTTCAATTATCTTTTGCATTTTGTTGCCTTTTTAAGACACACATCTGGTAACCATGATTCCAGTGGAAAGTATTGATTGTTTACTGATTGTCTCTAAGAATCTTAACCGAATTAATTTAAATTTTCATGAAAATTAAAAAAAAAGAGTAGAAAACAAAAATTGAAGAAAATTTTATGTTTTTTTATATTCAATTGATTTCAAGTTAATTATAAAAGTACATTTATACAAATTATGTGTTGATTGTTTAGATTTAAATTGGCTTGTTAAGCGTAAATTGTTTATATTTATAGCATCGTTTTGTTTGGGTCAAATTATTGTTGTTGCTGTTTTGTTTTTTATAAGAATTTGTATTTTTTTTGCTTAATTGTGTTTGCATGAATTAAGGGAGGGAATGAATGATCAGTTGATTTTCCTTAATGATGATCATCAGATGAAGATAGTTAATCAGAGAAAACAAATAAAGATGAGATCGAGAAAATGGAAGATGCATCAAAATGCTTACAATTAATGATCAACTATTCACAAAATGTAAATGGTAATTAGATGATTATGATTATGATTACATTTGCATTTGGAAAAACTTTGTAGCTCCCCTTTGGTTTCATCATTTGTTTATCTTCTTTCTGTTTTTTTTTGCTTATTTGATTAAATAATATTCATGTTTTACAATCAAATCAATTACATATAATAGCATTATAATATAAATCTATTTGTTTTCTTATTCATAAATAGCAAAAATAAAAATGGCCTCCAAAAGTGCCGTAGAAATGGTTTGGGTACCAAATTTGTTTTCCATCAGATTTTGGTCGTTTGTTTGTTTTCTCATTGAAGTTTTGGGTAAAATGTTTAATCAACGTTGATTGATTTATTTCCATCAGTTATAATTGCTTATTTGTTCTTTCTATTAGTTGCTTGATATCATCAATTTGTCTTGGAATTAGATTCGAGGATTAAAACAACGTAATCAGCATTGAAGATGAAATCAGGTAACCAATTAGAAGGATAATCAAGAGGTAGCAAAATATTTTGAAAATAGAGTTAGTGATTATCCCATAGTTGAATAGGTCACACATCAGATCACCATGTAAGTTGAGCAGAAAGTTAATCAACATACTGGACATAATTTTCCGGTATTAGGCCCGCTTTACCATTGTAAGTCCCTTCGAGCCAACCGGGTTCTCTTGAGGGTCGAACTGTTGAAAGGAAAAAAGATAATTGTGATTAGAATTTAATTTCATGTTTAATTTGTGTCAATTTTGGCTTTACCATTGAATATCAAAGTGTTCGGCTCGAATGTTAACTCGGTAGCGTTTTCACCAACACAAGCATAAAGTGTTCTGACCTTACGACCCGTTGGAGTGTCAGTATTGCTGTGAGGTGATGACCCACAATTAGATGGATAATTATTGCTATTAAATGAATGTTGAGATGATGATTGTTTTAATTCTCCTCCTCCGCCGCTACTTATACTTCCATTCCCACCGCCACCACCACATGGATTAAAAGATGAAGAAATCAGAGTGTTAGATGAAGGTGACGATCTTGGACTATTGGAAAGAGGCTGTGGTCCAACCATAGAAATGTTCTGCTGATTGGCTTGACCTTCATTAAAGAGAAGAAAATTTTAATTAGCCAAGATAAACAAGAGTAAAAATTTAATAAAACGATCTTTTTGTTTTCACTTCTTCAATAACTGTACAATTGAATTAAATATAATGTTAATTATTTTCATGTCATCTCATTGATTGAAAAGTTAATTGTATAATTAGAGTTTCTCTCCTGTTTTCTTTTCAACGAGAACAATAAAACGAAAATTGAATAATCCTTTAGCTGAACAATCAGATACAAAAATAAATTTAATTGACAACTTTCAATGATGAAGACGATGACGAGTAGATTGAGAAAACTATTAGTTCAAAAAATGTTCATGAAAAAGCTTATGAAGCAAATTCAGGACAGAACTTGAAATAAGGTCAAGGTTAATTAAACTGAAAATAGACAACAACACTTGAGAAAAAAAGTATATGAAGATGATTGCGATCAATTGATCGATTGATTGTGCAAAAAAGAAGATGGAATGGGAAAAGTTTACCTTCGGACGTTGTTGACAGTCGCGGTTTCCTTGGATTGTTTTCCATGTTATGTTGCATCATATTTGGTTGACTATTCCATGGATTGAAAACAGCTAACGGACGAATCGATCGATTGGCCTGAGGTCCGTTAGGATTTGAAAGGATTGGTAATCGGTGAGATGTTTGTTGATACATGTTGGGATGAGATGGATATGATGTAATACCGGAAGGAGGATGAGTTGTTGAATTTGAATTATAAATTGTTGGCCGGACAATTGGCCGATATTGTACTTGTTGAGACAATTGATCGTGACTACTACTTCGGTGAACTGAATTAGATGTGATTCCACCTCTTGAAGGTACCGTTGCATAGGTTCCAGCTAAATTTACAGAATTCGAGTCATGATAAGGTGGGACACCACCGACTCTCATGTAAAGATTAGAGTTTCCTTGAGTGTTGGTTGAATCAATCATTTCTGGCATCGAGGATAATTAATACTTGGAGCCACTGATGCAATTGAATAATGAGAGTGTTGATAAATTGCTTGATCTTTGTTCATTTCAGGTTTGGTGGTGAAAATTTTATCACAGTTTTCAATGAGAATCTCGACAACCACATTACCAAATTTAATGTCCATGATTGCGGCAACAGTTTCTTCCTCTGGTCTTAATAGAGTGGGTCCAAAACAAACACCAAGATTGCACACATTCATTAGATTTTTCTGTGAGTTATTGGCAACTCTGTGGAAAATGAAATAAAAATAGAACAATTAAAACATCAAGATGATTGAAAGTTCGAACAATTCTTACTTCGCCAAATGTGTCATCAACAAATGTAACATTTCAAAATTGAGTTTCGTCAATCTATGTACCAAATCGTGAATATCATCGATTCTTTTATCCTTATTTTCTTGTTCTGTTTTCAAGGTAAGAATAAATTAGAAAAACAAATTAGAAAACAAAAATCATTCATGTAACCAGCCAAAAGGGAAAACAACTCACTTGCTGCAGCGATGAAAAAATTGTGAAACTTAAAACTCATCAATGGCTCAGGTAAATTGCGAAAATAGTTTTTCAATGCACTGGTAACTGTTCTAATTTCCCATTCATCTGAATTATCCACTTCAAGAACTAATTCACCATCAGAGTTTAATTTTCTTCTATCCAAAGCAAGCTGCATTAATTTGGCTACTTTTGAGCTCACACCGCCAACACGATATAATCCTTGATCCTCTAATCCCCGAGATTCAATGACTTGTATACATTTTCTCACAAAAGCAAAACCCAAATCATCCAACTGATATTGCTCCTGCTGGACATTTGTTTGACCCTTTCCTAGAACACCCGTTCCTCCTCCTTGGGTACTAGTGACACTGTTCAATTGAATCGGGTCCTTACCATCCATGGCATCGAGCCATAATTTCCTGTCCTCTTCACTTAGCGCTTGGAATGTATAGGTAGCCGGTTTATCGACTGGTGTTATATCAAAACAGAATCTTTTCTCAATGGAATCGGACATTCGTCTAATACATTCTTTCAGGGTCACAGTCTCTTTATTACCCTGAAAATCGAGAAAGATATGAGAAAAAGAGGAATTATTGAAGAGAAAAAATTACAAACAAGAATAAGAATAAGAATAAGTGAATGACAAGTGGAGGGAAGTGCAAAAATATACAAAGGAAAAAGGGTACAAGATGGAAGAGAAAACTAATTGCCGGAAGTCAATTAGTTAATTGTAAGATTAGAATGTAATGATTAACTTACAATTTTACCAACAGTTTGATTATATGGAATCATTGTAAATCGACGGCATTCCTTTTGGTATTGACAGAATGTTTTAATCCAAGTTGTACCAAAAGCCTCTGTGAATGTGACAACACAAAAAGATGCGGAAAAAAAGGGCAAGAAGATAAAAGATATAGGAGATTAAGATGAGAGATGATGATAAAAAAGTGATGCTATTTTAAAATGGATTGAATAATTAAAGATAATCATCTAAGAAGTTCAGGTAAGTTTTTTTTTCTCTTCAAAAGAACATGTAAATAAGATTATATTAGATGGGAATGATGAGGAGGAGGAAGAAGATAACTTACTCTTTTCCATTAGAAATAAATAACCTTCTCTGGTGTACATTTTATTCAAAGAACCGGGATCTTGAGGTTTCTGGAATGTTGTTTTGATGGTCAGATAGAGATGGAGAGAGAGAGAGAGAGAGAAGATTAAATGAAAAAGAAAATGAGAAATAATTGAAATTATTATGAAATTTCCATGGTGAAAAACTATGGGAAAAAGTTTTCTTTTTGTGGAAAATGAAAAAGTGATAAACAATTGGATGAAAGGTGTACACAAATTGTAAGGAAAAGTACTAAAAGTATAACATCTCATAGAAGAGGATAAATGTAGTAGTAAAATCGGTCAAGTATCAGGTAGGAAAGAAGAAGGAAGAAAGATTAAGATAACATTACAAACTCAGCATCTTCATGATGATAAGCAGCATTTTCAGGGCTGATTTTTCATTCAGGAATCGTAACCACTTAAAGTAATGATCATCGTCATTAGAATTATCTTTTTTTTTCTTTCTTTTTTCTTCTTCTTTGATTATACTAATTATAAAGAACATCATGAACTTACATTTTTTCGTACTTCAAGCATCTTCTTCATTAGATTTTGGGTCTCATTCTGTGTGGCTTCATAGTTTTCTCTGGTCTGATGAGGTGATGGAGGATGAAAAGAGAAAAGGTTTCAATGGTTAATCAAGACAATTATTTATAATTGAATTCAAATGATACAAACAACTACACACAAACGGTTTTAATGCAAATAAGATGATAAATGATGAGTGAAATCTGATATATCAACAATTGTTTGATGACGATCATCATGAAGATGAGTCATTATCATCATTTATATCATTGAGAAGTAAATTGAAAACAAGCGATCAGATCTCATGAAGAGGAAGATTTTCTTGTTTCAATGTTGATTATCAAAGTGCTTTTCTAATCGATATTGCATAAAATCATAACAATTAACGATTAGAAAGGATCATCTATGATTTACAGGTAAATCTTTAAATCAAATTACAACAATCAGGTTGGAAATTAGCTGACCAATCAGATGGAGATTAAATTTTCTGAGTAAAATAGATAAAAAAATTTGCTAATTATTTCATGTAAATAATAAAATTTATCAACGATCACATTATTTGATTGAAAAGCAGGATTTCCATTGATTTTTATCATATCCGTTGGATTGATTTGCATGCAGCTCAAATATATAAATAAAAAAAGCACTAAATTATTGATTTAGTGAAGCAAATTAATATGATTAATCAAAATCAATCTAACTAGTTTAGAGTCTAAAAACAAATCTTCTCATAATCAAAAGCCATTAATGGCAACAATTACTAGTATCTCAATGTTAACAAAAATAAATTACGAAGGTTGTAAAGGTAATAATGTGATTTGTGTACATTTTCATGTAGGAAATAACAGTAAATTTTTTTACTGTTAATTGCATGATTGGTAGACATTGTAACTGGTAATCGTTTACATCATCATCAAGTAATTACTGGTCATAGTAATTAGAATTGACTGGATGGATATAACATCAGAAAAAGTTTACATTTCCTTTTTCTCTCTATGAGAGAGAGGGAGATGAAAAAAAAATATCGAAAATTAAACTCACTCTTTGAAGGCGTATTTGTAGATCTCTCATGAATGATTTAAAATCTTGGGCAACTTCGTGGCCTGAATGGTGAATGGAAAAAAAGAAACAAGAAAAAAAAGTGAAGAAGGAAAATTAATCCGATGTTAATTATGGGAAATAAGTTAATTATATAAATTACCTTGATGATAAAATGTTAACCAACCGTACATGAAGCTTAGAATCTGATAGGAAGAGAGAAGGAAAAAAAATATGAAAGAAAAGGTAAGTAAACTCATCAATTTGATCGTTGTTTTTGGAGTAAATCGTCATATTGTCAACATCAGTGTCAAGTTTGACTTTTTTATGTTATCAACAAACTCTGATGGAGACGATAAGTGATTGTTTTCATGTGTTGAGAAATGAATGATTCTCACAGTTTCGACGAATTCGAATTTTTTTCTTTCTTGTACTTCTTGTAATTTGCAGACATATTCAAGTGAGGCCGAAATGAAATGACGCTGTTCCATCAACAGGGTGGCATCAGCTTCTTGAAGGTGATTTTCACTTTTTTTGGTGGATAAATTTAAATGCCTTTCTAAGCTTTGGCAAAATTTTGCTGTTTCTTTGTCAAATTTTTTCTTTCCTTCTTTAACACTTCCAATGTGATCACGGCGAAAATTTTCAATCGGCTTTATAAAGGTCGCTGAGGCTCTGTCAAGCATTCGATCTCTTTCATCTTCAATTGAATTTAGATAACGTCCAAACTCTTTGAGGGAACGAGCGATGACAATTTCATCATCGGTTTGTGATCCACCGATACATTCAAATTTAAAATGACTCAAACTATTGGCCAATTTTCTTTGGGCACCTGAAAGAGCTGAAGCCGCTTGTAATAGATGATTAACATCTCGTATTAATCCTTTGATTTGTTGTGAGGTACAATCCAATTCTCTTTCATGAGCATGAAGATTTTCCCTGAAATAAGGTGAATCTGTAAGGCAATCGGTAAACTCTATTGGTAAAAGGCCCATGGTGATGATGATTCAAGTTTGATGACGATCAAGGTGATGACGGTGATGTTGGTGGTTATAGAATTACAATTTAACAGCATGAGTGTATCCATAACTGAAGAGGGTATTCCAAGAATATAAGGTGAGAAAGAACCAAATCCATGAAAAAGAAAGAAAATAGAAAGAGAGAAAATAAACAATGAGAAAAAAAAGAAACCAGTGAATGTGATAGTTGGAAACACTTTAGAGTTAAAATAGAATAGAATTAGTGAAGAGAGAGAGAGAGAAGAAGAAGAAGAAATCAAAATGGATGAGAGGTAAGGGGTCAAAACAAATGGAAATTGTGATGATGATGAAGCTTTAATCAACTTTGCAATATTAAAAAGTAGTGTTAGAAGTAGTTGTCATAGATATGTACATGTAAACCTAAACAAGTTTTGGTGGCCACACTTGAAAAGAAGACAGAGAAAAGTAAGAGAAGAAAGAAAGAGAGAAAGAGGGAAAAGAGAGTAACCAAACGATGATTTTTCCAAAACAATTTGGCAACAAGTAGTTTGTATTTTTCGGAAGGCTACTTACATTGTGAAGAAAACTATTAATATAACACAAAGGTAGTTTTCTGATTAATTAGTTGAATTAAAGGATAACACAGTTACTTGGAAAAATTGGAGAAAAAGGAGAGACTCGGATTGAAAACAAGGGAGAGAAAAGTGAGAGAGAGAAAAAGAGAAACAAAATAAAAAAAAGAATAAGTAGTTAACAAGTAGAAAGGAAAGGGAGAGAAGAGAGAAAAGTGAGTAAACCCCTCTCTTTTCTTTCTCTGTGTGTTTGGCAGGTTGATGGAAGATAAAGAGAGAGAGAGAGAGAGAGAGAGAGAGAGAGAGATGAAAGATATACAAGAAAAAATAAAGAGGAAAGAAGAGAATTAAAAAAATAAAATGATGATGATGATGAGAGGAAACACAAACAACATCCCAACAACAACAATCTTTAATCAGGCTGTTCCAATTTCTGTATTCGGTGTAAAGAGAAAAGGTTGATCGTTTGGAAGAGAGAAAAGAATAAAAATAATAGTAAACTAACCTTCATTTTTTACTCTCTTTTTTAAATGATATTATTCTAAAAGCTTGTGAACAATCAGAAAATAAGCTTAGAGCTTTTAAATTGTTCAGCTGAATCCTGTTCATGATGATGATAGTTTAACAATCATCACCAATCATGGAGTAATCACAATGGGAAAGAGTGGAAGGGATAAAGGAGAGAGAGAGAGAGACAAATTTGGACAGATGATTGTTAATAAATAGTAATTGTGATGATACTGTTAATTTGGGAAACAAATGATGTGAATACATGAACAACATCAATTCATTTGTGTGTGACTCTGAACTTGATTTCAATAAACTTGTAATGTTTTCATACTTACGAGTTAAGAGATGATATTGAAGGTGACATGTTGAAGATGATTTTGAGAAAAAGGAAACACTTTAATCACAATTGATTCGGACAAACAATCAGGTGAAAATGTCTATTCAATTTGATGCAGTTTTCTAATTGTAATCACACTTGTTGGAATTGGTGACAAGGACGGACACAATTGGAATAAATTTTTCGATGTCAAATTAAATTTCTTGCAATTTGAAATATTAATGAGAAAACGTTTCCAAGTTATCAATTAATCTGTTGATAAAAAGAAAGAGTTGTTTTTATATAATTGTAATTGATTGGGTGAGTCACTTATTCACAGACATTAAAATGAAAGTGAAAATGAAAATGATTAACCAACAATTATCTTTATCAAGCACAGCCCTAATCACTTTGTAACTTGGCAATTAAAGTAATAACTTTATGTTAGAATTGATTAGTCAACAAAAACATTTCTAAACAGATTCAATTGATAATAACAAACATAAACATTGAACAAAATCAGTAACGTTTATCAAAATTTACCAATCAACAAGTGGCAAAAGTTAAAATGTTGGTGGTCAATGTTAAACAATTTATCGTTTAGTTGATAGCCCAATCAACGTTTAAATCAAGATAGAATTGATTGATTAAAAAGGAAAATATAAATTAAATGAAGCTCACCAACGATTAATTAAACAATGAGGAAAAACAATTAACAGAAAATGAAAAATCATTCGCGCTGACAGTTGATTGATCTTCTTTTCCACCAGATGGGGTTACTTTTGTTGAGAGGGAAATTAAACCGCAATTGAATTGGATCTTAATTGTTTAGTTGATTGTTTGTTGGTGTTTGTGATAATTTAATTGTAAATATTGTAATTTTTTCGAAATATGATTTGTACAGTTTGGATTGTTGGAAAAAAAAATAAAATAATCAAGTGAATAGTTTGGTTATAAAAAGTGGACATAGCCACTGAAATGGTCATGATTCCAGAGCATAGTTGCCAAAAAGTTGGTTAATTTTGATGGGTCACTTTTTTTTGATCCTAATATGTAATTGTCTGTACTTGATTTAGTGTATCGGACCACGTCACAGTATTCAGATTCATCCAATTCTTGGTGTAGGAAGATAACATGAGCCCAACTGGAATATTTTTGTCGATTATTGATTGATTTCTCTTCGTTCTTGAAGGCTGACCAATTCTCGAGGAACCAGAAAAAGACTAAAGATTCATTTGGTGCACTTTGATTGCGACCATTTCGATATGTTTCAATCAAGATTTTTTTAAATCGTTTCTTCAATTCCTTTTCAACTGCTTCGATGAATAAAAAGTCATCATCAACGCTTGAAGACATTGGAATCAATTTTATGGTCCTTATTTCTGGATTTAAGAGAGAGAGAGAGAGAGAGAAAAGATTACAATTTCATGAAAACAAATTAGATGGAACAATTAATCACTTACCTTTTAGCATTCCCTCTATAGCATAAAGATCCTTTTTAAAAGTAACTTTAAATAGATTAGAAGGAGATCCTCGAACAACTTTGGTCTTGACATTGGTATATTTTCGTACCAAGTCCATACATTCAGTGCCATTATCAAGATCGAAATCAGTTGCGTCATCATAACCCTTTTTAATCACTTCGTATCTGAATACTTGAGGCATTTCACTTTGTTTATATAAATCACGATAAAGTACATCGGAGATGAAATTTTCTGAATCAATTTTCAGTGTAGTTGATACCAAATCGCAAATCGGACCTGCTGCCTATGGAAATATGGAAAAATGTTAGAAACCACCACAAATTCATCAAATGGTTACTAATTACCCCATTTTCTTTTGCCATCTCAATTAACTGCGACAGTAAATTTGTGTCCACCATCGGTCTTACTCCATCATGGATAATAACCAATTCAGGTCGATCTGTTGACAGGGAAACCATTGAAACACAATTATAATAATTGGTCTACATGTACTAATACAATCAACAAACCTGGTCTTTTGTGTAGGTAATTCAAAGCTGTATTAATTGAACGATGTCTACTATCACAGCCTAAGATGACAGTTAGTGATCCCTTTTCAACTTGATTTGAAAAATATGACAGAATCTCTTCTCGGACAAGACTCACATATCTTTCAGGACAAACTACAACAATAGTTAAGCCATTTCGTAATCTAAACAATTAAAATGAGGGAAAAAAATAATTGACGTCAGTTTGATGTGAAAATCTCAAACTATTGTTGATTGAGTGAGGCAATTGGGTGAATGAAGAGTTACACTTACACTGTTGACGATAATCTGGAAATGAAAAGAGAAACAAATAGATGAAATATTGTTAGAAAATGAAAACTGAATTATTGATGATCTATCGATTATTTTACTTACTTGACAAATGTAGATATTGTATAATAAAGTAAAGGTAGGCCATCAACTTTAACAAATTGTTTGGGTGGTGAATTATCAAAACGAGAACCAGAACCAGCAGCTGGAATAATTATTCCGATGCTCATTGTTAGTTATCGGTGATGGAAATGATTAGAATCAGTTGATCACTAGGTGAAGGTGATTAATTGGCCCAAACAAAAAGAATTAAAAAATCTTCTCTAAAAGTAAAATGAACATGCTTCTAATTGGAAGGAGAAACAAATTGAAAAAGAAAAATGTAAAAATGATTAAATTAAGATGAATCATGATGGTGAGTAGAATAGGAATTCTTACCTTGATTAAAGGAGAATATGGATGATAATTTATAGTAAAATGATTAAAGTCGAGCAATGACTATTTGATACATTAATTTATTCTGATTGTTGTTAGATAATCAAAATTCAAAAGAAAATGAATTTCATTGAAATTATGAAAAGAAAAAAAAAGTAAATAGTATTGAATATTTTTTCGAACATCTCATAGATGGAGTTACTTTCATTTTCTTTGGGAAAATCAAATTTCTGGTCAATCAGTTCAAGAGTCCGTCAGCTCAAAACATTAAGCTGATTTTCTCGGCTCGAAACTAGGAAGTTTTTTCGGAAAATAATGAAATTCAGATCAATTTATTTAATTAATCAAGGAGAAAATTAGTTTAAATGCAAAACATACACACAAAATGTTGAACGAAATTGGAATCGCAAAGACCATTTAATGTAATTTTAAACGTAATCAACACAATCTCAATTTTGAAATTACTCGAAATGCAAAAATGATCATGTTTTGTTAGTTAATTGGTTTAGATCAAATGTTTATTTTAATTCTTCGATTAAATAAATTGATTTGCATTTGCTTCTTTTATATATAAAAAAAGTCGCTAGTCTTGAGCCGAGAAAATATCAGCCCAATGTTTTGAGCTGACGGACTCTTGTTCTTCCTTACCGATAAGTCAAAGTCAAAGTATTTTCACAACATATGAGGAGACAATCAATAGATATTTAACTATGGTACGTTTGCGATTCGGAATCAAAGTGATCATCCAGAGCGATATCATCAGTGTTTAGTGATTTGATTAACTCATGAAAGAGTAGGAAAAATTTAAAAAAAAACATTCATTCTGTATAAACAATTGTAGACAATACACTAAAAATCTTAAATTGAACTAATCGTTAAAGCCTAACTAGAGAAATATAATTTGATAAAAGGGTTACGATTAGATTGAGATTAGAAGAGATTATATTTTACTCTAATATATTCCCAGAGTTCCAAGTCCTGATTGTACCTGTTGTCATTCATTTTGTCATTGATTAAAGGGTAAAAGACAATTGATTGTTAAATACACACTTTCATACACCTTACATTCATCTGCAAACTTTAAACTGATTGCAGATCATTTTAACTATTGACTGGCACTGCCAATTTATGAGCCTTTAGTCCATGATATTCGAGACTCTTCCGATTGATGAAGCCTTTCTTGCAGATTGAACATTGAGTCTCTGAAAAAGAAAAGAAACATTCATATTAATCAATTTGATTACATTGTTTTTCATTAATAATACATGTAATAAAAGTTATAATAATAATACCTCGTTCTTTAAATGCTTTACAATGTCGTCCATGACTATTTAGTTTGTGGACACAGTTTTGCCTCCATTTGGCTGTGAAACTTTGACCACATGGACAATGCATCACAGAGTCAGTTCGGATTTTCCTCTTATTGTGTTTCTTTGTACTGTGAATATTTAACGCAACGCAAGTCAAAAATGTCTTGTTACAAAGTTGACATTTTTCACGGTGAGCTGAGGCTAAAATAAGAAAAAAGGAAATGATGAATTAATGAATAAGAATTTAATGGTAAGTCTGACTTACTTTTCACCGTCGATTCAGAGCATATTCTTTGGTGTTCACTCCAGTTTTTAATGGAATCTAGATACTCGCCACATTTACAGTTGAAAACTCTACTTCTCATGGATAATAAGATTTCAACACCTTCATAATCACTATCGTCATGAACACGACTATTGATACTTTCGATGTTAGTTGATGTTGAGGCTGTGTAGTCCGAAGCTTCATCGGGACCATGCATAGTTAAATTTGAGTCGTCAGAGTCTTTAACCTGATAATTTTATAAGAGGAATAAAAACGGAAAAGAAAATACAATCATGTAGTATTCGTTATACTATAATTTGTTGATACCGAGAGAATAGTTGATACAGTAGTCTCTTTACTTATTAGAATTTTTGCCGATAGTGAAATTGAATCGGGGATTTGTAAGCAACTTGAAGAATGAGAACGGAAAGATGAAGAACAAGTAGAGGTGGACGATTTTTAAATTTTCTAACAATTCAAACATCGATAATGATGAAATATCAATACTTTCAGAAAAAAAATCGATGTTTACAAACAGAAAAAGAGAGACAAAAAGTAAGAGAAATCGATGTCTCATATAAACAGACAACATGATCATCATCGATATAGTGGCCCACCTCTAAGAACAGGAAAGAGCAAGGAACGAGAAAGACCAATCATAAGGACAGAATAACTAAACCATGAGGCCAATATGGCGACGTGAATATAACTCGGAGAAAAATATTCACTCAATTAAAGAACATGGTATTGATAGATGAGAGAAAATTTGACAAGAAAATGAAGAAAAAGAATAAATTTCTCAATCAAGAGAGAAATCAAGCATTCACAAAAAAGAGCAGAAAGAGAAGAAGGAGGAAGATGAGAAGGTTGAGGTTGGAGAGAGAAGAGAAAACAAAGAATGGAAAATGGAGAAACAAGTAGCAATAGAAAAAGAGATGAACAAGTGAAAGAAAAAGAAAAAGAACAATTTAAACGTTGATTGTTAGACACACAAAGACATTGACACATTCTAATTACCTTATTTTTATTAACTTTTTGAGTTGTTGATGAATATTTGGCTTCATTTTTGTCATTTCTAATCATTTCAGACTCAGACATTTTCTCCTTTAACCAAATATTAAAGATGATGACGGAGTCAAACAGATGAGCAGAATTGAGATGGACGCTGGTAGAGCGAAGAAACTCAAGTAATTAAAACTATTTTCTAGAAAATTAATTTAATTACAACAATAGAAAGAAAGAGATTTAAAATTATCTTAAGAGAATTGAGAACAAAGTACAACAGATTCTGTTGAACAGAATAGACTTGAGAAGAGCATTGATCGACCACAATCGATCTTCTTCTTTTCTTTTCTGATCTTTAATCGATCTATTCCATCGATTCTCTTTCTTTCAGAATAATAAGTTGATTGGATAACATTTGCAATTGGAATTTGAATTAAAATTTTATTCTTGTATTTATGGTTTTTGGACACAAGATCAAAGTGGAAATGATTAAAATACAATAATGAAAGAAAATTCAAGTTAAATTGTTGTTGAGAGAATAGAAAATGTTACGAAAAATGGAATTGAAATCAAATTGAATATTCAAGTGTCCAAATCATCAAATCGTCGAAAGAGTTTGATTAACACCAATTGGTTCCTCCATTCCAATCCATTTCGACCTTGGAACTTTTTTCTTTCTCTTGTTCTTGTTGTTGTTGTTGTTCTTCTTCTGGTTCACCTGAATCTCCATTACAATGATCAGTCTCATTATTCATTTCGTCCTCAGTCATAATATCGATCATTGGCCAAACGAATACTTCAGAGTCTTTATCTTCGGGTGGTGATGATTTTCCCTTCTCTTCGATACTCCAATCAACTTTAGAAATTGACTTGTTCAGTTGCGAATCTTCCCAAGAAATATTCGAATCAATGACAGATGATTGTTGTTTCTCTTCACGAATTATAACCGATTTATGAGTTTCCTAATAGATAAAGAACGAGAATTATTAATAAGAAGAAGCAAAAAAAAGAAAAAATCATTTAAACTCACCAAAACAGCTCTTTCACTTTCGGAGATTATGATGTCATTAATTAGACTTTCAAAGGTTCGAGTTAAATTAACCAAATCTTTCAATTTGATTGCTTTAATTTCCTCTGATAAAATATTCCAACCAATGATTTTTTCGGTAACAGTAGACATTTTGATCAATTAAGAAAATAGAACAATTAACAAATAGAAAAAAAGATAAAAAGAAAAAAAAGAAAAAAGGTAAAAGATGAAAATCAAGTGAAGATCAAGTAAAAGGCTTGAAGACGAGGAAGCGAATGACGATCAACTCAATTTCCACCCTCTCTTTTTTATACCCGAACCAGAGGTTCATGGTGAGTGGAATTAGGAGGTTCGATGTAATAATAATTTGTCACTTTCTAAGAAATTTACCCAACTAATGATCATTTAAACAGAGAGAAAGAGATGAACAAGTGAAAGAAAAAGAAAAAGAACAATTTAAACGTTGATTGTTAGACACACAAAGACATTGACACATTCTAATTACCTTATTTTTATTAACTTTTTGAGTTGTTGATGAATATTTGGCTTCATTTTTGTCATTTCTAATCATTTCAGACTCAGACATTTTCTCCTTTATCCAATTATTAAAGATGATGACGGAGTCAAACAGATGAGCAGAATTGAGATGGACGCTGGTAGAGCGAAGAAACTCAAGTAATTAAAACTATTTTCTAGAAAATTAATTAAATTACAACAATAAATAGAAAGAAAAAGATTTAAAATTATCTTAAGAGAATTGAGAACAAAGTAAAGAAGAATAGAATTGATTTATTTAGGAGAAAAAGGAGCTTCCTCTTACTGCTTTTGCAGTGTGTCAACTAACATTTTTGTTAGAGGGCTGATTGAGATGAAATCTCAGGGATCAGCGGCGGTTTTTTTAACCGTTGATTACATCTATTGCTCAGGCAATTGTCTAACGAGATGCAAATATATACACAATAAAGAGAAATGGTCATCCAACGGATGTGGCAACAATGGTCACTCCTTCAAGTATTATCAATGTCCGGAATATATAAAAAGAGTTGCTAAAAAATTGGAACAAATTAATTACAATTATGACAACATAGTATTACCAGAGGAAAAAAGAAATTAATAGAACGATTCGCTTCATCGTCTTCAAGTCTTCTACTTGATCTTCACTTGATCTTCACTTGATTTTCATCTTTTACCTTTTACCTTTTTTCTTTTTTTCTTTTTTTCTTTTTTCTATTTGTTAATTGTTCTATTTTCTTAATTGATCAAAATGTCTACTGTTACCGAAAAAATCATTGGTTGGAATATTTTATCAGAGGAAATTAAAGCAATCAAATTGAAAGATTTGGTTAATTTAACTCGAACCTTTGAAAGTCTAATTAATGATATCATAATCTCTGAAAGTGAAAGAGCTGTTTTGGTGAGTTTAAATGATTTTTTCTTTTTTTTTGCTTCTTCTTATTAATAATTCTCGTTCTTTATCTATTAGGAAACTCATAAATCGGTTATAATTCGTGAAGAGAAACAACAATCATCTGTCATTGATTCGAATATTTCTTGGGAAGATTCGCAACTGAACAAGTCAATTTCTAAAGTTGATTGGAGTATCGAAGAGAAGGGAAAATCATCACCACCCGAAGATAAAGACTCTGAAGTATTCGTTTGGCCAATGATCGATATTATGACTGAGGACGAAATGAATAATGAGACTGATCATTGTAATGGAGATTCAGGTGAACCAGAGGAAGAAGAACAAAAACAAGAGAAAGAAAAAAGCTCCAAGATGCTAATCAAACTCTTTCGACGATTTGACGTTTTGGACACTCGAATATTAAATTTGAGTTCATTTCCATCCTTCATAACATTTTCTTTTCTCAACAACAATTCAACTTGAATTTTCTTTCGTTAATTTATTATAATCATTTTCAATTACCGACCTATCAATCAACACAACAACTAATTCATTAACACCAATTTGAAAAGCATTGATCGACCACAATCGATCTTCTTCTCTTCTTTTCTGATCTTTAATCGATCTTTTCTAATCTATTTCATCGATTCTCTTTTTCTCACTGCGAAAGCAGTAAGAGGAAGCTCCTTTTTCTCCTAAATAAAATCATTGTTTCTTTCAGAATAATAAGAGGATTGGATAACATTTGCAATTGGAATTTGAATTAAAATTTTATTCTTGTATTTATGGTTTTTGGACACAAGATCAAAGTGAAATGATTAAAATACAATAATGAAAGAAAATTCAAGTTAAATTGTTGTTGAGAGAATAGAAAATGTTATGAAAAATGGAATTGAAATCAAATTGAATATTCAAGTGTCCAAATCATCAAATCGTCGAAAGAGTTTGATTAACACCAATTGGTTCCTCCATTCCAATCCATTTCGACCTTGGAACTTTTTTCTTTCTCTTGTTCTTGTTGTTGTTGTTGTTCTTCTTCTGGTTCACCAGAATCTCCATTACAATGATATGTCTCATTATTCATTTCGTCCTCAGTCATAATATCGGTCATTGGCCAAACGAATACTTCAGAGTCTTTATCTTCGGGTGGTGATGATTTTCCCTTCTCTTCGATACTCCAATCAACTTTAGAAATTGACTTGTTCAGTTGCGAATCTTCCCAAGAAATATTCGAATCAATGACAGATGATTGTTGTTTCTCTTCACGAATTATAACCGATTTATGAGTTTCCTAATAGATAAAGAACGAGAATTATTAATAAGAAGAAGCAAAAAAAAAAATCATTTAAACTCACCAAAACAGCTCTTTCACTTTCGGAGATTATGATGTCATTAATTAGACTTTCAAAGGTTCGAGTTAAATTAACCAAATCTTTCAATTTGATTGCTTTAATTTCCTCTGGTAAAATATTCCAACCAATGATTTTTTCGGTAACAGTAGACATTTTGATCAATTAAGAAAATAGAACAATTAACAAATAGAAAAAAAGATAAAAGATAAAAGGTAAAAGATGAAAGATGAAGATCAAGTGAAGATCAAGTAAAAGGCTTGAAGACGAGGAAGCGAATGACGATCAACTCAATTTCCACCCTCTCTTTTTATACCCGAACCAGAGGTTCATGGTGGGTGGAATTAGGAGGTTCGATGTAATAATAATTTGTCACTTTCTAAGAAATTTACCCAACTAATGATCATTTAAACAGAGAGAGAAAGAAAGAAAGTAAAAGGAGAGGCAAAGAAATTGACAAGATCATGAGAAAAAGAAGATCAATGTTTATGATCATGAGAAAATCTTTAATCCTTTTGTTTTTCTTTAAACAATCAATCGAATACCAAATCATTTGAATATTCCAATTGTTGAATTCTCTTTAGAATAAACTTTCTAGGCGATTGGACCTTTGCTAATGTTAGAATTACTTTAATCCCTTTTACCCACAACCACAAAACTTTCCCAGGTAAACAATCAATTGAAACCCAAATAATTTACTAATTCTCTGCAAATAGATGATTTTCTATTCTCGTCAAATAATTAACTGATTGGCACCAAAAGCCAATACAATCAAAGGTAAAGGGGCAGATTAACTCATAACTATGTTATGTTATTACAACTGTTAAGTCTTTACGAGTTTCTGGACTGATTTACCTAATTGTCGATTACTTTGGTTGATTCGTGATTCGATTGATTCGATCAGAAAATACTAACTCGATTTTCGAAGTAATAATCCAAAAATCTCATGAAAAGGACGTGCAAATCTATTTGATATTTATGGCTGTTTAGGACATTCTATTTCGAATGGCTAAATCATCATAAAGTTGGTCAACCAAGAGATGACCATTGATTAAGTATCGGTTGTTGCGAGTGATGGTGATGAACTGATGTCGTTAAAGTTAAATTGTGACAACACTTGAGGGGTTTTGTTAACATGAGAAGGTAAGTTAATCATTGATGATCCATTAAACTTTTTCTTTTGGATTAATTTACAAAATTAATACAATTAAATGTAATCAATTTCTGTTAGACATTAACATTTGTGTCTCTTCATTACCATTAGACTATTTTAACATTGATTATTACCAAGGAGAGAGATTAAAAATTAAGATTAGGTTGATAGCTACGAAATACAATACGAATTAAATAATTTACATTTTAGATTCAATTGTTCATTAGAATCGATTCAATTTTGTTTTCGGATTTAAGTTAATTGCTTTTAGGTTGATAAACTTATTTTCGGTCAGTTAATTCAGTTCAATCTTTCTGTCTATATTGGTTGCAAAATTACAAAAGTAATGAAAATGATTATTTAACATGAGACAATTAGTGTAGAAACAGCAAATGCTTTAGTTAATTTAGTAAAAATTGTTGAACAATTAATTGTTAATGTTTCAATTGAATCTCGTTACAAATTTTAGCAATTTCGTTTTTGAGTTGAGTGAAATTAGGACGTTCTGATGAGTTGATTTTCCAACAATTAACCATAATTGCCCAGAATTTATCGGTATTCGGAATTCCTTTACCAGGTTTGCTTAGAATTCCTCCTCCTTCTAGAAATTTAAGTAAATCAGCAATTGAATTCGGATTAACTGGATAATCTGGAATAGCACCAAGACTGAAAAGTTCCCATAAAGTGACACCAAAGCTCCAGACATCAGATTTATGAGTGAAAATGGGATCATTTCTGATCGATTCGGGCGCGTACCTATTAGGATGAAATATATTTCGGTTAAATTTTTAATCAATCTAAATTGTAAATCAAACTAACCATTTAAATGGCAAATAACGAGGAGTTCTGACAAAATAAACATCCTCTCCTGGTCCAAGTGATTGAGCTAAACCAAAATCTGATATCTTTACAGTGTCAGTCGAGGACATGAGTATATTTCGAGCGGCAAGATCTCTATGTACGATCCTCATTTTTTCAAGATATTCCATTCCAGAGACAATGTCATGAGCATATTTTTGCAATGGTATCGATTTCAATTCATTAGGTTCTAGTTTACGAAGAAATTTGGCCAAAGATCCAAGTTCCATGAATTCCATGACTAACATTATCTCAGGATCTGAAGGAAAGAAATAAAAGAGAGTAAAGTAAATTAAATGAATAAAATCTCGTACATGTTATTACAATCACCGAACTTGCCTTTAACTATTCCAATAATGCTGACGATGTTTGGATGAAATACTTTGGTCATTATTTGGAATTCACGTTCAACATCAGTGATGATTCTTTGACCATTACGTTCCTTTGCTCGTCGGTTAATTCGCTTAACGGCCACAAAATTATTCGAATCAGCAGGATAACGAGCTTTCAAGACTTCACCATAAGCTCCAGTTCCCAAAATGGCTTCTCGACCATTAAAAGTCTTCACTATTTGAAGACGATTAACCGGAATGACCCAAGATGGATCAACTCTCTTAGGTTTACCATCATTGATAATAGGTTGTGTACCTTTCGATGAAATTGTCCATAATGATGGTGAGTTATCATTACGATTATGAACTACAGTCTTAAGATCATTTAATTCGCTGTAGTTTAATTCAATTTGGATAATTTGTTCCCACAATTCATTAGGTTTTGGTCTATCACATGGATCTTGAGACCAACACTGTTGAATTATTTTCCAAATTTCTGATGGACATGATGGTGGACAAAGAAGTTGATAAGCAAATCCATTCGGTTTTCGTCCAAAACTAAAAATCTCCCATAAAGTTATACCAAGAGCAAATATATCGTCTTCGACTGTTGGACCACCTTGAGAATCGAAACGTTCAGGTGATAACCAAAAACAATCACTAATTTTATTGATTTCCTTTGAACTTCTTTCACGGATCCGTATGAGTCCATTTTTGGTGGCATAGAAAGTTGAACATTTAATTAATCCATGGGCAATTTTGGCCTTCGATAGAGCGTCAAGTATTTTGACAACATATAAAGAAACTACCAACAAACCTTTGATTGTGGTTCGTTTGCGATTCATGATCAAGTAATCATCTAGAGCGATATCACCATCACTCGATGATTTGATCAGATCACGAAAAAGTCCACAAAATTTAGAGAAAACACTCATTCTGTAATGAGAATTGTAGTCAATACACTAAAAGAAAAAGTTAAACAGAGACAATACAATTTAATCAAATCAGTTTAATCGGGAGATGATCAGAAAAGCAAAAGGTTTAAGCAAAATTGGAAAGAGCAAAAAGACAATACTTTTAATTGGTTCGTTTTAATCGTTTTAATTTAATCAAGATTTTCATCTAAACAATTTAGACAGAAAAGAAAATGGAAATGTTTCTCTTCAAATGATCAACAATCGATTGGGGACAAAAAGAACACCAATCAAATTAAAAGCACAATTAATCACAATGAGATTCCCGAAGCTCCAAATCCTGATACTTGTTGTCGTTCTGGTTGTGCTAATTGTGTTTACCTTGATTATGCCAACAGATTAGAAGATCATTTCAAAGATGGAGGAATCAAAGCTCAACAGCAAATTGACCAGTTAATTGATGATCCGAATATTAAACAATTCATCAAGATGCAATTAGTAAATAGTAAGAGTAATTCACATGATCAACGATCATCTCTGAGTAACAATTATTGTGTTGATGATACAATTACAATGTACTCTCATTACTGTATTCAATTGCTAATGATGAATTAAATGTACCATAGGCACGATTATATGATTCAGTTAACGATGATTGTGAGTGTCGTTGATTATTGTGATGATCAGGTGGTTGATTGTAATTAGGATTATTCTGATTAAATTGAGCTCGTTTAAGAAGTGATTTAAGACATTTCCTAATGAAGATGTACAAATGAATCGCTGATATGAGAAGAAGTAAATTAATTATAATACTAATTGATAGAAAAATGATTCCATTGATTGTATCAAGTAGGATAACACGACAATCGTCAAAGGTGCAATCACAAGTTATTGATCGAGTGTCAATACAATTAGAACGTAATTGTCGCCTCCAGATAATCAGATCTAAAGTTAAATAGGTTTTACCGATTATGTCAATTGTATCGAGACAAATGAATGATAATAACAATCGAGGTTGAAGTGTTGTTGATGCTGGAATCCCAATTATTGATAATCCAACGCCGGTGATTGTGATTAAACCAAATAACCAATGATTCCAGGCCAAGCACAATCCAATTAACGATATCAATGAACTAAATACTGACCAAACTAGAATTGAATGTTGTAAACAAATCCATTCACTTTCAACTAAAATCCAAACCATTTTGTTGATTGTTGATTAAAATCAATTATAGAGATTGGGGATAATTGATTACAATTGGAAGAGGTTAAATTGTGACAACACTTGAGGGGTTTTGTTAACATGAGAAGGTAAGTTAATCATTGATGATCCATTAAACTTTTTCTTTTGGATTAATTTACAAAATTAATACAATTAAATGTAATCAATTTCTGTTAGACATTAACATTTGTGTCTCTTCATTACCATTAGACTATTTTAACATTGATTATTACCAAGGAGAGAGATTAAAAATTAAGATTAGGTTGATAGCTACGAAATACAATACGAATTAAATAATTTACATTTTAGATTCAATTGTTCATTAGAATCGATTCAATTTTGTTTTCGGATTTAAGTTAATTGCTTTTAGGTTGATAAACTTATTTTCGGTCAGTTAATTCAGTTCAACACGTGTATTCATTTGTGGATTTTCACGTATTTTGAGCAACAAATTTAAACTCGTATTTGGTTTGTTGATGAAAAAAGTTAATTTAACACAATAAATATTGACAATTCTAAGGATATTTGTTGCAAAATTACAAAAGTAATGAAAAATGATTATTTAGCTTGAGACAATTAGTGTAGAAACAGCAAATATTGAGACCAAACATGCTTTTAACATGAAGCTTGACCCTATTAATGATTGACCAATAAAATAAGCAATTAACACGATGAGGGGAACTTTATTGGATCCTCTGGACCAGTTCCAAATGAGTGTACAAGCACAAATACTTTGGATCTGAAATATAACAATTAGTAAATAGTTTGATTAGTTATAATATAACAACACACACTAGACAAGATTAATCAACTTACCAAAGTGATATTGGCTTCCATTGCACTAATTATGTGCCTCCAGTCAAATTGCATCGATCTAGCGTTTACATAAAGATCAATTACACGTGTTAGAAGAGATTCACCGAAACTCCATCCGACAGCAACACCTAAAAAATTGAAGAAAAGAAATTTAAAATTCCAATATGACATTACATTAACAATTGAAAATAAAGTGATTGACATATTTACCTAAAATTTTCACCTGAGCTAAACTGGCTTTCTGTTGTTTCATAAGAACATAATAAAGGCCCAAACAATCAATTGCTTGGTCGAAAAGAAAAGCAGGAACTGAAAGTGTTGCCATAATTAACAGTTTAATTATTTGTGTAATTATGTAAGCGAATAGAGCAAAGGAACACCGGTAAATTGATCCATATTCAGACCTGGAAATTGGAGTTGATTGAATAGAAGACAAAAATTAGTCAAGACAATGAATCGAGTGTATCGATGGTACAATATACTTACAGTAGAGTGAATTTGTACACGAAAAACAGCGGAACAAATATGAGAGCAATACAATTAATAAAATAGTAAAAACTCATCGTGATAATTTAATTTAATTGTTCGGAATAAAAAAGTAAATAAAAATTTAAGATGGAAAAGGTTAAAGTGAAGTGAAAATAGTAACTAATTGGCTATTCAACGAGCGAATAACAGCCAACACCATCTGGTGGAATAGAAAAACACTTCCAATGAATTCGATTTTTGGATTAATCGCCCTGAAGGTAAAACTAAATGAATGTGATTAAATTGTTTGGTTTTCTTTAATTATTTAACTTATGAAGAGATTTTAATTAAAATTTTTCCCAATTTTACTGTGATGTTTAATATGTACCTGGAAAGAATTTTAGAATTTGATGTGATATTTAATTTCTTGGTGAGAAAAATAAATTAGTTTAATTGGTAAGTAAATCTTGTAAATCATTGACTATTTACCTCCTGCTGTTGTATTTTATTTGACAATCAAAGTGATCGTATTTTAATTTAGATCATTTTCGACTTTTTCTTTGATCACTCTACGGGTGAGAAAGACTAATTAATTGCCTCTATTAGTTGATTAGAAGAATTTCTAGTCTGTAGACTAATAGATGTAAAGTGAGAAAGAAGATTTTTGTTTGGTTTTCTCATGATCATAAACATTGATCTTCTTTTTCTCATGATCTTGTCAATTTCTTTGCCTCTCCTTTTACTTTCTTTCTTTCTCTCTCTGTTTAAATGATCTTTAGTTGGGTAAATTTCTTAGAAAGTGACAAATTATTATTACATCGAACCTCCTAATTCCACCCACCATGAACCTCTGGTTCGGGTATAAAAAGAGAGGGTGGAAATTGAGTTGATCGTCATTCGCTTCCTCGTCTTCAAGCCTTTTACTTGATCTTCACTTGATCTTCACTTGATCTTCACTTGATTTTCATCTTTTACCTTTTTTCTTTTTATCTTTTTTTCTATTTGTTAATTGTTCTATTTTCTTAATTGATCAAAATGTCTACTGTTACCGAAAAAATCATTGGTTGGAATATTTTATCAGAGGAAATTAAAGCAATCAAATTGAAAGATTTGGTTAATTTAACTCGAACCTTTGAAAGTCTAATTAATGATATCATAATCTCCGAAAGTGAAAGAGCTGTTTTGGTGAGTTTAAATGATTTTTTTCTTCTTTTTTTGCTTCTTCTCATTAATAATTCTCGTTCTTCATCTATTATTAGGAAACTCATAAATCGGTTATAATTCGTGAAGAGAAACAACAATCATCTGTCATTGATTCGAATATTTCTTGGGAAGATTCGCAATTGAACAAGTCAATTTCTAAAGTTGATTGGAGTATCGAAGAGAAGGGAAAATCATCACCACCCGAAGATAAAGACTCTGAAGTATTCGTTTGGCCAATGATCGATATTATGACTGAGGACGAAATGAATAATGAGACTGATCATTGTAATGGAGATTCAGGTGAACCAGAAGAAGAAGAACATCAAGAAGAACAAGAGAAAGAAAAAAGTTCCAAGGGCGAAATGGATTGGAATGGAGGAACCAATTGGTGCTAATCAAACTCTTTCGACGATTTGATGATTTGGACACTTGAATATTTAATTTGATTTCAATTCCATTTTTCATAACATTTTCTATTCTCTCAACATCAATTTAACTTGAATTTTCTTTCATTATTTCATTTTAATCATTTTCACTTTGATTTTGTGTCCAAAAACCATAAATACAAGAATAAAAACTTAATTCAAATTCCAATTGCAAATGTTATCCAATCAACTTATTATTCTGAGAAAAGAGAATCGATGGAATAGATTAGAAAAGATCGATTAAAGATCAGAAAAGAAAAGAAGAAGATCGATTGTGGTCGATCAATGCTCTCAAATTCTATTCTGTTACTTTACTTTGTTCTCAATTCTCTTAAGATAATTTTAAATCTCTTTCTTTCTATTTATTGTTGTAATTTAATTAATTTTCTAGAAAATAGTTTTAATTACTTGAGTTTCTTCGCTCTACCAGCGTCCATCTCAATTCTGCTCATCTGTTTGACTCCGTCATCATCTTTAATAATTGGATAAAGGAGAAAATGTCTGAGTCTGAAATGATTAGAAATGACAAAAATGAAGCCAAATATTCATCAACAACTCAAAAAGTTAATAAAAATAAGGTAATTAGAATGTGTCAATGTCTTTGTGTGTCTAACAATCAACGTTTAAATTGTTCTTTTTCTTTTTCTTTCACTTGTTCATCTCTTTTTCTATTGCTACTTGTTTCTCCATTTTCCATTCTTTGTTTTCTCTTCTCTCTCCAACCTCAACCTTCTCATCTTCCTCCTTCTTCTCTTTCTGCTCTTTTTTGTGAATGCTTGATTTCTCTCTTGATTGAGAAATTTATTCTTTTTCTTCATTTTCTTCATTTTCTTGTCAAATTTTCTCTCATCTATCAATACCATGTTCTTTAATTGAGTGAATATTTTTCTCCGAGTTATATTCACGTCGCCATATTGGCCTCATGGTTTAGTTATTCTGTCCTTATGATTGGTCTTTCTCGTTCCTTGCTCTTTCCTGTTCTTAGAGGTGGGCCACTATATCGATGATGATCATGTTGTCTGTTTATATGAGACATCGATTTCTCTTACTTTTTGTCTCTCTTTTTCTGTTTGTAAACATCGATTTTTTTTTCTGAAAGTATTGATATTTCATCATTATCGATGTTTGAATTGTTAGAAAATTTAAAAATCGTCCACCTCTACTTGTTCTTCATCTTTCCGTTCTCATTCTTCAAGTTGCTTACAAATTTCTCTATCATTTTTGCTATCTATTACTCTCTTGAGATAAATTGTTACTACTTAATTTTATCGTTCTTGTATTCATCTAAATCAAAATATTTCCAATTTTTTCTTTTCAGGTTAAAGACTCAAAAGACTCGAATTCAACTATGAATGGTCCTGGTGACGACAAAGCCTTGGATTATTCTGCATCAACATCAACTAGCATCGGCAGTAACGATGCACGTTTTCTTGACGATAGTGATTATGAAGGTGTTCAAATTTTATTATCCATGAGAAGTAGAGTTTTCAACTGTAAATGTGGTGAATATCTAGATTCCATTAAAACCTGGAGTGAACACCAAAGAATATGCTCTGAATCGACGGAGAAAAGTAAGCCATATTTTTCATTAAATTCTTATTCATTAAAATTTCCTTTTTTCTTATTTTAGCCTCAGCTCACCGTGAAAAATGTCAACTTTGTAACAAGACATTTTTGACTTGCGTTGCGTTAAATATTCACAGTACAAAGAAACACAATAAGAGGAAAATCCGAACTGACTCTGTGATGCATTGTCCATGTGGTCAAAGTTTCACAGCCAAATGGAGGCAAAACTGTGTCCACAAACTAAATAGTCATGGACGACATTGTAAAGCATTTAAAGAACGAGGTATTATTATTATAACTTTTATTACATGTATTATTAATGAAAAACAATGTAATCAAATTGATTAACATGAATATTTCTTTTCTTTTTCAGAGACTCAATGTTCAATCTGCAAGAAGGGCTTCATCAATCGGAAGAGTCTCGAATATCATGGACTAAAGGCTCATAAATTGGCAGTGCCAGTCAATAGTTAAAATGATCTGCAATCAGTTTAAAGTTTGCAGGTGAATGTAAGGTGTTTGAAAGTGTGTATTTAACAACCAATTCTCTTTTTACCCTTTAATTAATGACAACAAAATGAATGACAACAGGTACTATCAGGACTTGGAACTCTGGGAATCACATAATAATTAATTAATCTGCACCTTTACCTTTGATTGGAATCACTTTTGATACCAATCAGTTTATTATTTGAAGAAAATCATCTTCTGTAAGTGAAGGATATTAGTAAATTATTTGGGTTTCAGTCGATTGTTTACCTGAAAAAAAGAAACAATTTATTAGAAAATAAAACGAAAAATCAACAACAACAAAAATGTATTCTTATTTTGTTAGAATACTCATCTAATATTAATCAGCTTAAGATTTAATTCTACAGCTGATTATCTAAATAATCCACTTGAAGTTATCACATGTTCAATAATTGAACAGTATTAGTCTGAAAACCACAAGACCAGCGATTCAAATCACAGCGAATCAACTGACCACAAAAAAGTGTTAATTGTGATCATATTGATCGCTAATCATCATCCTAATTAATCAGAAACAGAAACGATTAACTCAAGACTTTCATTCAAGTCTTTTCCCCAGTGAGACTTTAGTATTGTCATTAAGTAATCATTTAGACTCTCAAATAATATTTATTTTCCTAAAGATTAGATTTAATTGTTATATTTACATTGGGTGATTGTTGATTGAAGCTTTCGGGATATTTGACATTCAATTGTGTTGACAAAATAAACATTTTAAATAAATTAACTGTTGCATAGTTACAAATATAAAGAATACAATTGATTAGATAAATTGTCATTAATTAAGAAGGACAAAGACAAATATTAGGCGTATTTTGATTTACAATGTATTTAAATTGTTCTAAGATGATTGTGGATCATGTGAATTACTCTTACTATTTACTAATTGCATCTTGATGAATTGTTTAATATTCGGATCATCAATTAACTGGTCAATTTGCTGTTGAGCTTTGATTCCTCCATCTTTGAAATGATCTTCTAATCTGTTGGCATAATCAAGGTAAACACAATTAGCACAACCAGAACGACAACAAGTATCAGGATTTGGAGCTTCGGGAATCTCATTGTGATTAATTGTGCTTTTAATTTGATTGGTGTTCTTTTTGTCCCCAATCGATTGTTGATCATCTGAATAGAATCGTCTTCGAGACTTGATTACAATCAGTAGATTGCTTTTCGGTTTAAGTTCAACAAGAGATGTAAACATATTGTAATTTCTCATAATTAACTATTTAAAGATAATCAAAGAAATGGAAGATTAAAAATTAGTTTTCTTAGTTGAAAGTTAATAGTAAATATTAGAAATCATATTGGACTTTAATCAATAGAGAAACTATTTGATTGTTCAATGAGAATTATTAATATTTGATGAAGAGAAAGAGTTAATTGAGTTGTATTGTTTTTCTTTCTTGTTTACATTTACATTTCTTTTCTCATCATCTTCGCAATTAATTTGATTCTTATTTAATTAATTCTGCTCCTTTTCCCACTCACTCTGATTTTCTCGTTTCAAATAAAAGAGAGGATGAGAAATGTTTCGATCATCATTCGCTTTCTGACCTTCAATTGATCTGTTTGATTTTAGAATTTAAAATGTCTCGTTTTGTTGAACAAATTTTTGGTTGGAACATTTTACCTGAAGAATTAAAATCAATCAAATTGCAACAATTGGTTGATTTGTCTCGTACTTTAGATCGATGGATAAGTGAAATAGTTCTCTCCGAATATGAGAAATCTAATCAGGTGAGTTGAATTTTCGTTCTGATTCTTCTGAATCTCTCGACTAATTTGTACATTTTTTTATCACTTTTTTTTCAGAAAACCAATAAATCATCAGGTTTTCGTGCTAAGAAACCACAACCACAACCAAAACAATCATCTTCTGCATCACACAATACTAATTATAACACCAATTACGAAGAAGAGGAAGAAGAAGAAGGAGATCGAAACAACGATCAATTGGATTGGAATAGTGAAGAAACTGGAATAGTTCAAGGCGATCCATGGGATTATCCAGACTGGAATATAAGTGCCACTTCGGATAATAATCTTTCTCAGTCACCTGAAATCCTCTCTGACCCAGACGATCTTCGATGGGATTAATTCGTTTCCACTTTCGTTTTAAAACTAAAATCTTAAATCTCCATTGAACCTTCCAATGATTCCATTCTCTTAGATTTCTCTTACCGATTCACCTGAACCTCTCCACTTATATTAACCAATCTCCTTTAATTTGATTGTAAACCAATAGTATTCCTACTTGATAGTCCAGAAAAAAAATAAACAATATTCATGATTTACCATTTGAATTTAATCAACTCGATCTTAATCCATCTTCATAATGTCATTGAAAATCAGTTCTCCTTAATCTGAGAGAGAAAAGATAGAAAAACGATTTGAAATTATGAGAAATTCTCCTGGAGATAAAATCAACAAACCTTTAATTTAGCAAAAGCAGTTTAAAAAACAATTATCCACTAATTAAACCGGAATTAAACAATTACTCTATCAAAGTTGATTCTTAATTTTGTTTACAAAAAAATTGTTTTGATAACATTAACCGAAGACAGAAACCGTAGCGGCTCCGGGTCGCAATCGAAAAGCGCGAAATACAAAAAGTTTCAGTGATTGTGAAGTTTTCTTAAGATTTTGATCCAAAGCTCATTTAATTGTTTTAATTGTTTTTATTGACAATATAAAAAAGCACAAATTAAAATGTAGAATTGAATTTATAATTATTTACAATGAGAAAAATAAGAAAGAAAGGAAGAGAGAGAGAGAGAGAGAGAGAGAGAGAGAGAGAGAGAGAGTAAAAAAGAGTCAAAATCACTGGTGATGAATGAGAAGATGATGAAGATGATTTATGAAGAAAAATTCAGATTGGCTGTTGATTTGGTATCAGCAACAATTAACTTGATTATTTCAAGTCTAATCAAAACATTGAGATGATAATGAGGTGATAATTGGTATTAGAAATGTGGGCAAACAAAAAATATAATTACACAACAATTAGATGGAAATCATTGATTTTAGAGTAACAATTAACCAATTGCAAGGAGATGATTAAGATAGAAAAGCAAAGAAACTAATCAATTGTTGTTGTTGTGCATTAATTAATCTTTAAAACTTAACAAACTTTTCCCCAACATTTTCTAGAGACCAAATAAGCCCAATAATCCACTGTTGATCCCTCCTAATCCCGACATACCCCCAGGGCTTCCTAAGCCTGTTAATGAGGCGAAATTTAAACTTGGTAATCTTCCTGAAAGAAGATTAGTTAATCTAGTACGAATTCCACCGAAACTTCCAGAAGATGAGGATGAAGATGTCGAAGGATTTGAAGGACCACCACCAATTCCCACCATCGATCCAGAAGATGAAGGATTATGATGAAGATGATTTCCCTGGAGCTTTGGACCAGCAAAGGAGGGAAAAGTGTTACTCATGGCCATGGCCATTCCTTTCATTGGATTATAACTCGACGAACCAGAACCAGAACCAGATAAGAACCCAAATGAGCCCAAACCCGAAAGTGCACTTGACATAAGTGAACCATAACCTTTGTTTTTCTTGTAATTATTTTTTTCCATCCCTATGAGAAAGAGAAATGAAAACAATGAGAAAAATTAACGAATTTTGTTCAAACTGACCAACTGATGACCATTTACCTAAATCTCCTGAATAAGGTTGCATTCCACCAAAATTTAAAAGCGCATCGGAGTCAAAAGTCATATCACCGAAGCCCGTGAAATCATCAAGTCCAGTGTCAAGTCCACTTGTCGCTGATGGACCAAAAAAGTCACTTGGATTGTAGCCTAAAAAAATGTTCATTTTGAAGGTTAATCAACAATAACAATTAGAAAAGGATGATTGTAGATTAAGTTAATCAAACAAAAAGAGATAATTACTTGGACCAATTGGATCAGCTTCATTTGTACCGTAAGGTAATGAATCAGATGAAGCAGCTCCATAAGCTGATCCTAATCCATCATCATTAACTGTTGGTTTAATCAATTTTCCCGTTGATCCCATCGGTTTAATCAGACCATTTCTATTAATAGTATCAATCAAAATGAGAAGGTAAAAAAATTAGATGAAATTTGAAAATAACAAACAAAACAATCAACTCGATGATCAGGGTTAATTGAAGGGACTAGAAAACTGAACTACCGTAAACAATTAACAGTTAAACAAGTAAATAAAGTAAACAAGCAAATAATCAACAAAATAATTGAGATAAATTGATTACAACTGACAAAATAACAACAGTTAACTTAAAGTTTTTCATTTTACAAATCAAATTAAGCTAATTGTCTGAATATAAATCGAGTGATGATAGTTGATTGATAATCAAAGTTTCCAATTGAATTCCAGTTAATAGTAATTCATTTAACCCAGAAAACTTAAAATAAGACAAAAGTGAAAGACTAAGACTCATAATAATAATGGAAAACTGTGAACTTGTAATAAAAATGCAGATGAAGATGAAGATGAAGATAATGATGATATAAGGGAAGAGAATTAAAGGTTAAATCATTGACGATGATGAAGAAGATGATGATGATTGACCTGAGGTTTTCTATTTGAGGAAACAATTGACGAAGAGACTGAAGAAGAGAAAAGAAATTAACAATAGATCGACCTGGAAAGAGAAAAAAAAGTTCTAACCTTTTCCTTTTGTTCTGTTGTTGTTATTCACTGGTTAACATGAATAATAACAATCGAAAGTGGACTCAATTTATTTTAGATTGTGAGATGATCAAAATTAACCAGTAACATCGATAACAATCAACTTGATTCTCATTCAATTCAATCACAATTTACTATTGATATAACTCTCTCTCTCTCTCTCTCTCTCTTTCGTGAGACCGGAAGGTTCATCATCATGTTGATTATTTTAACGGCAACTAATCAACAATTTAGGTCAACAAAATATTTATCTAACTCATTCACTTAACTCGTCAATTGATTGTGTATTATAAGGGCATATACCTTTTGTTATTGATTAACTATTAATATTGTTAAATTGTTGATTAAAATAGTGATAGACTGGAAGACAAGTTCAGGGTAAAAAAAACCATTACTTTGATTTAGATGAATAAGATTGGGAAACAATTTAATTGTTAATAATACAACTGCTACTACTATCGGCAATCAATACGATAGACAATCAATTGAAATTTTTTACACTTGACATTTAACGTTAATAACAATCAATGGACGGAGAGACTGAGAGAGAGACATTTACAATTAGTAGATTAACCTTTTTTTTTGTAACCCTTATAGTTGAAATTTAATCAACTATTTTTAAGTTAATTGTTGCAAGGGTTTGGATTAAACGAGGTTGTTAATTGTTATTCTGGTTAATTTCAAGTTCAATTCAGATAATTAATTAATAGTTGGTCACTTACCCAATTCCATCAGATGGCTTGAGATTTGATAGGAAACCATTAGATGATCCCATTAATCCTAATCCTGGTAATCCACTTGATCCACTATTAAATCCTCCTTGGATTTTATCATAATTAAAAGCATAATTAGGATTACCTTGATTACTGTTACCATTAAGTTGATTGTTGTTTTTATTCACGGTGTTGACATTGTTATTATTGTTGGTATTCATGTGATGATTATTGTTAATTGGATTACTATTAATTGAGTTAATTGGTCCTTGATTAAATCGTTGATCCTGATGAAAAAAGATGAGACATAAAAATAGACAATTAAATTTGAGAATTGAATTTGATTTACTTTTCTGTATTTTCTCACTGTTGATTGTAATTATTTAGCTAAATTGTATTCAAATTGATGAGAAAAAAATGATTAACTCAATTTTATCACTAATTATGTTTGATGAAATGAAAATTTCATCAATTTATCATCACTAATCAACTTTAATTATCAGAAACTTAATCAACAAACACCAAACTGTTTCCCATGTTGATATAATAATTGAAACTAATTCAATTTAATTGCTACCATGTCCTTGATTATGTAAATAACAAATGAAATTAAATCACAATTATCTGGTTAATGATTAACTTTTTTTTAAAGGTCTCAAACAATTAATCAAATCTAAATAATCAAATTCACTTTTGTTATTGGTTAAAAAAATATCTACAACTAAATTTAGGAACTAAATTAATTCATGATTAGTTAACAATAAACTGACCATCAACATCACAAATATTTTAATCATAATTCAATTGTTATCAATATAATAACAATTTAGCAATTATCCTTTCAATTGATGGACAACAAAAGATTTAAATTGTAATCATAATTTAGTTAATCATAATAACAATCAAAAAAAAAGGTTAATTCATGAAAAAAATACTGTTTAGATTCATTAGTCTTAACAATTAACTTTGATTGTTGTCCAATTTACAATATAAACTATCATTATCATCTTATTTAGATTCAGTTAAATCAGGAAACAATCAATTGATTTACTTTAACAATTAAGAAAGAAAAATTTTATTAAACTAATTGTATCTTTAATCCAGTTGAATGTATCGTTTCATTAACTTAATATGTTGTTAAATTAATTAACTTTCCAGTAAGTTAATTGTTTTTGATTGTTGTTAAATCAGATTGCGTGATTAAAAAGTGATAACATGCAATCAGTTGGTTAAAATTTACGATGATTAACTAACTACTATTTATAATGATCGCAATTAAATATCAGAATGAAAAAATTATGTGTCCAATATGATCAAGTTAATCCCTTTGATAAATTAGCAACAATCATAATCATCCTTAATCCTGATTAACAATTGAATTGGGGTTAATTTTGTTAAATTGTAACTTTTAATTTAGTTTGTTTTTTGCATCTTGACAAGTAAACAATAAGTTGTAAAAACAAATTGTTAATTGTGATCAATTTTTTCATCTTGATTGTAACCAATTTAAATTGTTTCAAACAAAAAAACTTAATCAATGTGTCTCTCCTATTTTTTTTTGGTCTAACAAAGTTAATTGTAATTAAAATTAGATCTAATTTAAGTAACAATTTACTAATTGGTTTGGAGAAGCAAAGAAAAGAAAAAAAAACTTTGTTTTAATTGTAATTAACTTTTTGTTTCAATTGTAAGTTGATTGTTTCATGATAAGGTATGTAATTTAATAGTGATTAAGGTAATTGATTATATAAGACTAACAATTTAATCCTGTGAAAGTGATTAAAAAGTAAATGGTAATCAAATTGTGTTACGATCATTTACAAATTAACTTCTGAATTTTACCACAACTCGTGCTGATTAAATTTCAATTTAAAGGTAAACAATTAGTTTGATTGTTTCTATTTACCTGATTGTAGTTTTTATCGAATCCCTGGAAACCGGTGGGCCTAATTGCACCATTGTAACTGTTTCCTCTTTCCGATCTAATTGGTTGAGAGTAGCCATTACCACCCACAGAACCCACTCCACTTGGACCATTTGCTTGATTGTTAACGTTAATTGGAAAGGGAAAAGTTGATTTATGTTTACCCGATGAATCTGAGTTTGATGAAATGATGGAATTGGGATGAGTGTGATGATGATGATGATGATTAAGTGGCGAGTGGTCAAAGGAAGGTGATGAAGATGAAGATGAAAACAATGGTTTCTTAGCGGTTCCCGAAGATTCTGACCCGCTGTTATAACCCATGTTACCATAGCCTCCGCTGTTTGATCCTCCAGAGCCCACAGAACTTGTCAAACTAAAGGTATTGAATGGATGATCTCCATAAGATGATCCACCACCTCCACCACCACTTCCACCCACTCCAGTGTTTAATCCACTTGAAGGATAATCATAATTAGACATATAATTACTGTTACCACCATGATAACCTCCACCTCCATTACCCATGTAAGAGGGTTTACCTGAAGGACCAGATGATGAGCTTGGTGATGAATAAGATGATGATTTGTCTCCACCATCACCACCTCCAGGTAAATCACTTGGATTATTTTGATTACGTAATTTATTTGTCACCAATGGGACTTTGATGTAAACAATTTGAATCTTTTTACTTTTATTAATATCAGTTGAATCCTCGATCGACCCATAACTTATCAATGGTAAACACAAAACTAATAACGTTATCTGTTAATTAGATGCAGAAAAAATTAGTTAATTGTTGTTACTATGATTCACTTTCAACTTCATCAAAGAGACATGATAATTAATAAACCAAGAGAGAGATGCTATTTTGATCCCCTTTAATTGTTACTATTAACATTTAATTATCTCCTCTAAAAAATGTATTGATATGCTCGATATGATATTAATAGTGATTAACAGTGATTATCATTGTGAAATTGATTGAAAATATTAATCATACAAAATTATCAATAATTATTAGCAATCATCATCTTAATTATTTTTCATAACTTGATAACTTTGATTGTCACTATTTTCATTCATTAAATTGTATGAATGATTTGATTTCTGATGAAAAATAAAACTTTTTTTTCACAATTTAATGTATCTATTAACAGTTAGAGGTTAATTATGTTTCTTGATTGTTATATTTAACATTGATACAACATTGATGATACTTGATGATGGTTATTAAATCAAATTGTTAACTTGATCTATTTCTGTTGATTAGATGTTATCAACATCTAATCATCTTGATAATGATGACAACTCCATAGGGTTAACTATTAATAAATCAGATTGAAAAGTTATCATCAATTTTAATGATCACCTTAAAACCTCAAAACTGTCAATAAATTGTTTCAAATCAATTGTCGTAAATATCATTAACAGACAAACAAATCATCTCATCACAATTAAAGGTAAACAATCAAGTTAATTTTGTCTATCCTTTCAAGTTCATCGTTACTTTTTTCTTGATTAATCACAATTGATTAAATTGATTGTTGATGATAACCTTTTTTTGCTGTTGATGTTTTTGATTAACTTAATCCTTTGTTGTCTGTCACCAAAAAACAATCAACACGCAAACACAAAGACGATAATCAATTGATTGTGATTTCAAAAATGATCTAATCCAATCAGCAATTTAGCAAAAAAAAAATTCATTATGGACAATTAATTGTAACCAAAAACAGAATCAATAATATTAGAAACAAACAAAAAAGTCGCTAATTGAATAAAGGTAAATATTTAACGATCGCAACAATTAAAACAACCACCAACGAAAACAATAACACTCCAAGTGACCAACAACTGACCATTGATACAGATTAACGTTAATCTATTATTACATTCATATTATTTATCATCGTATTGTTATAGATAATTATTGTATCATTATTATCATTGTAGTTATTGTATTTGTTGTAATACTTTTGATAAACTGTTTGTTATAAAAAAAATACAGGTAAATGAAACAACAACAAGTATACACATTGAATCAACCAGGTATGAAGATGAGGATGAAATGAAAAGTAAAGGGAGAGGAAATGATGATGATGATGATAAGAATTGAAATTTTCTGTTGATTTTAATTGTTAACAGTTATTTTTAACAGCTTAACGTGGTCCAAGATTAAACTAATGACCATAAACGATGTAATTTTCATGATACATTTTGAATAATAACTTGACCAGCACTCGGAATGATTCATTTATTATCATTTGAATATTTTTATCATTCAGTTTTTTTTTCCAGGTGATAATGGTTATCATGATAATTAAGATTATCATTGATTGAATCTTTTCTAAGCTTCCGGAATAAGTTTATCAATTAGATTAATGATAATTAGTTAATCGTAATAGTGAAAGTTTCATTATATAATTTTAACATTATCATTGTTGTATTATTAGCATCCTGCTAATTAACGTTGATTAAGTGACTCTCTTTTGTTACTTAGTGTCTCTCATGTTAATTGTTGATGAGTTTGTTTTAATTAGTATTATAACAATTAGTGTTGTTGATTATTTAATTTTCTGGGAAAAGGTTTCATTACTTTTGAAATTTTCATTATTCTTCTTGAGTGTTGATTGATGTTTTAATCTGATTTTGGAAATGAAATGTTGTAAATTATCACAATTAAAGGGTTAATCTTGATTATGATGAAAGTTTTTTTCACATATTTATAGATTTGATTGATTAATTTTTCAATGATTGTGATTGATTAAATCATATTGTATAATTTATTTACTATAAATTGAATTGAATCAACGAGTTGAGGTATCATCATGTTGATTGTTACGCTGTGTTTTACAATCAATTTGTAAATTGTTTGCATTCGGTGAGGTACAATCAACATGATAATGCATAATAATTAGAGGCTTAATCATCAACAATTGTAATGAGCAATTGTTTTCAATTGTTGATTAAAATAGTAAGTTGAGAGAGAGAGAGAAAGTGATTAAAGTTATGATATTGTTCATATTCATGGTAATGAGAATCAAGAATAAATGATTACCCTGAGGCTAAAGAGTCGAATTTTTTCAGAATTATTCTTCTATTCTTTTTTTTATTCTTTTCTTTTACAAAAGTTCTAATATCTTCTTCAGGTGATGAGAACTTAGGGAGGAGTAGGAGGTGGAAATCGAGGGAAAATATTATAAGGAAGAGATTGTGATGTTAAAATTAGATTAGAATTTAAATTCGAAATGGAAAATAATAATTCTCTTCTTCTTTCCGCTCATTGTTTCCTGTTAATCATCGTGTTGATTGTAAATCACTTAAATAGTATCATGATTAACTTGATAATTTGTGAACTAATCAGATTGAAGGTGATCAGTGTTGATTTAGGGGAAAAGTTTGTGGGTTTTTAATTGTATCAGCATCGTAAACACAATTAGGTGTATCCTTTGAATTGTAATCAAATTGTTTGACAATAATCAACATTTGAATTGCTTGATTACTGCTTATGATTGATTAACTTTTGAAATGTTGCAAATTTTAATCCAACATTTGATTATTTTCCTAATGTAGTAACAATTAAAGTGATCAATTGATTGTGAGAAGGTAAAAGTTGATTAATCAAAAAGGTTTCAACTTACTTGAGATATTTGTAACATTTTTGTTTATCCAATTTGAAAATTTGTATTCACAGACAATTAGATTAATTGTTGTTAATTACATGAAGGGACACAATCAAATTAAAGTTGGATGATCCTTCACACAAATGATGAAAATGATTAAGATGATTGTTAATTGATTCCAAATGAAGAAAACTTTGTTCGAAGAAAAAAAAAGTTGTTAACTCGATCGACTCTGTGATTGAAATGACGATTGTGATGATTCTGATTCTGATGAAGACGAAAACGATGATGAGGATGCTAAAGAGAGAGACGAACTAAACTCTCTCGTGGTTGTAGGAAAAAAAATTCGCTTCGATATATAGAGACCATTCGTAGTCTTAGTGGGTCAGTAAAGGGGAAGGATGAAGATGATAAGAAAGGGTAAAAGTAAGAGAAAAGATGATAAACTAATCCACCCCCAACACTAAACTTGATCATCTTCATCTTCGCACTTTCTAGCTCATCCTTTTCCCTCTCATCATCATCACCAACTCACCGCCTTCTTCTGGTCATCATCTTGCTCTTTCTATTCTTCTTTCTTTCTCATCATCTTATTTATCATCTTCATCACTTTTTCATCTTTCATACAATCTACTTTCTCTCTCTCCCTCTCTCTCTCTCTCATCTTTTGTTACGAATCCTCTAGATGTTAAATCAAGACACTAAACAAAATGGATTAAATTGAAAATCAATTGAATTTAAATTATCGTATAATTTTTACAATCACTTGGATTAACAAACTAAACAAAACAAAAACGAGTCCACATTTTTTATTAACAATTGAATCTTAATCCTAGATTTAAATCATCAACAGTTAATACAACAGATTAAGCTTTAAATTTTGACAACAATCAACATTTTATCAATCACCATTATCATCATCGTCCATACAAACACCCGATGTGGTAATATATTGATCAGATAATCATCTCTATCTAAATATAATCCAATCAAATCTTAATCCTGGTATGTCAATACATGATTAAGCTAAAAATAATAACAGTTAATTGTGATACTAATCACAGATTGTTCAAAACTAAACAGAAATTAATGAGATAAACAATTTAGCTTCTGTATTGATATGATTACACTTAATTGTTACATGGTTAAACTTTCACTCCAATTTAGATTGAGCAAATTGAATATCATCCGATTTATTAATATATATATAATAAGTATCAATCTAATTTGATACAATAATATTCACAATTAAATGGTAGAAAAGGTAAACAATTAACAAATAAAATTGGTTAATTGTTATAACAAGAATACGTTAATCAAAGTGATTTAAATTCAAAGTCAGAGGTTGATCTTAAAAAAAAAATGATGAAAATAGTTTTTACAACTTTATAATAGACATGATGATTAGTTAATTGCTATGCAATTGAATTAAATTGTTTCAATAATCAACTGGTAGATGTAAATATTGATCCTGATTGTGATTAAGGTTAAATTGTTAAATAAAACTGGTAAAGTTTTATGATAAGCATAATAAGTTACCCAATTAAATTGTAGATGTAAAATTGTTTGTTGTGAAGATTGATGATGATGAGAAACAAGAAAAATTATGTGAACATGATAATGATGAGGATGATTAAGATGAGAGGATGAGGATGATGGCGGATTAATGATTAAAGAGACAAGGATTGGTCAGTTTTAAGACACAATAAGTAAAGTGCATTGAACTTGATCATTGGCTCGTTAATTCAATTGACTATTTATCCTTCATTCATGGTTATTGTATATTCATTGAGAGAGAGAGACAAGATTATGATGAGAAACTGATTAAACATCAGTATATATGATTAACTAATCATCATCATAATGGTTCGTGATTTAATATGATTACATAACACACACATACACATACACTGGTTATGGCAACAATTATAATTAGTAAATTGAATTCTCATTAAATAATAACAATTAAGCAGCAAAAAAAAAGCTCAATCTAGTCAGAAAAATATATTTACTTTTATTTGAAAACAAATTGTTAGTCAATCTTTTTTTTTCATTATAATGATTCTGTTGATTTTAATCACAATTAACTCTCACTCTTGAATCTTTTTTTAAATTGTTTACAAAATAATAACAATTTAAATTTATGCACTTACTGCTATTAAAATGATTACCTTATATGTGTAACCATGATTAGAATCAACAAGAATGATGATCAATCCAATAAATAGTAAAATTCAAACTGTGGACTTGATGTAAATCTTGAATCGTCCATTGAATTATTGATTATTATTATATCCGATTGACCAGCAAGTCTCCTCTCTCTCTCTCTCTTGAGTAGTGGTCAAGAACCATAAAAATAAACAACACGCTGACCTCAACCGGTAATCAATTGATTCCCAATTTTAAATGATATTTTTTTCCTCTTCTTTTTCTATTCTTCATTGTTCTTTATCATCTTAATCACCATCATCTTCATCACTGGAACCAAAGTTTTTTATCACTAATCTTGATCCCTAATCTTTATCCTTTCTCGATTATTTTTATAACTTTTTGCTTTTCTTTTTCCTCGTTGAATTTAATCCATCATCATCAGCATCTTCTTCATCATCTTCTTCATCATATTCACTGATAATAAACAACACAACGATGTTATTAGTTGATTATCTTTCATCACCATCATTATCATCATCGTCACCATAACCTGTGACCTTAATCGGATGATAGTTTCATCTTGATTTTGGTTTAATTTTTTTCTTCCAATGAAATCAAATTGTTGCCAACTTCTTAACTGATCAAGTAAACAATCAAACAATTTAACCTGATTATATGATTGTATTTGTGTGTGTGTTTGTGTTGTATTGTAAATGTTGTTTATTAAACTTGATTAACTTTTCGCAATAACATTTATTTTTTCCGATTATTCTGTGGATTTGAAAGGCCTACAAGATTAAGGCTTTTCCACTTAATCAACTAATTACTTTTTCTCATCAAGAGTTGATCAAAATTAACATTAACATTCCCATTCTCATTTACTCAGTTTTAATTATCTGATATCTTTTTTTTATATCGTCTCTTTTTCCCACCAACAATCAATTTGATTCCTAATTGTGATTATATCCTTTTTCTGGGATATTATTAATCACAAAAGGATGTCAACATGAAAGTCAATCATTTCCAATCAATATCCTTATCCTTTTTTTTAATCTGATCTCAATACAAATTAATTTTTACAAGAATGGAAAAAATTTCAGCAAACTTTTTTATCCAACAATTAAATCTATGATTAATCAATTGTAACGATTTAAGATTAATATTTATATGGTGCAAATGATTAAGATTGTGAAACTTTGGCAACAAATAACATGACACTTACCTTGGATTCATCAGATTGTCAGTTAATTGTCAACAATTAACTCGTCTTTCTTTTTTTCATCCAGATCTTAATCCGGAATCAACGATTGGTCAACTTGCTAATATCTCACCACAATTAACTTAATTGTTGAAACTTGATGAGATATAAAATTGCAAATACTAATTGTGGATTTGCAATTAACTGTAATTTTATAAATTCACTATTGAAATTGTTTATCATTGGGCTAAACAATTGATGACTGATTGTTTTAACAATTAAGTGAAAATAAATTGTTTTTACAACAATCAATTAACAATTCAAATTTGATGATACTTTTTAAGATCAATACAATCAACTAATCAAATCTGATCAATAGATACACTTTTTTTTAATCTGGTGGCAATTAAATCAATTCAAATGATGATGATGATGAAAAAAGTACAATCAAATTAATTTTATCAATAATAATCCACAACAATTTAAAGGTGATTAATGAATGAAACTTTTTGTGTTAAACTATTATCGTTGATTGTTATGATTACAATTATTATAAATATCAACATAATTAACGGGATTATTAACTAATAGACTGATTTGATTGGCCTAAATCTTAATGTACTTTTTTTAATCACAATTAGATTTATCTAAGTTTCAATTGTGTATATTTTCAGGAAACAATCAAATTAAATCAAAATTGGATAAACAAAATTCAATTGTAATATTGACAATCAATTTATATACAAAATGATTAGTTAAATTACAATTAAAGTCTTTAAATTTCACTATGATATTTAATCAATAAACAATTAGCAACTTAAATTATGGTTAATTTTAATTGTCATTTAAAAGTGCAAACAATTTTTTATATGAAAATTAATTTTTTTTATACACAATACGATTGGTTTAATTGTTAAATTGTTAGCAATTTATGATTGATTAAAAGATCTGACAGTCATGATTAACTTAATCGTTTCATCATCAGGATGATGTGTTGATTATGATGATTAGTTTCAATCATTGTATTTGATTAATTTGATTGATTAATACACTTGATCAAAACAATCACAATCTAATTATAAACTATTAAACAATTAATTTTTATAAAAGTTGATTTGGAAAATCGTTTCACAATTAACTATCACAATTCAGATTAGAATTGTGATTATCATTAAACAATTAAATTGCTACAAAATTAACAAGTATCAACATTAAATCATTGACCAGAGATCAAGACTAATTTTGCTAACAATTAACTCGTTAATTGAAATATCAAATTCAATTTAAACGTTTACCAAGATTGTGATCAAACTAATTAAATCAACGATGATACTAATTATGATCAAAGTTAAGTGAATATTACAAAATAACAACAAACAATTGTAATCATGTTGAAACAATTAAACGCGATGCTTATGATTTGTAATGATTAAGAATAGCAATTTAGATTATGATTAAGGGAAATAATAAGTTAACTATTTGATGATCAATCATAATCAAGGATTAAATTGAATATAAAGAAAAAGTTTAGTTAATTCTAATTGCTAATTTTAATTGTTGATAATGATGGAAAAAATTAAAATGCAAACAAAATGTTTGATTGCTGTTAATCAAGATGAACAATTAACTTTCCTAATTAGATTGGGACAATCGTTTTGCACGTACTAACTTTTACCACGTTAATAAACCTTTGATTTTAAACTCTAATTAAAATGATCATGTTAATTATTAAACTTAATCACATTCAAAGTTAAATTAATTGTTTACCCAAATATCGGCTATTGTTATTTTCTTGACTTTCAACTAAATCATCAAGTTAATCATTTAATTGTTATTTTTATTATATTTTTTCATCCGTTTGCCCTTCTCATTTAAATCATAATTTAATTTCCGTTAGTTAGTTAATTCAGTTTATATTGTTTATTTCTTTTTCTTTCCTGGTTTAATCATTTGCCTTTTAACTGTATTTTCGGCGTGAGATTGATTAAGAAGCGAAAGTTTTTTTGTAACTTGGTTTTCTAAATGATTAATTTAATTTGATTATTAATAACAAATTGTTACAAACTTTTACACAATTGGTTTCTAATCATGTTAATCACTAATGTTTAATCATGATCATTTAAAGTTAAAATTGATAATTCATTCATAAGATTCAATCGTGATTCATGAACAATCAGAGGGACAATTGAATATTAGATTTCCTAAAATAATCAACATCCTAATGATTAAATTGTTTCTTTTTCTGGCACAATTTAGTAATTAATTTAATCGACAATTAGTTTTTCAGTTAATTTTAATCACTAATTTACTTTCAATTTCAATTTCAATCTTGTAACATATCAAACCATTGAAAGTCGTTTGGATCGTTAATTGTATAGATTAGTTTCCAATTTGCTGGGCAAATTAATTAAGTTAATTTTGATTAGTTTGATTTAACTTTTAACAGTAAATTAAGAGCCATGAATATCAACAATTTTAACTTTAATTGTGGTTATAATCAAGCTATGTGTATGTGGGAGTGATTTTTTTGCTTGATTGTTATAATTTGAATAGGATGGCTATCCTTAATTGTGAACAATTAACTTTGATAATCATCAGGATTGGGAAAGAAAATGAATATCTAATTATATTGGTTGATTAGTTTTTCTTAGTTCCTTTAAATTGTAGATAAAATTAACTAATCAACAATAAATGATTACCCAGTTGAGGATTAAAGTAAATCCTAATCATAGTTAATAAATGGTTAAAAGTTAATTACAATAGTTTCTGTGAAGATTAGTTTGATTCGTAATTAACTTACAATTAGATCAGATTGAAGATTTGTACTTACGATCAATTTAATCAACAATTAGCTCAACAAAATCACTTTCCATTGATTTTTGATTGTAAAAATTTAATCATCCATCCTGGTTAGTTACTAGTTATCAAGTGAACCATTTGATTAACTGATTTAACAATCAAGATCAAATTAAATATCCTTACAATATGAATAACTTTTTAAATTGTTACCTTTAATCATAACTTTGTAATGAAATTAAACAGTTAAATGTTTTCCTTTCATTCAACATCAATGATTAAATTGTTACTGTTGTTATTGTTTAATCACAAAAAGATCAACATCTAATTGTAGCAATCAACAATCATAATCAATATTGTTAATCAGATTTAATGAAAAAACGAGTTAATTTGCTTTTTTTTGCTCAACAATCACAATTACACGTTTCTTATTAAATTAACGTTCATTGATCTCCACGATTAGTTTTATTAATAATCCTACAATTAAAGGCAATTAAAATTAATTAATTCTATTGTAAAAACTCACAAATAATCAAATAAACTTATATAGTGACTGTTGATTTAGTTGACAGAAATTAATTGTTCTAATTACCGTTAACAAGATAATGTTTGATTAAGTTTAGGTGTTAATTTGATCAATCAAATTGATTTAACAAGTAGTCATGAAGTTAATCATTTCTAAACCGATAATCCTGATAATTTGTTGATTTCTATCATGATTTCAATCAATAATTTAATCTTCTACTCTTAATTGTCACCGTAAATCACTGAGACACGATTTCTATTAAATCATCATCTTTATTAATCATGATTGAGAAGATGGATCTTCTTAATTTCTCATTTTCTTGTGCCTCCAATCAATCAACTCGATTTTAGTTTCAAGTGAACAAAAAAATTAATCATTTCTATTGTTTAATTACACCAAAATCGTGTAATATATCAGATAATTAATCCAATCACTACCCAAACAATTAACGCATCATTGACATTAAATTGTGCCCGTTAATTGTTCAGGGGACAGAATTTATTTGTTACAGTCCGTGGACATTGATGTTACTTTTTTTGATTCTTTTTTTTTATCATTTCTCTGTAATTACAGCTAATTAACTTTTCAACGTTAAAACACAACCAATGAACAATTAATCACTTCAGTAATCATGATTAATGAATAATTTGTTTTAGTTGAGAGTAAGGGGGAAAAGAGATTTAAATTTTGATTTAAAACTCATCTTGGGCTAATATACAATTATATTTAGTTAATCATTGATTGTTGTGGGTGTTGTTTAATGAAGACTATTGATTTAATTGTGATAATTAAGCAGAATTGATACTTTGAGATAACTGTTAATGAGTTTCATTTCTGTAATATGATGAATTTCAAAGATTTTACCAAAGTTAATCAATGATTTATTCACGTGGAAATATTTGCTTAATTGTTCACATGATTATCTTCATTAGATTGAATAAATGATTATATTTATTCACAAAAAAAACTCATAGATGAGATTGTCAACAAAATTAGATCAACTATTATTTGAATGATTAAATCTCAAATAATACAAATTAAAAAGTGACGGGATGATTTCATCGTATGTATAATTTATCCATGGATTAATCAACTTAAGCGCTAAGGCAAAGCTTGGTGATAAGATTAAGAGATAGAACGATCAATCCTGTTGATAGAAAAGAGAAGAAAAAAAGGAAACAATTAGAGAAAATTTTACGATAAATTAACCATTGATGAGAAAGACAATTAAATAATTAGATTCTCAGAGAGAAGATTAGTCAATATCATTCATCTTATAAGCGGCCTGTCGGGGCTGACAAATATCTGCTTAGAAAGATTTCATCATAGAATCAATTAATAGATTAAATTGTCGGTATTAGAGGTTAATTGTTTACTAACCTTTGGATAATAAAGAAATAAATATATATAGATAATATAGAGAATTCCTTTTCTTCGTGATTTTTATAAAGAAATGACCGATGTTAATCTTGCAAGGCCTGAGGTCGATGATGAGTGACTCGTTGAGTTTGGTATATTTGATGATGTATTGCCGGTCGTTGTGTTGGAACCACTATTGCCCGATGCTAGAACAGTTGAACTGTTACCCGATCGTGAGAATTTCAATTGAAGTTGATTTTGAAGATCTTCTACTCGTTTTTCCAAATCTTGATTGATAGCAACCAATTCCTCGGTTCTCTCATAGATTGATTCGAGATCGGTACGATGAGAGAGATTCCAACGACAATAATAACTTTTCCAAGGTTCAATTCGACGATAACAAGCAGTTGGAAATAAAACTTGGTCCTGAGTTTTGGTTGAATAAAGTGGATTGATGAATTGGTGCATATTACTATTAATGTAAGACCATATTGAGATTGTTTCATTTTTTATATTGGCGGTGTTACGTTCTAACTCGGAATTACAAAGGAAGGTACCAAAAAGGCAGCTATACAGGTTATCCAGAATAGTTATCAGGAATCTCTCATTAAATTGGAAAGCATTCGGGAATTGATTGGTCATTTGCCAAACACAATCGATAAATTGTAGAAAAATGGGTGATCGATCACTGTCTTGCTTTTCCTCTCCATGTCCAATTCGAAGGGCAAACTCATGACCAAAACTGATCCATTCTTTTTCAATGAGAACCTCAAAACCAACAATAGTCCGATAATAAGAATCCAACATTATCATGGCAAGAGAAGATAATTGAGATGTTCTATCCCATCCATCGCTACAATGAACAACAACTGAGGTTTTAGCATTTTCAATTTTATCGGCGATCTTAAGAGCACCAGCTAAAGTGGCTCGAACATGTTCCAACCAATGAGTCGATTCGATACTTGAATACCAACGTTGATCATCAATTATGGGGAAACAAAATTCTTTCATCTTTTTAAGACTTTCTCTCATAACATGAATATTGTGAATATCCAAGAAGGAAATCTCAGCGTTAACATAGTTTTCTTCACTCTCATAACCTCCTCCACGAGCTTTATTGGCAACCGCATTTGGATGAGGCCGAGCATCCATAATGTAAATCTTGTGGGATTGGGCATTGGCGTCCATGATCATTTGGATATAAGCCTCATCCTCTGGACTCCTTTTACCGGCCACACCAACCATAGGTTGACTACATCGAGTGATACTTGCTTGAGTTAAAGGGTGGATCCAACATAAAACAGGTAGACGTCCCTTTTTCCTAAAAGCGGCCACTGCTTTCAGGCAACTGTCACCAGCATTAACAGGAACAACTAATACTCCTGGATAAGTGTCACAGAGAGAATAGTTTTCATTATGTTTAATCTTCCAGCTTTCAGACGGTAATCCTAATCTTTTATATTCGGCTATAGGTTCATAAACTGACCAACCATTGAATTGGAAAGTGGCTCCAGCAGTTTTGTAGATAAAAGCAAACAAAGGTAACTTGTTTGACACCGGGAAAGCATATTGACACAGTTTATTGAACAATTCTCTTCTTGAATGATTCTCCTGTTTATGGGCGAAACGAACATTACGAAAATCTTTACAAAATAATTCAATTCCATATGAATTTTCACCTTTACTTGTAGCACCACCTATTTTTTCAATACGATTGATTGTACACAATGGAACCTCAATTTTAATTACTTTATCAGAATCAAAATTTCTAAATACCAGACGATAATTGGTTAATGAGAGAGCACCAGGAACAGCACCAGAAAATGGACAAACATAATTAACCGTTTTCTTTTCCAATTGACCAACAATTACTTCACCGGGTAAAAGATCAACACCTGACTCATCAGGTTTATTGGTAACACTCATTATATTTCATAGAATAGAAACAAAAGAGAGACTAAATAATATTCAAAAAGGTTCAAATAGAATAGAAAAATGTAAACTCTGCCTAATTCTCTTAAATGAATGATAAGTTAATTTCTTTTATTACAAACAATCAAAATTAACAATTCAGATTTTTTTTCATCAGGATTGAGAAAATTCTGCAAAGATAAACAAAGAATAGAAAGAAAAATATCCCCTAGATGGCGTTCGAAGGGATCGTCAAAAAATTACATTTGAATTTCTTTCTCTTGATTATTCAAACAGAGAGTAATTAATCATTGATTAACCTAATTATCTAAATCCATTTAATCACCAAATCTTTTCACTTTTTTTTCTTTAACCATGTGAATATGATTCTAGAGAGAGATTAGAGAGAAGCTCAGGATGAATCAAAGAAATTAAATGTAAAGAGTTAAGTTAATCAGGTGAGTTTTTTTTTACCTCTTTTAGTAAACAAATTAACTGTTGAATTGGTTGAATATTAATTCACAAATGGATTGTATTTTCTTTGTTTAATTGTTGTTTTTAATTCTAATTATGTTTAGGCTACTCTGTTTTTCTATGGTGTAATAAGTCTTAGGATCTAATTGTTCATGAGATCTTCTTGTTGACCGGTTATAAGTTGTCTTTGGGGTTTTCTTTTTTTGGAACATTCTAGAAGTCGAAATTAAATTTCCATCACATTTATGATTGTGAATGGGAAAATTGATTTCTAAACCGATTTTCGTTTTGCAATTTATCATCAAAACATGAAGGTTCGAAGTTTCCATCAATTGCTGTCAATTGGTTTAAGAGTAAAACCATTGGGGTTTCTCTTCATATGAAAACTCAAATGGGATTTTTTCCCTTTCATTTCTTTCACATGAAAAAATTTCTCTCATTTGAAAGTTTGGTTTTTTTCAATTGGGAGACACTGTATATTATTCTTTTCCTTAACAGATCAATGAACCACCAGGAAGATGATTGATTGGAAGAGAAAAAATCGTTCGCCTAATGAGAGTATCTATTTCCTTATAACCCTTTTCATTTACCTTCTAAAACTTGATATTCACTTGGATGGAACCAGGTTGAAGCCTCTTACAAGATGAGGAAGAAAATCTGATTAGAACAAAAATGAGGATGATAAACCCAATTTCCCATCTTCTTCAAAGGAAAACATTAAGTTGCAATGAGAAGATGAAACAAATAAGTCCTCTTAATAGCTAATTAAACCTAATTTACTCCCGATATCAATTGACAACAACAACAACAACAACAACATCGTCACCATCATGTTCATAATTCCTGATTTCGAGATGATTACATTCATTAAATGAATACATTTTGTAACAAGTGAAGAAATGCAAAAAGGACCTGACCACAAAACGCTGTCGGCAAGTAAAGTAAAGGGATAAGTTTGGTACTAAGACACAAAGAAAAGTGCCTTCGGCTGTTGTTGTTATTGAGCTTCTCGTTTCATTTTCCATCAATCGAAGATATAAATAACAGAGAGAGAGAGAGAGAAAGAAAAAGTAAAAAGAAGACGAAGAAAAGAAGCAATTAATCTCGATTTAAACGGGCTGATGATAATTACCATTGGTCGAAAGATCAACAAGCATGGAAAAACCAGTTGCAATTCTTTCATCAACAGGTAACTCGTATTGAGAATCAGCGAGACCACGAGAAGAGCAAAACTATTGGAGTAAAGAAAAAGGATCAATGGAAATTGTGATTTACTCATTAAAACGAATCACTTACTCTGCGATTCTGGTTAATACGATTAATTGATTACGATCGAATTTCTTTTCTCTCTCTCTCAATTCTTCATGAATTGTAAATTAATTATTCACACATTTACTTTTTTTCTGTGTGATTTTTACCTGAAGGTAAACAAGGTTTTACCCTTTTCTTTTTCTTTACTATTTATTTATCATCTTAATTTGTTTCTTTCTTTTTTTATCTTCTCTCTCTCTCTTTTTCTCTTACCCTTTTTAATTTTTTTTCTCTTCCAGATACTCTGATTAATTAATTTAAGTCCGGATAAACTTGTTCTCTGCTTCCAATCAGTTGTAATAATAAGAAGAAAATATTAAGGAATTACCCGATCATCAAGCTCACAGATTCACAATCAGCATTAATGTTAATTATCATATTATTAATTTATCGGCGGGGTAATTACATCGATGATGCCACACATCCATAAGTAAGAAAAGGTAAACTTATATAAAGAATAACAATTTACTCTTATTGAGACATTTTAGTTAAACATCTCTCTCTGTATTCACTGCAACTTCCTTCCTTTAAAACAAATCATCACCAACAGGTCGCTGTGCCGTCGTTTACCTCGTGTCTTGTAGCCAACATTTCATTTTATCATCAATCGTGATCATCGTCCTCATCCAGTGACTTTAAGTGACCCAAACTTGACCCAATTTAACTTTACTATTCACTATGGTTTATCAAGAAGTTGCTCCAGAAATTATCGAGTGAGTATCTCACCTAAATTAACACTGAAATTCTGTGAGAAATTATTGTTGAAACTTGAATTTTTCTAAAATGTTTCATATTTGTTTTTCTTTTCTCTCTCTCTCTCTCTCTTTTTACCTGAAGGGTTTTCAATGCCTCTGAAAATCCGAAGAAATGTTTCGACCTTTGGGACAAAGCAGCGAAATGGATTGAAGAGAATCCAACTGCAATTCATCCTGATGATGTGAAAATGTTTTTCGCTCATTCGACTCCCGTAATTGCGTTTCTGGAAACTTATGATTGGGATTTAAATAAAGCATTTTCTGGTTTAATTTCAATTGCTCGTAAACGTCATGATGATCCTACGACCGATGTTAAATTAACTGATTTTCCAAGAGATTATCATGATCTTGGTGCTCTCCTTCCCAACCTAACAGATAAAAACGGTCGACCTGTGCTTTGGGTACGATCAATTGATCCTCCTGAAATGTTTTACCCTCAAGTGATGCGTATGTCCGCTTGGGTTACCGATAGATTCTGTGAACGTGTTTCCAGTTGCCATATGAAACCAGGTCTTGTATTTGATTGTCAGGTAATGACAACCAGTCTAAGACTATTGAAGGACATAATCACCATGCTACTACAACGATGTCCACCCTGGATTGAGTATATCGCCGTTGCCGGTCTTGGACCTTATTTCCGATTCTTTGCTCGGCTTGTTCGCGCTTTCCTACCTCGTTACCTCAAGGATTCACTTACTTTCATTGATATTGATGATCTTCCCAATCTCTTTGAGTTGAAAGATTTACCAGTTTATTTAGGAGGAGAAGTTAAACTGCTAAGCGATTCGGATATGGACAAATGTCCAAGTTTGACTGAATATTCGAAAATCCTTGGAGTCGACCCGATTATCTTTGAAAAATGGAGGGAAAATGTTCACACTAAATATGCAAAATATTCCAAAGCAAACAAGCTGAAGGCAATTGATATGATTGAACAATCAGCTTAAATCACTCAATCAACTTTTCTCTTCAATTTAATTTTCCACTTTTACTCTTTTCTTTTTTTAATTATTGATATTCTAATTAACCATTGTAATTAACATAATCGTCTCTTGTTTTTTTTCCTCTTTTCTCTTTTCTGCTCTTGCAAAAAGTTTCACTAATTTATTGTATATTGACCCATGTCAATTAACATCTATTGACAACATCAAGTTAGATAATTAAAACATTTATAATCCTTCAATTTCAAAGTAAAATCAAATTTAATGAGAAAAAAAATTAGAAAATACAAAAAATGATCAACAGATGGCGTTACCTCTTTAGATGTCAAGGTGACTTGAAATTAAATTAATTGTAACTATTAATAAATTAACTGATTTCTTATTCCATTGGTAATTAAATACCAACTGATTAGTTTAATCTTTTAATTCTTGAATGGTGATTAAGGACAAGATGAATTATTGGAACGAGTTTTAATGAGTTAATAGTAAGTTTCAATTTCTTTTGAGTTTTGTTGACTCAATTTCCCTCGACATTTGATTGATCTAAACAATCAAATTATGTTTTTCTTTTTTTTCTATGATTTAAATGAATTATTTTTTCCACCATGTTTTTCTATTATTCTTGATTAACTTGTGTAACAATTAATGTCGTTAATTTGGATAAATATACCTTCAGATTTACTATAACAACGGATGTCATTTTCTCAAGGTGATCGCTCTCGATGTGCACCGTTGATTGAACCTTGTTGGTTTTAGACAATTTCAAAGAGGACTGATTATTATTTCCTGACAATTTAGATAATTAATTAGCTGTTATGTTAAAAGGAAAAGTAAAATTTAACAAACAGTTAACAATGAAAGTGATTAACTAATTGTAAGTGAAGTCCAAAAGGAAAACAAAAAAAAAGGTAACAAGAGTTTTTCTTACAAAATGAAAACAATTTTTATTTAATATCCATTAATTTGGTTATAAATGATTAATTGTGGATTAATTCAGTTACTATTAAGGAACAGGAATGATATTTTCTTCAAGGGCTTCTAGTTAATCAATGGGTTCAGCGTTTGTGTTAATGGGACAATTAAAGGTTAGTTTATAAGGTCACAAGCAAATATGATTGTTAAATTGTTACGAGATGTGTTTTTACAGTTGAAGTGAAATTATTGTAATTAAAAATAAAGGCTAATTGTTAACTATTAATATTTTGTTTATACAGATTGGATAATAATTCGGAGAGGAAGTTAATTGTGAACAATTTACATCTACAAGATTGGTGAACAGTAAACTAAGGATTGGGAGTATTTTCATCATCAATCATTAACCATTGTGATACAATTAAGTTACAAGGATAATTGATTGATGCTAATTGTTGATTGTTGATATTGTACAGAGTTAATGGAGTATTATAATCACAGTTGGTGCTGTAAGTATTGATAGTTATCTATTATATAATTGTATTTGCATCTAATTTATATCGTAGTAGAAAAAGTTAATTGTTTCCCACCAGTTTGATGAATTTTATGAGCCAATTGGAGCAATTAATTCATCTATTGGAGATGGATTTTGATAATGGATTAATTAGATTAACCCAAGAAACCTTTGCCTCCGGCGACACCTTTCTTGACACCAGCGGCTCCTGCAGCACCAGCGGCCTTCTTGAATCCAGCTGAACCAGCGGCTCCTGCCTTTCCTCCGGCTTTGAATCCAGCACCAGCAGCGAATCCTTTCTTGCCTCCCTTAGCGCCCTTCTTGAATCCTGCAGCACCAGCGGCACCAGCGAAACCACCCTTAGCAGCCTTACCACCCATGGCTCCACCAGCAGCACCGAAACCAGCGGCCTTTCCGAATTTGAATCCTTGGCTAACTCCGAACTTCTTGATTACTCCGATTTTCTTGTTGTATCCAGCACCTCCAGCTTTCACGAATCCTCCTTTCTTTCCGAATTTCTTACCGAATGCACCAGCGGCAAATCCTTTCTTAACAGCGGCTCCTTTCTTGCCTGAATTATTCGAGAGAGAAATAATTTCCCCACCATGAGATTCAGCATTAATGACTGTTACCAATTAAGTTGTAACATTTACTTACCTCCAGCGGCTCCAGCAGCACCGAAAGCGGCAGCACCCTTTTTACCAGCAGCTCCGGCTTTGAATCCAGCTTTGCCTGAAGAATTGAAATATTTTCATATCAGTTGATATTCAACTATGGGTGAACTTTACCAAAGTCCATGGGATTTTGATGAGTATCACTTACCAGCTTTTCCAGCTTTGAAACCTGCAGCAGCGGCTCCTTTTTTACCTCCCTTGTGAGCGACAACACCAGCACCTCCTTTACCGCCATAACCTGTTTCAGCTTCTTCTAAATCTGAGCCGATCTCTCTCTTGGCTCGAGTCTCGACACCTTCTTCAGCTTCCTCATCCTCAAAATTATCTTCAGCATCTTCTAATTCATTAGGATCAGCTTCTGATTGACAATTACCAAAGCTTATGAGAACCATTGAGAAAATGGCTAAAAGGAAAACCTATTGTAACAATTAACAATCATTGATTGAGAAAAACCAACAATCAAATTAACGGAGAGAAAATAAATAAAAGAAAAAAACATTAAATCCAATGGGAAATTAACAAAAACATTTAAATTGTAATGAAAATTGATTTCTCACCAATCGCATATTCATTTTGGGCTAAAGATTTGTCGCTATTAACGTTGCACAATTAATGAAAAATGGTGAACAATTTAATCCAATTAATGATTTAGATTTGGAAAACACAAAGAAAAAAGTTACTAAAAACTTTCTAATAAAAGTTTAGTTGATTGTTAACTCTGAATTGTCAACGATTGAACTGATACTTAATCGTAATCCAAGATTAACTATTTATACTAAAATTGAAGTTTTTAGACTCAATCATTTCCCGTCGTTGGTGTTCAGGTGAAAAAGGTGTGACCTTAGGTAGACCAGTTAAGCCGCCGTTGGTTTCGACACAAAAGGATAACCCGCTGGAGAAGGAAAAAAATTAGAAAGAGAAAAAGAAAGAGTAAAAGAGGGAGTTAAGGAGGAGGAAGTATGGATTTACGAGTTTTCGAGTGACAAAATTCGTTCACGAAGAAAAAAAAAGAGAGAAAAATATTCGAAAGTAAAAAATTTCGAACACAAAAACGACAATGATCTTGAATTAAGGTCCAGTGCACTTGGACGATTTTACGGACTTTCCCCCTTTGTATTTACTCTGTCGTCCATTTTTACTTCAATTGTTGCTTCGATTTTTTTTCTACTGACACTTTTTCTGTATCTATGACCATCGGGATAAACCGAACTCAATCTCGAACTGACCTTCGATCATTAATCTAATCGATGACTCTGTTAATTGCTGCTCGATCACTGGTTTGACAAAAAATTCACATTGTAATTTAATTTACGGCTCTTTAACCATCATCTTGATCGTTGAGTGATTTAATTGAATGCTATCAATGGAGTGGCTTTTAAAGCTGATTACTTTGTATTAAAAAATGGGTTTTCATTTAATTGTTACAAACACTTGATACTTTTTATTTACGTTCAATTGTTTTGATAGCAATTAAACTTTTGATTTTGATTATAATCCCGATCAGTTTTTTGATGTTTACTTTTTTTGTATAAACTTAGTAAGTTTTTTTTCATTCACAATTAAAAGACAAATATAAACAAATGAAGGACACAATTAGACCCAAGGCAATTAAAACGATAAACAACTGACCATTAGTTGATTCTTACGTGATTAAAGACGTGATGTCTTTTTAATTATCGTTGAAACCATCGATTGTAATCAATGAATAAACTTTCAAAATTGAATTTAATCATTGGCATATTAGCAATCAACTTGCCAGTGATTAGTAACAAATCAAGATTTAATTGTTGATTGCAAGACCATTGGCCTGACAAAATCAAATTCCCAATCGTTTTTTACCCTTTGATTGCCCTAAAGTGATCAGTTAATTAGTTTGATTTCATCGAAATATTAAAATACAAATGTACCGAAATCAAGTTTCAATACTAATCAATCAATTCCCAAACAATCAAATCATCAATAGTTAATAATTCAAACAATTAAACAAGAACTTGGATTGGGAACAAAGGGAAGAACATTGTCCTAAACGGAATCGAATACAATTAACTAATTGTTGTGCATCAAAATCAGCTGATTTTCATATTTATAACAACACCCAAATAGAAATGATTTAAATTGTTACCGTTTAATTGTTGACAAAATGTCTCAACTTATTTAACTGAAACGTAGTGAAAATTGACCGGAAGGCATTTAGTTTTATGAATTGTGATTAAATGATAACTTGACTTGTAAACGACAATAAAATTATTCAATTACAATTAACAACAACAACAACATGAAAACGAGTTTACAATTAATTAATCATTACCATTAGTTGATTGAAGAAGAAAAAAATCTAATTTAAAGACGAGCCTTTGAAATTGATTGTTAGGTTTGATTGCAAGGAAGAAACTTATCAATATCTAAACGTTGATTAGTATTCTTGAAATAATAATAATAATTAGTTGATAACAGAATTAAATTTGATTACTAAGATTCCATGTAATCAACGTCATGGATTTTCCCTGAGTTCTTGATGAAATATATCATGGAAATTTTTTCTTCTTCATCATCTTCTCCAATGAAGAGTTCATTTTCTGTTTCAGGGAAAAAAAATATTAATATACATTCAGTTCAATCATTGATTCTTAACTGTTGGAAACTTGTTTTCACTAAATCACTTTCTCTTTTCTCACTCAAAAACGATAATTAAGTTAATTAATCTTCTTACAAGATCATGATGATCATCATCAGAATTGGAATGATATTAAATAGAAACTCATTTCAAGTATAAACATTGACCAGTTCAGGTTAACTTTTTTATTTTTGTTTCTCCTCAAATTGTAACATCAACAATCAACATCGAATTAGTATAATTTGATTAAGCCGATTGTATCAATTTCTCACCTTAATTGTTACGACTATTTAGCTAATCATGGTTTCAAATACATTAAAATGTAAGCCCTTTAACTGTTAAGCTCGTTAAACATTGATAACTAATATTTATCCATTTCTTTTTCCAATTGATAATCAATTGTTTCCTGTGTATTTGTCCATTTGGATTAGTTTTTATTTTCTTGACCATTGGATTTATATTGATAACCGTTAATCCTTGTGATGGTCAACGACGAGCACGAAAATTACCTGAGTGCCATTGGCAAGGGATGGACGATTGTATCAAACCTTTGTTTTACTTTAGCCATCGGCCCAATACAACCGGACTTGCCCTTAATCGTAGGGAACATGCATTACTTTGCAGGTAAGTTAATTATCTGATTGTTAATCTAATAGAATGGTCAACAATTAAGCTCGTAATCATTTCAACTTTTACCCCAATCGGCTAAAATGGTCAATCTTAATCATATCATTTTGCAAATCAAATTGGAAACACTTTCATTTTAAATTATTCACTTTAACCTTGATCTTTATATAAATAATTTACAGTTAAGATTATTAATTAATCATCTTCTTGTTTTAATTAAAATCAATCTGTAAAATCAAACAGTTAATAATCAACAAATTGTTGTTTTCAGGTCAAATTGTCATTTTAAATTTCCTTCAATATCAAAATTATTTTGACGCTGTTTTCACTTGATTTACCAAATGATTAAGATTACCTGTTGTAATCAAGTAATTTAAACAAACAATTTAAATATATGGATGATCTAGTTTACTAATTGTTAATTTTTCTCTTTTTCCTCTTTCTCCTTTAATTAGAACAATTAAAAATGTAACTGATTGTGTTCAAACCTTTTTCACCCAATGTGGAACCGCTTTGTCACAGGAAATGTTTGTTCTGGTCAATGAGGTTTATGTTAATAATGTCAAACCATTTTGTCGTAATGGAGACACAAAGAACAGTGAGTGACCTTAATTACAATTAACTTAATCATCGCGATGATTTGTTGATCAAATCCTTAGGATTAACTAGTTACTAATCTAATTGAATGGGACAATTTCATTGAAAAGTTTTGCAAAAACCTTGAAAATCACTTGACCGATCAAACTTTATGAATTAATTAATCATCCAAGTAATTAACAGTTGATTGATTAGTTGAATATAAACTGTCTTAGTCTTTGTAATTTATTAATAGTTGAGTTAATTGTAAATTTTTCATTTCCTCTATTGTTGCGTTAATTGAGTTAATTGTTTTGATTATAAATTGCTTTAATTACAAAAATTTCCTGTTCAATTGATTTAAATTGGTATAATAATTAGAAGGGCAAATGAATTATAATTAACTTTCTCATAATAATTGATACATAAATTAACAAATTATATTTTCGTTTTACTATTATTACCCAATCAATAAATTGATTTAACTCGGAAATTTTAATTGTTGCCAAATGATAGTGATAATTAATAGTCAACATAATGTTTATATTAGATTTTAAATTGATATTAGTTACAAACTTTTTCATTAACATGATTTTTAATTACTGTTGGTGATTTGTTGCCAAAATGATTAACCAACCATGATTAACTAAATCAGCTTTTGACCTTTGTTTAATCACAATTTACCATGAAAAATTAACCGAGGACAATTAGTTAATCACGAAGAGAGAGAGAGAGAGAGAGAGAGAGAGAGAGAGAGAGAGAGAGAGAGAGAGAGGAATAATTTAATTAATCCCAACTTTTGGTATATTTTAAATTGTTGAACATAAAAAACTGTTGACAATTAGTTGACACTTAATCGGATATAAGCAAATCAATTGATTGTAAACAATTGACAAACAAAATGAGCGTTAGGAAAATGTTTGCCCGTTACATTGTGTCCAGTTTGTGTCCACTACTTGACCAAGGATTCAAATGAAATTCAAGGAAACGGTAAACATTAAATTGTCATTTTCAAGGTTTCAAAATTTCCAGGAAATTGTGTGTAAATATTTATATAGAACTTGAGTCAACAATTGAATAGACTTTTCCAGGTCCTAATTATGATTAAAACTAATGGACATGTTATAATAAACTACCTGATTCTTAATTAGATTACCTGGAACATGCAAGGTGCATAAATGATGTCCAATTGGCTCAACCCTTTAAACGCAAATGTGTCGCTAAATTTCAGTCCACATTAGAGTCAATGGAAGAGCAAGTTGATTACTCAAATCGAGTTGGATTAGCCTGTTGTGGTTATCGAACTTGGATCGAATGTTCTAAAGAGTAAGTTCTGACTAAGTTAAATGGAAATTCGCACCAAACTAAACTCATAACTCTTTCTTTGTTTCTTTTCATCTTAATGTCCAGTATGGTCAAAGAACAGTGTCAACCAGGTGAAAATGCTTCTCAAGCTTTTCTCGACTATTTCAATGCTTTCACCGGAGGTAAATTACAATTAATAAATTCATTGATTATCTTTTGAATTATAATTAAACTCTCTCTCTCTCTCTCTTCCATAGGTGTACCTCAATATGTTTGTCAACCAAAGAAATACGATCCCGAGTCCAAATTTTGTCGAAAAGTTTTACCTTCAGTTAAGCGTCGACCCAAAGGTCGTAATAGCGACAACGTTTTCTCAAAATATTTTTCCCTCTTCTATCCAAATATTGGCTTCTAATTGATTGATAATCTTAGAAATCTAATCAAACTTAACCAATTTTAATAAATTCTTATATTAATTGTTGTTCAAAGACAATTTGAATCTCAATTTTTTCCCTCGTGTCTTTGTTATCATTAAATTACTTTTACTTCAAATTTAGTATCAACTTATTTATCGAGCAACTTGAAAAGTAAATAAACTTTCGAGCATTTAAAAAGTACTTTATATTTTATTTAGATACAATCTAATAGCGTTTTAATAACATTTTCTGATACATTTAATGGGTCAACGAGCTTGGACCTTGGTCATCGTATCTCTGGTATTTACTATAACTTTAGTTATAAAAGTGCTGGACATCATTGAATCGTCTTCATTTTACTCGCGAACATCATAAAGTTAATTTTAAGTTTTAAACTTTAATTAAACGTGACTAATTGTTTCTAATTATTGTTAATTGTTACACTAATCGAATTTACAATTTTTAAAAATGACTTCAATAAGTAAACCGATCACCTTCGATGATCTAGAGAATGACATTCTCGATCTCATTTTAACTTACTTAAACGACTATCCAAATTTGGACAGTTGTAGAAACGGTAAGAATTAATTTCCATTTGGATTAAAATGCAACTTAACAATTATTATTATTATTTCAACTCTTGTGTTCCAACTTATATCAGTTTGTAAACGATGGGGAAGTGCAGTTAAAAGGCGAATGAAAAAATTCGAGTACGTTATTGGCGCTGATGAACTAAATAAATCGGAATTTCCTCTGAATACTTTGAGACTTGAGGTCAACCAGTGCCTCAAAAGATCTTGCTTAAGACGGATGTTCCTCAATCTAGACTCAGAGTATCTACCAAACGTAAAGGTAAAGTTTGAATTTACATGTTGACCATTCAATTGATACTGACCAATGGTAATTTTTCTTTATATTTTCAAACGTAAAGTTTGTTGACCTGTTTAATATACCGACCTATTCTTATGTTTATGGACGAAGTTTGAATCAGCAAGTGGCTAAAATAGGACCTCAATTACGAGGGTTTGTCGATACCATGAATAAAGACCACCCGACTGAAAGCTTTTGCGTTTACACTCGAAACCTTACGATTTATCAGGGTATTGATTTGGTTCCTTATATCTGTGAACCACAAGTAGGAAGGCAATTGAAACAATTATCAATATCGTTCGGAAAATTAAGTCTATTCTTGGACAATACTTCATCTTTTCGTAATCTGGAAAGACTTTATTTCAAAGCTACTTCAGGTAAAATTTTGTTTCCTTTTTTCATTTCGAATTTTCTAAAAGACCATTCATCATGTCCACTTTGATTTCGACACTAGGTTGGGTTTCTGATTGTAAAGGCAAGGCCGAACTGACCAATCTGAAAGTTCTGGTGTTTACTGAAATCCAGCCGATCAGTCCAGCGGTTGCACGTTATCTTGAAAAATCGGTTGCGTTGGACTTTCTGGACTTGTGTCCTAACCTTGTTGAAGCTAAGATCCGTTTTCCTGCAAGTGTTAGGGGTTTCGTTGTTAATGAGAACATCAAAAACTACAACCTGAAAGATTTGACTATCGACTACTGGGTTAGTATCCTTTTATTTTCTCAATCATTTTTGATTCAATTAATTGTTATTGATTTCATCTTTTGAAATTAGACTGAATGTATTCAACCGTGGGACACGATTCGAAAAACGTTGATCAAGTTTCCTTGCTTGAAACGATTGGCAATTCGAAATAATTTTGAAATCGTTGACGAGAATGTCGCAGAGATTTTCGAGCTTTTGCCAGAACTCGACGTGTTGGATCTCCGAAATGCGGTAAGGCTCAGCTGGAAGGTTGACTACGTCGTCAACGAATGTTGCAGAAAACGTAACAGGTACATTGAATTCATTGGAAAGAGGGACTTTGGCGACCGATATGATGTCGATGTTTTTAACAAGAAGCTATATCGAAGTTTAGTTAAAGGTGAAATTGGAGACGATCACTTTTTCGTACCCTATCTTTACGATCCATATCTACTTAGAACCAAGGAATTTGACTCTCTATCACGTGTCGCAGGCGCTGCTAATGGCCTACAATTCCATCAAGAAAAAGGATGGATTCCGGTCGATGAAAACAGCAAGAAAAAAAAAGAAGATGAGGAATATCATTCGCTTAAATTTTGTGAATAAAACAAAGTTGTCGCCGATTTTGTGAGAAAAACTTGACCAGAATAAACAATTGTTTGGATTTTATGAAATATTTTACAAAATAAACATTTTCAGATTTAATATCAATATAAATTATGATTGTCCATTTTTTTTATTAATTTAAAATAAAAACTTTTTGGTTACTTAGTTTGCAACTGGATAATCCCATGGGTAAAAAATGATTATAACGGATTGAGGTAAAGGATTAGTGATGAAAATTGATTCTATGATGTAGTTGATCCACTTGAATCATTTAAATTAGGAGCAGTTAATAGCTTTTCAAAGGTTTCCATCGGTGATAATTTAATTGAATTCTGATTGTCTTTATTATAAACGGTGTTGATTGCCTTTCCAAATTCGTCTAATTGTTTAAGAACTTTGTTCTAGATAAAGAGGGAGAGAGAAGGTCAATATCATTGAGAATTAATTTGGAAAGTCATCATTAGATTATTACCTTAATTGGATTGAATAGAATATTTTCCGTATCTGGATTAGCTAAATAGAGGGACATCGATTTACGAATCGATGAATTTGTTGTTTCCAAATGAAGATTCAGTTCCACTAGAAGTTTATTTAACTCTTCGACTGATGGTAAACTCGCAGAAGCGGCTGGAACTTTAATACATCGGCGGAGTAATTCAAGGTGAGGTTTAATTGTGCTCAATAAACTGTTAGCACTTTGATTGATAAACTTTTCACAAGTACTTTTGATCTCAGTGTCCACTATCCTTTGAGGGTCCAGAATGTGGTCGACAACTTGAGGTGCACCAGGAACTTCAAATAGAAATTGTAACAAGCCGTTATTACTTTTAAGGCTGAAAATATTTCTCCCATTATTGAATAAATTAAGTGCCGCTGTTTTAACTCGACTAAAATCAATTTCCACTTCTCGAACTATACATTCAATCCTAAATGGTGTTATCTGTTCTCGAACAATTAGTAAATGTTTAATTAGAAATAAACATCCATCGGAGAGACTCTTGTTTTTACTAATCTCTGAACCGGCTCGTTTTAATGATTCCAAACAACCGGCTACAACCTCTTGAGCTAATCGTTGGAAAGCCGATTTGTCCAACGATCGGTACAATTTTGCAAGGCACATTATTGTCCGTCTAACGGTTGGATACCACATCCCATGAATATCGGCTGGTGATCTTGAAGTATCTACCGAAAGATGAATCATTATAAGTGGCCAGTGAAATGTCCGAAAGAGTGGTTGATGTTATTGATGATAAAGAATCACTTCTAACCAAAGTTCCAGGAGGATTGGTTGATAAACACTCGGCGATACTTTCCATCATTTCCAATTTCTCTGGATAGGCAAGGTCACCAGGAGCTGGAACATATTCGACAAGATTCGTTTGTATATAAATAGCAGTTCGATAGACTAAACGTTCTTGGACATCTTGTAAAAGTGAATTAAGAGCTCGGCCAAATGAGAGCGTTTCATTTCCGAGAATTGATGTAAACTCTTCGCTTCCTTCGCTTCTCAGGATACAACAAAGTTCCGAAAGTGTTTCCAAATGATTTATATGGATCACTATGGGTCTAAGAACATCGTAAACATGGTGACATAAACTTTCAAGAAAATCGATTAAAAATTGTGAAGGTGAAGTAAAAAATTGATAAAACAATTGATGCTCATCTTTACAAATATGTACAAGCATACGACAGGTATTACGACTTAAGGTACAATAACTCCGACCACAAGTTGTAACTGTATCGTCAATTGCTGCCGTTAAAACGGGAACAATTAGCGATTCTCTTGCTTTGAAGTAAACTTGGTGACATTCATCAAGATATTGCTGGTAAATTGGATTAGTTTCAACTCTTTCCTCAATCATGGTAACCAATGATTTAATCCGATGACAGGATGCTTGAAATCTTCCATAGAAAAGTGTGAAAACGGAATCATTATCAGCCAAAATTTCACCCGATTCTGGCATCACCGATTTGGTAGCTGATTGAATTGAATTGATAGCATATTTTTTAATCGTTTCCAGGGCATTTGCTTGTAAGATTTTATATTGTCCAATATAATGTTCACTTTCCAAGTAATTTGGTTTGCAGGTAAGAAAATTGATACACTCATCAAGACGATTCAATGTTGGCATTAGAGATTCATTTAGAATCAAAACTGAAGATGAACCCAATCGTTTCTTCATCGTCTCCAATTCTTTGAAATAATCAAGTTTCTCATCGATTCCTTTAATGGTCAAGGATAAACTTTTCTCTTGTTGTAAAATATTTTCACACATCGAATGGACCGATGTTATTTTGCTCGCCTTTGATTCAAACATTTTCTTCAAATAATACAAATTATCCAGGAGACAATCAATTTGACCGGAAAGCGCTTGACAGGCTCCTAGATTATCCTGTAAACATTTGTATTTAATTTCATCTTCATTTTCCAATTGACTCTCAACTGAATCAAACCATCTCTCAATATCCCTTAAGCTATTAAAATGTCCAAGAGCATCAGTAAGAACATTCAAATGACCGGTGCCTTCAGATTCCAAATCTTTACCATTAGTATCTGGTGAACCTTTTCTATCCTTTAAAGATCCACCAACAGCTGATTCTTTTTTAACACCATTACAATTTGAATCATCATCATCACCATCATTTCCATTGTCTAATTGATTTGCTGTCAATTTTTCCAATTTAATTAGAATGGAAATTTGATCTTTTGACAATGGACACAGTTGAGAATCTTCACCTTCCCATAGATCATAAACACTTGAAGATATTGCTTCAACCATGGTAACAGATAACCAGGTATCACCCAGAGATTAAATGGAATCAAAATTTAACAAAATCAAAAGATTAACTAAGAAACAATTTAAAGAAACACAGAGATTAATTTCTAATTACATTTTTGTTTTTACATTTTCATTTGTATTTACATTTGAATCATTCGCTATAGTGGCGACATCTCTCGGCGGGAAAAGTAACTTTTGGTCTTTTAAATTTTAAAAGTTAATTTTTTGTGAGCTCGTTAACTTTTTTTAATATTAATTAATAGAGTTTTAATTTTTTTTTTGATACATTGATTGGCACAATGAATTACCAAGCTTCTGATTCCACTTTTGGTGAAATTGGTTTTCGTAAAATTTAAAATAAAGTTAGTAAAACATGTGATAATTTCATGGATATTGACGTAACAATTTATTCAGTTTATTCAGATAACATTATCGAGGTTAAAATAACAAATATTGTGGGAAAATCAATAGAAAGGGAAATCATTTGAATAAAACAAAGCACTTTAGTTGTATTTGTACCTTGATATAAGTGAGAGTTTTCAACAGTTTAAATTTAAAGAAAGACAATGAGTTTCAATTTTCGTGTGAATTTCAATTTTTTCCTGTCCATCATCATTTTCATGGGACTTGTATCATCTTTATCCTGTCAGTACCCTGGTAATGCCCCAGGCGGTTATCGTCTTGTAAGATATATTGGACGAAATGGTGGTTCTGTTTATGCAACTGGTCCTCTTCCTAATTTTGGTGGTTAATAGGATCAGCTTCTGATTGACAATTACCAAAGCTTATGAGAACCATTGAGGAAATGGCTAAAAGGAAAATGCTATTGTACCAATAGGCAATCAAATTAACGAAAAGAAAATAAAAGATCAACATTAAAAAAATCCAATGAAAATTAAGAAAAACATTTAAATTGTAATGAAAATTGATTGCTCACCAATCGCGTCAATTAGATTAACCCAAGAAACCTTTGCCTCCGGCGACACCTTTCTTGACACCAGCGGCTCCTGCAGCACCAGCGGCCTTCTTGAATCCAGCTGAACCAGCGGCTCCTGCCTTTCCTCCGGCTTTGAATCCAGCACCAGCAGCGAATCCTTTCTTGCCTCCCTTAGCGCCCTTCTTGAATCCTGCAGCACCAGCGGCACCAGCGAAACCACCCTTAGCAGCCTTACCACCCATGGCTCCACCAGCAGCACCGAAACCAGCGGCCTTTCCGAATTTGAATCCTTGGCTAACTCCGAACTTCTTGATTACTCCGATTTTCTTGTTGTATCCAGCACCTCCGGCTTTCACGAATCCTCCTTTCTTTCCGAATTTCTTACCGAATGCACCAGCGGCAAATCCTTTCTTAACAGCGGCTCCTTTCTTGCCTGAATTATTCGAGAGAGAAATAATTTCACCACCATGAGATTCAGCATTAATGATTGTCACCAATTAAGTTGTAGCATTTACTTACCTCCAGCGGCTCCAGCAGCACCGAAAGCGGCAGCACCCTTTTTACCAGCAGCTCCGGCTTTGAATCCAGCTTTGCCTGAAGAATTGAAATATTTTCATATCAGTTGATATTCAACTATGGGTGAACTTTACCAAAGTCCATGGGATTTTGATGAGTATCACTTACCAGCCTTTCCAGCTTTGAAACCTGCAGCGGCTCCTTTTTACCTCCCTTGTGAGCGACAACACCAGCACCTCCTTTACCGCCATAACCTGTTTCAGCTTCTTCTAAATCTGAGCCAATCTCTCTCTTGGCTCGAGTCTCGACACCTTCTTCAGCTTCCTCATCCTCAAAATTATCTTCAGCATCTTCTAATTCATTAGGATCAGCTTCTGATTGACAATTACCAAAGCTTATGAGAACCATTGAGAAAATAGCTAAAAGGAAAATGCTATTTTAACAATAGGCAATCAAATTAACGAAAAGAAAATAAAAGATCAACATTAAAAAATCCAATGAAAATTAAGAAAAACATTTAAATTGTAATGAAAATTGATTGCTCACCAATCGCGTCAATTAGATTAACCCAAGAAACCTTTGCCTCCGGCGACACCTTTCTTGACACCAGCGGCTCCTGCAGCACCAGCGGCCTTCTTGAATCCAGCTGAACCAGCGGCTCCTGCCTTTCCTCCGGCTTTGAATCCAGCACCAGCAGCGAATCCTTTCTTGCCTCCCTTAGCGCCCTTCTTGAATCCTGCAGCACCAGCGGCACCAGCGAAACCACCCTTAGCAGCCTTACCACCCATGGCTCCACCAGCAGCACCGAAACCAGCGGCCTTTCCGAATTTGAATCCTTGGCTAACTCCGAACTTCTTGATTACTCCGATTTTCTTGTTGTATCCAGCACCTCCGGCTTTCACGAATCCTCCTTTCTTTCCGAATTTCTTACCGAATGCACCAGCGGCGAATCCTTTCTTAACAGCGGCTCCTTTCTTGCCTGAATTATTCGAGAAATAATTTCACCACCATGAGATTCAGCATTAATGATTGTCACCAATTAAGTTGTAACATTTACTTACCTCCAGCGGCTCCAGCAGCACCGAAAGCGGCAGCACCCTTTTTACCAGCAGCTCCGGCTTTGAATCCAGCTTTGCCTGAAGAATTGAAATATTTTCATATCAGTTGATATTCAACTATGGGTGAACTTTACCAAAGTCCATGGGATTTTGATGAGTATCACTTACCAGCTTTTCCAGCTTTGAAACCTGCAGCAGCGGCTCCTTTTTTACCTCCCTTGTGAGCGACAACACCAGCACCTCCTTTACCGCCATAACCTGTTTCAGCTTCTTCTAAATCTGAGCCAATCTCTCTCTTGGCTCGAGTCTCGACACCTTCTTCAGCTTCCTCATCCTCAAAATTATCTTCAGCATCTTCTAATTCATTAGGATCAGCTTCTGATTGACAATTACCAAAGCTTATGAGAACCATTGAGAAAATGGCTAAAAGGAAAACCTATTGTAACAATTAACAATCATTGATTGAGAAAAACCAACAATCAAATTAACGGAGAGAAAATAAATAAAAGAAAAAAACATTAAATCCAATGGGAAATTAACAAAAACTTTTAAATTGTAATGAAAATTGATTTCTCACCAATCGCATATTCATTTTGGGCTAAAGATTTGTCGCTATTAACGTTGCACAATTAATGAAAAATGGTGAACAATTTAATCCAATTAATGATTTAGATTTGGAAAACACAAAGAAAAAAGTTACTAAAAACTTTCTAATAAAAGTTTAGTTGATTGTTAACTCTGAATTGTCAACGATTGAACTGATACTTAATCGTAATCCAAGATTAACTATTTATACTAAAATTGAAGTTTTTAGACTCAATCATTTCCCGTCGTTGGTGTTCAGGTGAAAAAGGTGTGACCTTAGGTAGACCAGTTAAGCCGCCGTTGATTTCGAAAGCAAAATTAGAAAGAGAAAGAGAAAAAGAAAGAGTAAAAGAGGGAGTGAAGTATGGATTTACGAGTTATTGAGTGACAAAATTTGTTCACGAAGAAAAAAAAGAGAGAAAAATATTCGAAAGTAAAAAATTTCGAACACAAAAACGACAATGATCTTGAATTAAGGTCCAGTGCACTTGGACGATTTTATGGACTTTCCCCCTTTGTATTTACTCTGTCGTCCATTTTCACTTCAATTGCTGTTTCGATTTTTCCACTCAGTTGTGTCGCCGTTGATTGCGACAACAAAAGGATAACCCGCTGGAGGAGGAAAAATATAGAAAGAGAAAAAGAAAGGAGCTGGTGGTTATGGTGGTGCTCTTCCTTTTCCTGTATTTTAATCACTGAAAATCTCGTTAAATAAACAAATCTTTTGATTTTCATTAATTAATAGTAACCTATTTCTAGATTATTATTTGACCTTAGAAAAAAATTTCAGAGAAAAATGTCGATAAATGGCTTTTTTATGGACAAAAGTTCGAACTCGAAAGTTAAATTTCCATACAAATCAATGTTAATTGCATTTTTTAATTATTTCGTTAGTTATTCGAACAATCGATCTGAATTTTTAACCGATGAACTAATTGCATAATAAGAAAAAAGATCAGATCAATTTATTGAAGAATTACCTCGAATCAGGCCAAATTCCTAAACTAATTGAATATTATTTTCAATAAAATCAACTTCGAAAGCTTAGCTTCTTAGCGCTGAGAATTTTATATTTGGCATTTGTATGGGCCATGTTACCGAAAATAAAAATACAAAATTTCATAAATTTATCTCGACTCTGAAAAGAATTAGATTCAAAAGAAGACGATTCCTAGACTAAGTGAATGTACTGAGGTTGACGTTACATTAGAATCTTCTAGTAACAATAATAATTGTATCGGGTGACCGAAAATGAGTGAGCATCTCACGAACCTTAAGTTCTGGACCCACGTTTCTATACATTTTAAGAAAGTAAATTTGACGCTGAGTCCAAAAATGTTCGGCTTTTTTTTCTAGGACGCACGGTTCTCGAGAAATCGAGTGGCCTGACAAAGCGAACGGTTGACTTTGGACTCAAAATTTTCGGTCAAAAGTTATTCTTTTTGACCTATTATCTCATATATCTAAGCTCATCATTATCTGAAGTAAGGTTATTGAGATCTAACATGGCCGAAATCAACGAAAATTGCTCTTTAACTTTCCCATTATAAATTTCTCATAGAGAAAATCGCGATTTTGGCCTTTAAATAAGAACCACAGTTGCACTTGAACTTCGAAAATTCTGAAAAAATTCACGATTTATATTTGATCGATGGCGCTTTCAATGGCGTTTGAAATTTTATTCTAGGACCTACCATTCTTGAGATGCTCACTCATTTTCGGTCACCCGATATTTCATTATCACAAACAATTATTACGATTCATGATTTTTCGCATGAAGATTGAACAAAAACCAGGCTACGTAGAGACACAGAGCAAATATCAACTGAAAGAGCTCAGAAATTTACACCAGCAAAAGGTAGAACCAATGTCATAGGTGGTTAGGGTCGAAAGTTATTAATATTAATTAATGAAAAAGAAGGAGCGTTAAATTGACCAAATAAAAATGTTAATTAGATTAATAAGAGAATTAGATCACGAGAGAAAAAGATATGAAATCACAATGAGCAAGATTGAAATAGGAAAAAAATATAAATGAAGACACAATATCAATTCTTATTTAATAATTTGCTGCAATTGTTTAAATAATGAAGGCATATACATGTAGAAGATTATGTTGAAGTGACATTTGCAGCTCTAGCTTCAGGTAAAGGTATCAATCATTGGTAATTTGGTAAAATGATTGGATTATTTGAGCTATCTGATATTTGCATCAACGCACTGAATACCTCCATTAAGACCTGAGTCAAAGCTTCTCTGGAACTTTCTCCAGGACTAGATAAAGCTATTGCGTTAGCAAGGTTACTTATAATATCGGGAAGTTTATCAATCTGACCATTTGATATGAGGCTGCTTATTGCTGTCGAAGTCCTAGAAGAAGCTTCAGGAGACGAAAGTCGTGAAATCGTTTTATTAACAGCAACACGAGGACTAGCTTGAACAACACGATTAGTAACATAACCACCTTGGTTATAATCACCAACACCAGCGGGAACAGCACCGAAACTACGTAAAGCATCATTAGAAGCGGCAACGTAGGCAGGACCACCAGTACCAATATTATGAGAGCCAACAGGAAAAGGAACAGCCCTGCTGGGACCGAAGTCAACATAACGGCCATCAGTATGATTACCATCATCAGGGTACTGAAAGGATAATGATGACATGAGTCCCATGAAAATGATAATGAATAGAAAAAAATTGAAATTCATTGTTTTTCTTTAAATTCAAACTGTTAAAAACTATCACTTATATCAAGGTACAAATTTAACTACTAGTAAAATGTTTTGTTTTATTCAAATGATTTTACCTTTGATGTGGTTTTCATTTATTTTGGCCTTGATAAAGTTACCTGAACAAACTGAGTAGATTGTTATGCTGAAAGGGAATCAATAATCAAAATAATTTGTTCATTTGATTTTGAGAGTAAACATTGTAAATTGTTCCAGTTAGATTTTTCCAAGTTGAATCGTTTTGACTTAAAAATACAAAACAATTTAACACAAACTGTGTATCTCAACAATAGCAATTAAGATTGATAAAGATTCCCAGAGACACGACCAAAGATGGAGATTAACTTGTATAACTGAAGTGAACATGATGATCGCTGGATCATCACTATTGACTCTCAATGAAGTTGTAGTTGATCCATCACTCGATGATAACAATTGATTTAAAGAGAATTTGTCAAATTCTAATGAAGTTAAATTGTCACCATCAATTTGAACCAATTTCTCAAGAGTTGGATTAGTTTTCCTATTCAATTTACTCGCTATGTTGGCGAAATCATTGACCACCGTTTGTTGGGAAGACTGACCAGGTACGAATAAAACTTTGGCCCCGACTTGGCAAGAGCATATTCAAGTTCGGGTTATTTGTAAACTGGAAAAGAAAGAGAAAAAGAAAGGAGCTGGTGGTTATGGTGGTGCTCTTTCTTTTCCTGTATTTTAATCACTGAAAATCTCGTTAAATAAACAAATCTTTTAATTTTCATAAATTGATCAATCAAGTTTTCCAGATCAGTTTAGGTCTATTGAAAAAAATGATTCGATTCAATTGATCTTTGATTTTCCAATCGAAACAGAAAATCTTGAAAAAAGGCTGATAGAGCTCTAAGAGTTATAATTCCATCACATTGAAAACTAATTATTAGTTATTCTTATTAATTAATAATTTGCTGCAATTTTTTAAATAATGAAGGCATATAGACGATTATACCGAAAGGAACTAGTTGATTACTAACCAATAGTATTTCCAGATTCATAGACAGATATTTGGTTGTTGGAGTTATGCTTGCGCTAGTTAATATATGCTCCAACTCACTGATTGCCTCCAATAAGACCAGGACCCAATCTTTACTGGAACTTTTTCAAGGACTAGATGAGGTTATCAAGCTAGTTAGGTTACTTATAGTAACGGGAAGAGTATTTATACTAATCTGACCATTTGATATGAGGCTGCTTATTGCTGATGAAGTCCTAGAAGAAGCTTCAGGTGACGAAAGTCCTGAAATCGCGTTATCAACAGCAACACGAGGACTAGCTTCAACAACACGATTAGTAACATAACCCACTTGACCAACACTATTATCAACACCAGCGGGACCAGGGCTTGCATCAAAACCACCTAAATCGCCATTAAAAGGGCCAGCGTAGGTGGGACCACCAGTACCAATATTATGAGAACCAACAGGAAAAGCCCTGCTGGGACCAAAGCCAACATAACGGTCATCATTATGATTACCATCATCAGGGTACTGAAAGGATAATGATGACATAAGTCCCATGAAAATGATGATGGACAGGAAAGAACTGAGATTCAAACGAAAATTTAAACTCATTGTTTTTCTTTAAATTGAAATTGTTGAAAACTATTACTTATTAATATATTAAGGTACAAGTTTAACTTTAGTGCTCTGTTTTACTCAAATCATTTTACCTTTGCTATGGTTTTCATTTATTTTGGCCTTGATAAAGTTACCTGAATAAACTGAGTAGATTGTTATGCTGAGAGGAAACCAAAATAATTTGTTTATTTGATTGTGAGTGTTGAAGATGCTTATTGTTTTGTTAATCATTTCACTAATTATCTAAATTAATCATTTGTTTACAATCCCTTTAATTTCATTGTCTCAATCATTCTTTTAACAATTTAATCATTGTTACAGTTTAACTCTTAGTTGATTACTAGGATAGTAGATTGTTAATTTACTAATTGATGCCAATTAGCTATTTGATCAACTTAATTATATTAACCCAAATTAATTAAAACTTTAACCTTCGCTTAATAAACATCAATAGTTTAAATTATAATATAGTGAAAGTAAACATTGTAAATTGTTCCAGTTAGATTTTTCCAAGTTGAATCGTTTTGACTTAAAAATACAAAACAATTTAACACAAACTGTGTATCTCAACAATAGCAATTAAGATTGATAAAGATTCCCAGAGACACGACCAAAGATGGAGATTAACTTGTATTACCGAAGTGAACATGATGATCGCTGGATCATCACTATTGACTCTCAATGAAGTTGTAGTTGATCCATCACTCGATGATAACAATTGATTTAAAGAGAATTTGTCAAATTCTAATGAAGTTAAATTGTCACCATCAATTTGAACCAATTTCTCAAGAGTTGGATTAGTTTTCCTATTCAATTTACTCGCTATGTTGGCGAAATCATTGACCACCGTTTGTTGGGAAGACTGACCAGGTACGAATAAAACTTTGGCCCCCGACTTGGCAAGAGCATATTCCAATTCAGGTAATTTGTAAACTGGATTAAGGGTACACAAAATTAATCCATAGCGAGCACAAGCCAATTGAATTAATATCCATTCATAACAATTTGATGACCACAAAGAGACAACATCACATCTTTGATCAACTTTTCTTTAACTTTCATTAATTAATCAACAGAGTTTGAATTTACTCTGGTCCCAATCTTTAAAGTATTGATACATTTATTAACTTAGTTCATTACTTATATTTAAAGAAATAATTGATTAGAATCATGCATAACTTTTACATCAATAACAATCGAATGGATCCCGTTTATTGAAATAAGTTAATCATTTCGAAGAAAGTCCAAATATTTCAATCGATTTCTCTGTCATCATGAATTTTTGAGCTTTTCCAGTTGGAGTTCGAGGAAATCTTCGACGAATAGTACATATTTAGGAACTTTGAAATAAGAAATCTGGAAAATATGAAAATACAAAATTTCTAATTAATAGTTAATTCTCTAATTGAAGATTTAATCTCTTAGATTTAGTCTCACCTTTTCTTTACAGAATTTTCTTATTTCATCGACCGTCAAATCTTTTGCACCCTCAGCGTCTTTCAGCTTAACCCAAGCACAAATTTCTTCCCCCATTCGCTCATCCGGAACACCACAAACCTGAAAGATAAAAATATTCAAATAATTCACTTATTAAATTTAGATTATCGATTATTAATCATTATGGATTAAGAAATACTGACAAATGCTTCAAGGACAGTGGATGTTGATGAAGTAACTCTTCAATCTCCTTTGGGTAAACATTTTCACCTCCACGAATGATCAATTCTTTGGCTCGTCCGACTAATCTTACATAACCATTTTCGTCCATTGTGGCGATATCACTGTTAACATCAAAGAGAGAAAGAGAGAGAGAGAGAGAGAAAAGATGTTGAATCTCCAGATTCTTATTTAAGGAGGGAAAACGACATGATAAACTAGAGGAAAGGGTTAAAGTTCAAAAATAGTAAAACTCAATTCGAACTATGATGATCTGCAAAAAAGTTCGAAAAACTAGATAACAATTTATACGAAAGAGAGTAATAAGAAATTGATGAGAACAGTGAGAAAAAGAAAATGAATCTCATGTTGATAATGATGATGATGATAGTGATAAGAATGATGATCAAGATGAGAATAAAAAATGTTCTTAAAAGAAATAGTAACTCGATAGATTTACAGAAAAAAAAACCTCATTATCTGTCACCAAAAGTGTCATTTTTCCCTTTGCCGTGTCAATGGAAATGAAACTTTTTTATTCAAAATCATGATCATCAAAGTGAATGGGATGATAAGCTCATAATCATCATCATCTTCACCAACAACACCATCCCAATCAACACAATTAACAAACAACAAAAAAACTATTTAGAAAGATAGAAATTGAGATACAATAGTCAATTTGAAAAATTCTTCCTCTGCCTTAATTCCCAATTCCTTACCCGGAGATGAACCAATTTGAATTTGTAATTGTTTCCTTTGTTTTCTCATCGTCTTTCCAATAGCCCAACATAACATGATGACCTCTAACATAAAGTTCACCTAAAGAAGATTTAATATTAAATTAAGAGTAATTATTGGACAATCGATCAATTTGATTTGATTTACCTTGTTCACCGATTTTGGTGATATTTCCAGTTTTTCGATCAACAATTTTAACCTCAGTCATTTCCAAAGGGGTGCCAACATTATCCTTAGTTACATCGGGTTTATCTCCACGGTGAGGCATCGTCATACATCCACCTCGAAGAGAGAGAGAGAGAGAAAGTAAAGTTTAATTAAAGCCGTTCAAGCAGCAATTAAATTTAGAATCAGTACCAGTTTCTGTGGATCCATAACGAATAAGGTAATTCTCAGTGTGAGGATTTACTTTCAAGAATCTATGAACAGTTTCAACGGTGGTTGGAGCTGAACCGGTGATCACGGCTACAATTAAAAATAGAAAATGGTGATTAGTTTGATTGTTCGAGGTCAATTTGAGACCAATACAAACTTTTAAGTGAAGGCATAGTGATGTTGTTTTTCTCTAGATAATTGATTAAATCAATCGTCATCGCTGGAACAATCATTGCATGGGAACAGTTATTTTCATTAATTGTCTCAACCAAACTCTTAACATTGTAACGATAACCAGAAAGAGTGATTGTGATTCCCATTCGGGCCATCATTGTGATCCCATAGACAAGACCGAAGATGTGGAAAAGAGGAACTGGAATAGCGGCAACAGTTCCTGGTTCATCAAGACCAAGTCTTCGAGCAGTTAATTGTGCATTGTTGATTAGATTACAATGTGATAATAAGGCTCCTTTAGGTTTACCGGTTGTTCCCTATGATTAGAAACATTGAAATGAAAAGTTGGTAATTGTATTCGGATTGATCTGTATTACCGAAGTGAACATGATGATCGCTGGATCATCACTATTGACTCTTAATGAAGTTGTAGTTGATCCATCACTCGATGATAACAATTGATTTAAAGGGAATTTGTCAAATTCTAATGAAGTTAAATTGTCTCCATCCATTTGAACCAATTTCTCAAGAGTTGGATTAGTTTTCCTATTCAATTTACTCGCTATGTTGGCGAAATCATTGACCACCGTTTGTTGGGAAGACTGACCAGGTACGAATAAAACTTTGGCCCCCGACTTGGCAAGAGCATATTCCAGTTCGGGTAATTTGTAAACTGGATTAAGGGTACACAAAATTAATCCATAGCGAGCACAAGCCAATTGAATTAATATCCATTCATAACAATTTGATGACCACAAAGAGACAACATCACCTTTAGTCAATCCAAGGACAGAATCAAATGAATCAACCAGTTGATTAACTTCCTTATTTAGATCACCAAATGATTTAACTATTTTCTGATGGCCACTAATTATCGCAGGTTGGGAATTACCTTTAAAAAGAGAAACCAAATCAAGTAAATTAATCTTATCATTAAGGTAAAGGAAAAGTAAACCTTAGGCTCTAATCAGCTGATCGCCAAAACCTTCACCGAGACCTTTAATTACTCACGTTGATCAGAACTTAATTGTAGAGCATCACCAATGGAATAATATTCTAGATTAGCTGGAGAAACACCATAAGCATATGAGTATGGGTGAAGAATGAAAGTTCTGGTTGAGAGAGAAAAGAAAATCAAAACAAAAACAAAGATCAAATTAGAAGAGAAATAAACAAATGAATAGAAATGAATTTGTAGACTTACGATGATTTGGATGAATTGAATCTTCGCTGGTTTGTTGATTGTGAGAAATTGGAATGACTAGAGGTCAATGGAATTGAATTAAATCTTGAATAGGAAATAAATCGTAAATTATTGCAAGAAATTAACTGTTTTGATAAAGAGAATCGGCTTAAAATCATCATGACTTTTTCTCCGTGAAAATTGAGACAATCAATTGGAGAGAGGAAAAGATGAACAAAACAAAGTCTTTGATTGCGGAGAATTAAAATTAAATGGATGAATCGATTGTCTTTTATATGAACGTGAAAAAGGTTAATTGATCAACTTTCTTATTCGTGTAATTAACTGAAGATTAATTTCATCAATTGGATGTAAATGGTAACAATCTTAACTTTCATTCTTTTCAAGGTCTTGTCTTCAGTTCGCTTGGAAATCACGTTGAAGGTTTTTTACCAATTCTATTTGTGATTAGATTGTAAAGATAATTAAGATTGACAATTAAAGAATAAATTGGTTTAGCCGAAGAAAATTGACATCATTTTTGAATGATTTTTTTTTCTACGAAAAAAATGTAATTTAATTCCAAAATGGCAAAATTTAAGTGTTGTGGTTACATGAATTGTAAAGTTCTAATAGAAATCTAATATCTTTGGACTAAGGAATTCTGGTTAGATGATGTACGGGGCTGATACTCAACTAGGTCAAACCAAATTATTCGGACCATTTACCTAAAATTTCATTTTCACGGAAAAGAAAATATTCTTTCGAGTTGAACTCTATCTTGTGTCCACCATATTCCGGGAGTAATACTTTGTCACCTTCTTTAACAGCGGTGGGAACAACTTTACCATCATCGGTCCTTGCACCAGGTCCAACAGCTACTACAGTGCCAGAATTTACTTTACCAGCAGCAGCTTCCGGGATCATGATTCCACCTTTGGTCTTCACCTCAGGTACAAATCTCTCAATCAACACTCGGTCAAATAGAGGAATTAATCGTTTTCCTAGACCAGCCTATGAGAAAAAGAAAAGCAAAAACCACAAAAAAAACACGTGAAAGAGAAAATTTAAAATCAAAAAAATTCCAAATAGAATTGAGAAAATCACAACAATCAACACACCACAAGGAACCAATGACCAAAGGTAACAATTAACTTACCATAATTGAATGAAAAAAGATTGAGTATCGCAAAACAATTAAGATTAATTGACAATCAAATTAACTGTAACTTCACCGGTTTAAATATGAACCATGCTGCAGATCACCAAATCTACTAGAATGTTCCGATAGGTGGAAACAGAGAAAATCAAAAATTCTGAGCGCGAATTTCAAATGTGAACCAGAAAAATTTGCAATTCGATTGATAAAAATTCCTTTATTAATCAATTCTCAAAACTAAACCGATCGATGATGAATCAAAAATAAATTGAGACTGAAATTCCAATTTTTATTCAAAAAAATTCATGACCAATTAAATAATCGAAAGAAACATTTAATGTGATTGTAATTTTTTCGTCCATTTTATTATTTATCATTTGGTTCTTGAAATCGATTGATTTTTTTTTTGACTTTTCTCGAAATCAAATACAGGGAAACATTCAAATTCAGTATTTTAATCACATGAATTTTATATTCTTTTAAAATAAATTACTCATTTAAGTGTTGAGCATCAATAGAAATGTATTACAAAGAAAATTGTATCGTTTGATTATTAGAAAAATAATTTACATTTAAATCGAGAACTAAATGTTCAAAGATGGACATTCGAATGTACTTGTTGATATTTTCTCGATATTCGTGGTGTTTAACTGCTTCAATCTTTGGTCCAAGTAAACAAATCATCTCGGTACAAAATAATCAAATATTTGGTCAACTGTTATTGAGACAATTAGTTAATCGAAATTAATTGTTGATATAAGTCAAGGCATCTAAATGGTTTCCAATTATAATTGTTCCTGGATGATTGATTGATTGATGTATGCAAATCGTATCAAGTTATATGTTCATAATTCCAGTAAATATGATCAGATGATCAATCGATATGCTAATTTATTAAATTAACGGTTAATTGTTACATCAAACTGGAGTCGCGATCCTTAAATCACTTGATGAAACCTTTCGTATCTGCATAGAGAAATAATCAATTATTAGATCTTATCAAGCATCAGTTAATTAAGTAAAATATACAAGATAATTTATCTTAATAATCTTCAACAATTAAAGAAATTAAATATTTACACCAAGACAATTGAAGAAAAATTCAATATTTGAGAAAAAGTTTTCGATTAACTTATTGATAATTAACATGGAAACTTGATTAAGATTGTAGAAGAAATTTTCTAATAAATCATTGACAATTAAAGAGATTAATTGTTTCTAATTGATACAACAGATATTGATTAACCTTCAACTGTAAATTTTGATTAAATTGTGAATTTTGGAAAAAAGGTAATTGATTCAAATGAAATTGAATCACAATTTAAATCATTGATTATCAGCCTTCTAATCATTGACCTTATTTTCCTTGTTACTTTTCTTGATCAACTAATCAACTAATCAATTGAAAGTTAACCTATTCAATGTAATCAACTTTGACTCTTGATACACAAAGACTAAAGTAATTGACACACCAAAGCAATTAAGTCTAGTTGATTTAATCTCAATTTGATTTCCAAGTAATTCCCATATCCAATCCAATACAATTTATAAATCATGTTAACATTACAATTGGCAGAAAGACAAATCAAATAAAATCCTTTAAATCCTAAGGCTTAACCAATCCAGGTATTGATTGGATTTCAATTCAACTCAATTAAACTTAAACTTGTAACAATTTAGTCTAATTGTTGACAAACATTTTCTTCAACAATTAAATCCACTGAAAAAGCTATCTGGACAATCAATTAATCACTAATTATAATAAGAAAAAAATCTTTGATAATTAATTAGAATCGGATAAAAAACTAATTCCAAATAAATTGTAACCATTTATTTTAAAGTAACAATCAACTAATCAAATTGATTTTGATACAATTTAAATAATTTTACCAATCATGAAAACCTTAATCAAAGATTTGATGATGAAATTATTTAAATCATCGCCAACAACAATCAACTGTAAACCTTAATCACACAACCATTAGAATCAAAATCAATTTAAAAGTAAATTTAGTTTCTAAATCAATAATAATAAAATGGTTCATTAAATTAACTTAGAATGACAATAAACAATTAAGAATATGAATGAAATTAAAGTGAATTACTTTTAATTCATTAATCATTTTTCATATTATCGTTGACGATGAAAACTATTAATTAATTATCGTAAAGATTTTTTTAACAATTAAATACTTACAATGATATCATGAGATCTGTAATTTGGTTTAACATTTTCAATTAACGGAGTTTCAATTGAAACTTCAGTCTCTGAACAACCATCAGCAATCAACTGATTGTTGGCTGTTCTTGTCATCATCATCATCTCCCCTGTTTCCGGTTCAATTGTTGTGGTCATCATTATCATCCCTTGATTGTTATTATTGTTATTGTTAATATTATTATTAAAGCTTGATGCTGACCGATTGTCCAGTTTATTATGATTATTATTATTTATATTTTCCTGGTGTTTACCCGTTGAATCAATTGTTAAATTGTTATGATTTAGATGATGTTGATTATTGGCTGATTGTTGGTTAGTGGTGCTTGTTAAATATTCAATTGTAGCATATTCAGTGGGTTCAAATTTCAATCTTCGGCGGGAAATTGTTCCTGAATTGTTGGTATTATTATTATTGTTTAGATGATTATTATTATTATTATTGGTTGAATTATTGAAATTGTTATTATTGTTATTGATATTATCACATTGATTATGATGATGATAATGATGATGATGATGATGGGATGAAAAAAGGGATAACTCTGCATAAGTAACATCGGTGTTGTTATTAACAGTGGGAGAGGTTGAAACAACTCCACCGGAGGAAGATATCATTTTATCCAATGGATCCTAAATATCATGGGAGATGGAAAAATAATAAAAAGTAATGGGTTAAGATGATGATCAACTTGATGATAAGGAAGAGGATGAGGAAGATATAAAAATAACGATCAGATTATTGGCTCAAGATATTGATGAATTTACCATATAAAAGTGGATGTTATTGGAAGAGGAGAGTGTGGTGTGTATGTGTGTGGCTTGGGAGGAGGTTGAAAAGTGATACAAAATGATACACTCATAAGAGGAAAGGGGAGAAAGAAAACAAATGGAAACGGAAATGATGAGTTTGGATAAAGATTAACAATATAATTTAGATGGTAAAGGTGAGGGATTTATTGATATCGGGTTAACATCATTGGATTGGGAATCATTCTGCTTGAATGCTCAAGAGTAATTTCCTGAGTGTATGAGTTCAGGATAAGAGAGAGGAAGAGGCAGAGAGAGAGAGAGAGAGAGAGAGAGAGAGAGAGAGACAGGGTGGATTTGAGAATCTTCAAGAAAAGGAAAGGAAAATAGATCGAAGAAGAGAAAAACAAATAAAACGAAAGAAAATGTTGCTTTTTTGAATTTCTTTTCTTTTTTTTAAGATCGAACATGAAAAAGTTCAAAGATCATGACTCGTCTTCTCAATTCAATGTCAGGGTTGAACAAAGATGATGTTGATAAAAACGATATGTCACCTTGTATGAAATCTTTGTTGAAATTGGTTTCATAAGGTTGATATTGAATCCAGAATCCATTGAATCGTATAGCTCCTTGTACTCTGATAAGGCGATTAAGATTAAACATCAAGCAATTAGATCACAAATACGAGCAAGTTAATCAATTGTTTAGTTAATTGGAGACAATCAGTAAGACAAAAAGAAACCATTTCAAGCAATTAACTTGGAAATTTCCTCAACAATTTAATTTTAAGCTGATTTTCGATATGTGTAGAAATTGAATTAAAGGTTAGCACCAATGGTTAGAACGTAAAAATTTATCTCTTCCGGGAGTTTCTTTTTCTACCTGATTGTAAGAATCTCTTTTAATTGTTAATTCGATATGTTATTAGATTAACAGCTTACTTTACATTCTAATGATGTTCCCCTTTCAAACTCATCGACTTTTCCGCCGCGTAAATACATTTGCACATTAACAGAATCATTCACAGGAGACACACTCTCGATTCTGAATATAAATATATAGATGAATGTGATAATATAATAAATTCACCATGAAGGTGAAAGAAAAAGGTGAATGACAAATTTAAGGGAAGGGGTCTATCTCCATGTAACCTAATATTCTGATGTTCTAATAAATGGAAAGAGAAGAAAAAAAGTTCCAACAACTTTTTTCTTCATCATTTTCAGCATTCTCAGCTTCTATCTACTCGTTTAATTAAGTTTTCTTAATAATATCATCTCTTTTTCTCATCAGCATTCATTTTGCTTTTATACTCTCATTCAGTCAATCAGAGTGGAAGAAAACAAAGAAGATAAGAAATAGAGAGCCAAAACCTTACCCACCTTTAATCATCCATTCATCTTTCACCCCCACAATTGTCAATAATTGAATATATTCTCAATTCTAATAAGCTTATCGATTAGATTTCATGATAAAACTCATTCAATTCTAATTAATTTCGTGCAACCGACTAACCTTTAAATGGATCCAGTGTATTTTCAATCTTATCAAAGTCACCAGATTTACCTTGATGATGATGATGAGCTGATGACTTGCCAACATTATCATCAACCATACAGCTGATTATCATTCAGGTTGATTATCGTCATATGAATCCATCATGAATTATGATGGAAAAGTAAAAGAAGAAAAATTATTCTCATTATTGTGAAAGAGAAGGAGTTATCATGGTGAACGAGAGAGAGAGAAAAAAAAATGATTCCCCTGGAAAATCATAGTCATTTTTATGTCATTATTATTAGAACTTTTGGATTCTGATTCAGAGGAATAGGGATGAAATGATTTTATCCTCATGGAAAAAGAAACCACAAAATCTCAGGGAAAAAAATCAGGCCAGTGATAGAAAAGAGGAGACAGAAAAATGAGAATTCAATTTGCAAATGAGAAAATCATTGAATACAGAATTTACTCAGGTTCTTTCATGGTAATAACTTTTAATGTCATTAAACCCACCGAGCAACAAAATTTTCACCCTGTTTACATATATACATGTACAATCACCACCATGATAATGATTATCATGCTAATCATGATTCTCAACCTGATCAAGTTTAATGATCCATAAATAGTTGCTTCCTATTTCGTTTTTCCATGTTATCGAATTTTGTAAATTCTTTTTTTTCTTCTTCTTCTCTCAAAAAGTTCTGACAAAAGTTTCAAGTTTATTAACATGAGCAAGAGAAAGGTAATGAAAAATATTCCATGTTTTTCCAAGCAATTCATTTAATCCATCGCCATCATGATCCTTCTCATGTTCTTGATTAAATTGTTCATTAAAATCAGTTCTTGTTAACTTACCTTGTTGAGCAAACAGATTTACCAGAATCATCTGAGTTTTAATCATGAAATTAGAAAGCGAGACAAGGAAAAAAAAGACAGAGTTTACGATTAGTATTAATTGTCTTGTAATGATCATCATCATTGGATGACAATCATCATGATAATTGATTCTGGTTAATGATGATTTATGTTCAAATTAATTCTAAATCCGTATAAATGTTGATAATTGAAATAAATTGTTATTTATTATCATGTATCCATGTCTCTCCCTCTCTCTCTCTCTCATACTCTCTTGAATAGACAGCATTTGATTAACTTATCATCTCATAATCATCATCATAAAGATGATTATCATCTGAGATTCGAGGATGATAAGTGTCATCATCAAATAATATTGACGTAAATAAATCATTGGTCAATTGGTCATTTCTCCTTCTTGTATCTCAAGAATAAATTGTTGTAATTCAATTAATGTGTAACAATTTAAGGTCTAAACATTTCAAATGGTCATCAATGGCTATTACCATTTAAAGTGGTCATTTTTGTTATTGTTGACCATTTTTAATCCAATGATAATGGAGATACAGTTTATTGTCCACTGTAAGTATATGTTATTGTTGTTACTTTTTAGACTATGTGTTCATCATAATTTGACCATGCTTGACCTGACCTTTAAGTGACAATTTCAATTTTCAATTCTTTAATAAAATACTGAGAGTTCATGAAAAAAAAAAGTTCTGGACTCTCAATTTTAAGATAACATGTGCCCACTGAATACCCTTTGAATGCCAATTCCCTCACGATTGGATAGTCACTTTCAAGACACTTTAACTGACGAATGATAAAAAAATCAGAGTTTCTGTTTTTTTCTTCTTTCAGCTTCTTTTCCTTATCTGAGCATTTTATCTCATCACCATCATCATCATCAGAATTTTCATCCTTCATCATATTCTTCCTCATCCTCATTGTCATCCTTTTATCTTCATCAAAATGAATTGACAAATCATTAAACTAGAAAGAGAAAGAGAAAGAGGAGAGAGAGAGAGAGGAAAAAGTCACCCTTACAAGATTAAGAAGGAACAAGAATTTTGTTCAATGTTTGTAATGGATTATCATGGCTTTTCAAATGACGATCATCATCATCATGCTTTCCCACTCCACCCATGATGTTCACTTAGAATGCTCTGAATTCCTAAGAGAAAGAGACTCAAAAAAAGATACTGAAAAAATGATGAGAATGAAGAAGCTGATAGAAGCAGAAAAGAACCAAAATATTATCAGAATTAGATTCAGGATCTTGCGCGAGAATATATCAACATGGGATGAAGATATGGTCTCTCTCTCTCTCTCTCTCTCTCTCTTTAAAGATTAAATCTATTGTATCAGAGAAGATAAAAAAATATTCGAACATGAAGAAAAAATAAGTAGGACAGAAAAAAAAACTCGATGATAAAGATAACTCGTTTTATTAGGGGATGGTTATTATCGTCATGAATTTTTATCACATCATGAACAGGGGTAAACCTCAGAGTCTGGGGTTGGTGGAGATGGAGGTTGGCAAAAGTTTCATCAGTTGATGTTAATGGTGATTGAAAATGATTCAATGAAACTGAATCACAAGAATCAACTTTTTCAACAACAGGGTAACCTTATTTTTCAGAACCAATGAAACCTCATCATCATCATCATGATGAACAAAATGGAAACAGGGTAAAAAAAAGTGGGAGAGATAACAAATTCTCATCATTAATCTGTCTGTAAAGAGTCAATGATGGAAATGGTTTCATGTTGGTAACACTGAATTCTAGGATAATAGAACTGAACAAAAAAAAAGAAAAAGAATTGAATTTTACCATTTAAAAGATTGGAAAATTTTTTGCTTCTTTTTTTTCAGAAAATACTCTTTAGAAGGTGTTGCTCTATGCTGAAGGGTATTCATGGATTCTCAAAGTTATCATGAATTCTGGGATTCAGTTGGAAATGTTTAAATAACAATAAACATAATCATCATGAAGGTAAATGGATAATTGAACATCATTATCTTTGCTCAATTAATTGTCTACAGTTAACAGCAATTTACACACAACATTTACTATTCAAACATTTACCCAACTCATCATCATGATAATCATGATAATCATCATCATCAGCATCATAATAATTATCAAACATTAGCATAATTATATCAGAATTAACTCTTGTCTTAATACATTCAAATAACTTCCAGTTCCTTGATAACATGATAACTATCATCATGTAGATGATAATCATTTCCATGAGACTTTTTTTTTCACCAAAACTGAATGTTCATAATTTGAGCCAACAAATGTTGGAGAAAAAAAAAGTTCTGTCACAATATTGAGATGAAAAACAATAGAAACCAATCAAGATAATTATCTTTATCATTACCATGAAAAACCATCATGAAGATGTCATTAGGATGCTAGAGGAATAATCTTCAAGCTGAGAATTACGATAATAATAATTACGATTGAATATTATTGAAATTTTTCCATGAAAAGAGAAAATGAAAAAAAAAGTTCATCAACAATAAGAAACATTATTTTCTTCATGATAATAACTGAATTAATCTCATGGTGATGATGATGATTGGTCAAAGTGAAAAAAAATAATGAGTGAATGAATGAATATATGAAAATGAATGAATCCAATTTATATAATAATCTAAAGACAAAAATGAATAAAAAACTAATAACCATGATAATCTTGGTGATAGTATCATGAATCATAATGAAGATAATTATTCATTCATATAATTATTATTCATAAGGGATAGTGGATATTATTTTCTACTATTCAAAGTAGGTTGAAAAATAATTTTCCGCCGGTGGAAATTAATTCTTGAAACATAAGTCACAAGTCAAAAAGTTAATAACATTTACACGATGTTGGTGATGACCCATGAAGAAAATCATCAAAAATGGACACTTCATATTGGTCAGTTGAAGGAAAACAAAATCGAAAAGTTAAAAATAATTTTCTCTTCTTCTTTTGATAATGATGATGTTCCATCGTCCGAATTTGATGAGAAAAGTTCTATTAAATTTGGAATAAAATGAATTGAAAGTTTTCCAAATTGAGACTTAAACTGTTGCTATAAATTTCAGTTGAACATTTTTCGTTCCAACGAAGCGAAACTAATTGTTTTAACATTTTCTATCTGATTAAAAACCTAAACCCATTTAATTGTAACATTAATTACAGTCTGTGGAAATTTAGTCAACCGAATTTCAATGAAAATCTTCCATGATAGTGAGAAATTTATCTGACTGAGAATCAAGATTATCTTTGCAAACTTTTTTTTCGAAAAAAACTCAAACATAATAAACATAATATTCCAAACATTCATATATAAATTTATCTCTTTCTCTCTGTTTACATTTTCGAAAAAGTTCAGAGAATCGTGAGTTCGACGAGAGAAAGAGAGAGAGAGAGAGAGAGTGCAAAAGAATATGATTATCTTCGTATGTACTTTTCGTTTATCTCAAAATTCATAATATTCACACTGAGAATAAGATAAAAATCTAATGAGATTATATCTCGATTTTGTAGAAAAAGTGAAAACAAAATGCAAATCATCATCATTAACATGATTGGTAGAATTTTCTTCCAACTATTGTTCTTTTTTCAGAGATAGAGAGATAAAGAGAAGCTTAGCTTTAGAATTCATAAACATCATGAGCATCATGAACTTTGTTCCCTCGAACTTGAATAATTTTCTTTCAAGTGCAAAAGTGTAAATTGCCTTTTACCGTAAACTTACCTTTACTAATTGAATTGTTATCTGAACGTATCTTGATACAAATCATAATTCCGAACATGATGAGTAAACTTGTTATTATAATTCCAATCAGAATTCCAATTATTGGCTGGAACGATGATTCTGTTGATTCTGTTTATCATTATCATGAGCCAACGTTTCCACCACCATGATAAATATGATGACATGATATTTGTAATCATGAGATATGTTGAATATCATGGTTAAGATGGCAATGTAACATGAAAGTGAAAAAAAAATTCGAGATGAGAAAAAAAAGCAAAGTTATTTATAGTTAATCAAAGGGAATCGTTGAGGCTTCTAACTCCCACTCCCTGTATTCCCACCTTCATCTTAATTTGTATTCTGAAAGGATCAACATGATAAAAATGAAGATAAAGTTACTGATGATGAAGATAAAGATAATAATGTTAACTGTTAGGACTAAATGAGCAAATAAAATGAAGCCATCAGGTGAAATCAAGATGAGGCTTTAACAATGTAATCAGTATGTTCAGTGATCAGGATGAAAATTATCATGTTACCAGATTCACAAGGGTGTTAACGTCATGTGCCTCGGATGTATAACAATTACAAGAACTATGGAAAAATCAGCGAAAAGAAAAAATTCTGATTCATAAAGACTGAATTCTAATGAGTCAATTTTACCTTTTCTAATGTAAAAACTGATTAAAGATCAGTTTTATTTACAATTCTCAGGGTTATGATTCATAGTCTTAGTGTCATATTTGAATTATTATTGGAATGAAAAAGATATTATCTTATGGTGAATTTCATCATTACCATGTCAAAGTTTCATGATTCAAGTTCCTAATGCGATAATATGAAATTCATGATACTTTTCTTGATGGAAATAAATGTTTTTAATGAGATAAAGAATTTGCACAAATTTCTTTTTCAAGTTCGATTCCAAAGTATTAGAACTTAAAGTGAATATCGAAAAGAAAATCATTTCGTTCACATGGTAATCTTTTTTTATTCCATCATGAGATGTTTTCTCTCTCTCTCTCTCTCTCTCTTTCTATCTCCTAGTTTCTTTCCTAATTCATGGCAAAATCGACTGAATTTATATTCAAAGGTTCGAGCTAAAAAAAGTTCTAAGAACTTTATTTAATCATTAAGGTTGAATGGTAACTGATTATCATTATTATTAACTTAACTTCATCGAATCATCATCAATCTTATAAAGATTCAGATTAAGCTTTATGAGAGAAAGGAGAGTAGAAGAAAAAGTTCTTATTCTCGAACTGATTTCATAAAATTCTTCAGGAATTTACAAGAAGAAAGTCATGATTAATATACTCATGGAAAAAGTTCGTATAATTCATGATAAGTGTTAAACTGTTGCTTCCTTTCAGTTAAAATCCAAGGTAAACAGATTATTTAGCTCATTGTCAATTCATTTCATGATAACTTTCAACATCGATTTAGAAATGAATACATTTCATGGAATTACAGAAGTTGAGTATTCAGAAATTGCAAAATTTATCCTCTGGTTATTGATGAGAAGATATCAGAAACAGACTAGGCAAGGATAAGATTTAGTAGGAAAAATCAATTCTGATAATATCTCATGACAGACTGACAAATGATTGAGGATGACAACTGAAAAGATAATCTTGAAATCGTTTAAATCTTGATTATCTGAATCATCAATTTCTGATCTTATTTTGTAATACTTTTTATCAAAATTGTAGAATTTCATTTCCCATCTAATATTCAATTCCCATGAGATTAGATCCAATACCATCTCAAGAAATCAGTCTATCTTTCGAGTACCAAAATTTCAAGGTCAACTAAAGTTGATGTAAGTATCAATCGTTTTCATTATTCTGATAACTTGCCTTGTTTTTTAGCCTCTTTTTGAGGTAAATTAAGTGTATAAGTGGTCAAGGAAACGGATGGACTTCGACCTTTCTTATTGCTACCATAGATGTTGAGAGTAAACCTCGTTGAACTGGGAAGGAATTGATATAAAATGAAGGCACTTGACTTGCGGTGGACCAATGGAGCTTTTGAATATCAGAATTATAAACTTCGAGGAAAAATATTTGAGTCAATCCACCGCTATCACCAGGTAAACATGAGACACTTAGGGAATCCAAAGTTTGGTTACGAATGGTACAATTGGTCACTGAATCAGGAGGACCTTTCAAATGAGAAGGAAGAAAATATTATATAAGATTAAAAATTTGTATCCCAAATTCATTCAATAGAAAAACATGATTCATGATAAATCTCCTGGAAAAACATTGTAGAAACAAATTGTAACTTCGACAAATGATAATAAATTTTGCCAGAATTCTCATGGTTCTGAACAATGAATAGGATAATAAATGGTTCTTCAAATACTTATCATGTTATCAATTGTTACCTTTCCATGTTTTTGGTTTCACAACTCTAGAACTTTTTGTTTTCTAACAATTCTCAGATTCATTCATGTAGTTATCACATTTTCAATCAGAAATCAATCAGTGAACCAGCAAATTCATTCAACGGAGAAAAAAAAAGTGAGAAAAAGTCGACAACTTTGTAATAATAATGTTCGAGCATAATAATAACATATATCATCGTCATGATTATAACACCAACCTGAGAAATTGAACCTTAGAATGATTTTTAGAACAAAAAAGTTCCAAAGACAAACTATAACTTAACTTTTTCTCATATCTGTTTACCTTTGATATTATTTTACCTTTCGCTTTGTTGCAAAACTTTCAGTCTATTAGGTGGTTCCTGAGATTTCATTTCAATTGTCACGAAACATCATGAAGATTGCAACATTATGTTCCAGTAAGAGTATTTCATCATTTCATGATAGCTCTCAATTCTGTTAATATCTTTCATGGTTCGAGAACTTTTTCTCTTTTTTTTTCTTTGTCCTTCTTATTACTAATTCGAGATTCATTTTGATCTCTTCATCTTTTGTCCTCTGTTAATACCTGATAAGTCCCGATTCATACAGTTGAACAATCATCTGTCCATCATGATAAACTAATCCTGTCAAAGCAATCCAATCAAGGATTTGTAATACAGATCATGTAGTATTCAGAGGTATGAGAGATCTGGATATGGATTCAGGGAGAAAGAATGAGAAATGAAATAACATATCGATTCAATAACAAGAATAACAGCAACTTCTATTAGATGTCTGGGGTTAGAAAAATTCAGCAAGTATATTGATATAAGAAAAAAATAATAGAAATAAACGAAACACGGAAATATTCAACTTATATAAATATGAAAAAAGTGAAAAATAAGTTTAGAAATCAAGATGGAAATAATCAATTCTAAATTAACTTTCACATTCTATTATTATCGAGTTGACTCCAGATCATGAATGGATCAATTTTTGCTACAAATTCAAATTTCCATCATTATGTTAAATTTGCAAATAAAATCAGAATTCAACAGAACCGCCGCAGGGATTGGAATCGCTTCTCATTCCCAATTGAATCATTATCTTTCCTAAGCGATCTACCTCCTTTATCCCATGCATATCAATGTATATCAAATTCATTGTTCCACCACCCAATCGGTCTCTCTCTCTCTCTCTCTTGTATGTTACATGACATTCATTTTCATGGTTGTGTCTTTTTCTGAGCCAAATGGATTAAATGGAGTAACAATTTAGATGGGGTGTGGTAAGAGAGCGTGACAATTCCCATGAGAAGATGGAAATTATGAAATAAACTATGAAAAAATATGGAACATGGAACAATCTTGCTCATTGAGAATAGAAAATTTTATCCCAAAGAATTTCCATCCATTATTATTTTCCATAAACTTCCCCTGTTTCTCCATTTTTATAATCATCATTATCATCATCAACTAAACTGTTCCTAAAGTAGAAGAAGCATTTATATATTGTTATCATTTTTATTGTTATCATCATCATCATCACAATTATTAATGTATTATCATCATTCTCATCTCATGAAAGTCATTGTCTCTCCATCTATTCATAAGAACATAATTTATATCCAACTCTGAGCAGGGAATTGAAACTTACACCAAAAGTGTGTATGTGTGACTCATTTGATTACAATTAACATGAACAACAATTTAACAATAGATTATCATGATTACAATCGACAACTCGTTCAGAATTTCAATCTATTCAAAGCCAAAGGAAATTAATTAATAATTTTTCCAAATGAAACAAATTCCCAAGTTTAATTTCTTCAATGAAAATCCATTAAATGTTCATTCAATTCTTTCGATAACAATTTCACCGTCTAGACATTTCCTAGAACTCATAGTTTCAGGGAGAAAAATATCAAATCGTATTGAAAGTAAATATCGTAAACTTTTTCCATCGAAAAAAAAAGTTATATTCAAATTCATCTTGAGATTACCTTTGAATTTGATACAAAGTTCGTGTTAAATTGTATCATGAAAGTTTCATTCAGATGAAAAGAAACATTTTTTTCAGAAACAACTCAAAATAATTTGGAAGTTCATGTAAAAACAACTCGGCAAAGCGATTAGAACTCAACAAAAAAAAAATACTTTCAGCAAAATGAAGCAAAAACTGTCTCAACAGCAACAACAATCAAATGAGGTGTCACTCAGATGGATTCACAAAAACTGTCAGAACTTTTTGTTTTCATGGTTATTATTATTATCATGAAGTTCTGGGGGATATTGTAAAAGTAATTGTTCAGGAGGATGATAAGAGAGGGATGAGAATGATGATAAGGAAAATAAATCCACTGGAAAAGATTGACATGAAAAAACAAGATGTCGACAAGATTAACGGGATAACCTTGTAATACAATCAACCAAAGGACAGATGATTAAATTGAAACAATTAGGTAAATAACCTTGTTAGTTTGTATCATTTATATTGTCCAGTATAATTGTCCAACCATCTAAATATATCAAAGCTTATTTATCATAACAATAAAAAAAAATCCATAGACATTGAGCAACATCAGTTCAATTGAATGCTCATAATAACCAAAGTTGAAGGTTAATCTAATTTTCATTTTCACCAAAGAAACAAAGACAAAGTCTATCATGGTTTTCATTGTCTACTCCATGAAATTATCAACTCACTCATGTCCTTGGACTTTGAATTAATTGTAACCAGAAATAGAAAATAATAACTAAGCTTATTGTCCAAATTTCATGATACTCAACATGTTCACAGTATTATATTATTTAGACTGAACATGCAATCCTATTTATAGCATTTCAATAGTTTCTTACAACATGAATTTCCATGAGCTGGACAATGTCCAGAAAAAAAAGTTGATTCTCTTTCTCTCTCTCTTTATTGCCAGTTACTTACTTGCTGGAATCACTTGATATGAACAAGGGTCAGTCTGGACACCCACTTTATTTGATCCCCAACAAAGTAGGACACCATAGGAGTTTTTATACTTTGGTACATAGGAAACTACGGAAAGACTTGAATTTGAGGTAAATGAACGTATCTCAACAGTTTCCAGGGTATTATTGAGCATCCAATTAAACTGAACATCATCTGGATCAGCATCAACTGAACAGCTTATATTGACCATCTCATTACGAGCTACACCAAATTTAACTTCCTGGAAAGGTTTACAAACAGGGGAAACTGAATATCATCAGATAGGAAAAGAGATAAATAAAAACATCAATAGTAATTAGAATCACAATTGACTTTTATAAGATGAGAAAATCAAATAAACAAACAATTTGAAACAATTTAGATGAAATCGCTTATTCTGAGAAGAGATTAATGTTATATATATTGAAAAGATTTCCAATCTTACAGAACTTTTCAGAACTTTTCTTCCTTTTATACTTTGATTAATGTTCAATATCTTGTGATAATAAATGATTGTTGATGTTCTTGTTTCATCATGAAAACGATAATAAAAAAAAGTTCATGAAAACAAAGGTAAATCCATGGAATTCAAACTTTAGAGGCTCGATTGTTACATAAAGAATATTATTTTATCCCGAGAAAAAAAAGGTCTAGTTACTTGAGAATTCAGGTTAATAGTGTAAAGAAAATTGAAAAAACGAAACTTAATCTTTCACAATAAAAGATGAAGTGAAAAAGGGATTAGTGAATCTGGAACGGGATTAAAGGGATATAATGATCAACTACTTTTCTCTAGTGAAACGATGATAATGGAAAACAATGGAGAGAAAATTTCGGAAAATCATTGGAATTCAATTTGACCAGAATTTTCTTTCACAAATATTTCAAGTCTTTTATATCTTCATCATCTCATGAGCCTATCATCATGACTTGAATTTCAGGTAAAGTCAATCGTTTTTATGAACTTTTATCGTTTTCTTTCATCTTCTTGTAACTTTAGTCTGTAAAAAAATTCTCTGAACAAAATGGTCAAGAGATTATTCTGAAAACTGATCAAAAGACAGAACTGTATCTTTTGTATGTTCCAATGAAAATTGAAACCGATAAGTTACCATGTAAAAGTGCATGATGGTAATATACTAAGCAGAGAGAAAATGGAAACAAGAAATTTTTGTTCTGGAAAAAAATTCAGAGGTAAAAACATCATGAAAAGTTAATAGGAAAACATGAAAAGTTCAATCGTAATATATTCAATTCAATTGATTGGTAAGCTTTTGCAGACAAAGCAATCAAAGAAACCATGTTAATAATTTACTTGATTGTTGTTTACAAAGAAACAATTTTCTTGAGCAATAAAAATCACATGGAAAATATCAGAGCAAAAAGAAATTGAATTTACAAAAAGTATTGAAATTCATCATGACTTATTCATTTACTTTTTACATGTAATAGATTCCAAAAGAACCGTTCGGGCAGTTGGTCAAGTTATCGATTTGAGTTCTCATGGAGATTGAAAATGGTATCCAGCGAATTTGAGGAAATTTTCCAAACAAATGTGTAGATTCCTCTGAAAGAGACTCAAGAACTTTTACTAATCAGAATCATGATGGAAAAAAAAAATTCCATAAAGTTGGTTATTCTCATCTCTTATTATCGACAAACGATTATGTGATGAGTGATAGAGAGTTTGTGTCATCAACATCTCAAGTATTTTCCCATTATCATCCACCACATCAACAAAGGTAAATGTCCATAAAAGAGATGATATTTTTTTGAAGATAAAAAATGATGACCATAGGAAGAAGAGAAGAAACAAAATTCTCTCAGGAGATTCAGGGTCCATGTATTATTTTTCTATCCAAGTGACAAGCTTGAGTGAACTTTAAGGGTTTAAGGAAATGTTACATTATCATCATCAAGTTTTCATCCCATTTTATCCTCTATTTTCAACTCAATTTCTTGAATATAACATTCGACTAACTTATCATCTTATTAATATAATAATCACCATGCAGATTATTATCATCTGAGATTTATGGAACTCCTTGTAACTAATCATTTCCATCTACTCGATTAATCAATGTATCAGCTGTTGTTTGGACATTTCACCAAGTTACCCCTTTAAATTGATTCCAAATTTTTCGCGGTAAATATCATTGGATTGTCTTTCGAGTGATTGATTAGTGCGATTCGATAGTTGAACGAGCGAAAACTTGATAAAACTCAAAATCATAGTAAATTACATGATAACTTTTGACTTATCATCTAATAAATAAAAACTTTTGTTTATCGAGAGGAAAATGAAATGCTCAATGTATCAATTTATATATTTACAATGTTCCAGGTCAAGAAGTGATCACTTGAAGAGAGGATGAACTCAAGATTAATATCAATTCAGTCTCATGCAGTAAATGATAGTTCATTTCATGGTGGAAAAGGATCTTAATGAAATATACATAAGATTTTAACTATTTATCGCTCACTCTCTAGCATTTACACAAGAGACTCATTGTCTTAAAGATTTCAAATGGGTCTCTTATCCTTACTATCATCATCATAATTAATCATGATTATTCATAATGAATTGAAACGTATTACCCTGAATTTAGATACAATATAAACAATAAGCTAAATGTTGCTCCATGTAAATCAGAATCTAAATCTTGAGGGAAAATCATCTTACAATAGTTTATTTTAATTTTTGAATTTCTCATGTTTATATATTTGTAAACATTATGATGGTGCATATGGAGTTAAATTGCCGATTTAAATAAACCTTTCAGTTCATAAATTCTGAGCAAAATGTTACAATGTGACATCTAAATTCTGTAAGAAAATTTGATTGGTACATAACCATGAATTCTGTTCACTTCTGTTTATTATTATCCATTTTCCCTCTCATTTTATTTCTTCCTCTCTCCATTTTCATTTTCTTTATCAAACCTTATATTCCTTTTAAGATGATCATCGTCATCAGAACTCTGGTGAACTAATCCCTAAGGCGATTCTGATCTATCATCATGATCGTTATATTATTCATAATACTCAATTCTTGCTTCATGTTTACAATCTTTCTCGTCATTTCATCAAAATCTTCTCTGTTCTATCCATTATCTTACTTAACTGTATTCTGAATTCTATCATGAAAAAAAGAGATATTCTTACCCATTTAACCAATTTCGACAATGAACACTTCCACTCTTCCATCTTACCTCTCACTTCCTTTTCCTTTTTCCTCTTCCAACACCTAAACTTATTCATCGGCAAAATTCATTACCTTGGGAAAAAGATGAGCACATGAAAATTTCAATGTTCTAATGAATTAAAATCTATAATAATGAAATAAATTTAAGGAATGATAAAAAAACGAGTAAAAGTTGAATGGAAAACAAAAAAAAAACTTGAAATCGAAATTTTTTCTCAATCAATCCCCTGAGGCGATTTAATAATTTCATAGCTAACAAGATGTTGAAACGATTTCATTCAACTTTCGTCATTATCATCAATAAATGATCAACAATAATCACTTATGGTTAAAGTTAATTGTATTTTCGTTATCATTGCAATCGTTTCACTCTTAGTAGGTCAACATGTTATAAACAACATTGATCTTCATCAATAATAACAAAGGTAAACAAGAGAGGGATAAATTTTAATTTGATTTATTTTATTTATGCTGAATCAATGTTTCTGTTATCCTTAATCATCATCATCATCATTCAATTTAAGTTGATCATTAATCAATTTGATTCTTGGTGATGTTTCATATACTATTTCTAAATTGTAATGATTCAGATTGACAATCAGAGAAAAAGGTTAAGAGAAACTGATATTTGAAGACGAAAAATTTATGATAAATATTGACTGAGTATTCACATCATGGTCAATAGGTGCAAGTTCATGGTAATTTAGACTAGGAGTGGGAAAAAAATTCTGAAAGTTCATTAATGAATTTGGATCATCAGACACAATGAGATTTTCCCATGTAAAAGTTAAAAGATTATGTTTATCTGGATGAGAATAAAAGTTTTTACAATGTAAACAAAATAAAAAAAGCTAAGACTCAATTAGATTGGTGGATTTTAGATGAGATTCAGATTAAGTTCATGGTGAAAAAAAAGAGTTGAAACTGAAAGCAGGGGAAAAAATCAATTCCAACTCAAACTCTTGCCATTCATTAATTGGTTACAATGAATTAATCAACTTGTCTTATCAAGTTGCTGGTAAATCTTAATTAACTCAATCAACAGAGGTGAATAAAAAAAACTAATGCAAAGTTCATCAAGATGAAATCCAGAGAAAAGTTCAATGCAACAGAATAACAATTGAACGAAAAATGGAAATATAAACTCTGATGGAAACAGTTCGAGAATTGACAGAATTTTCAAAGAAAAACATTCTAGATAAAATTCTGTCATGATGATATTTATGAAGAGAATGCTAGTGGTTAGAAATCAAACAGAATCGAAAGAGTTTCTTAACATTCTCCATGTAAGAACATTTTCTCAGAGAGAGAGAGAGAGAGAGATGATAATTATTGCATCTTTGGTGTCATCATGATGATAATTCATTGGTTTTTTACATAAAATTCTGACACAAACAAACACACTCCTCGTGTTGATTGATAATGTATATAAGATAAGTAACTCAAATTGACTTATTACACCTTAATTAACAACCTTTTTCCACTTCCTATTCCATCATATCCACTCCCTCTTTCCGTAAGGTAATAAATCATTAGCCTTGATTTTCATACCTTTTGTATGATATACAAATGATATGATTTTTTTACAACATGCAATCAATCAGAAAACATTAGCTCAATGGAAATTATTGAATTTACATGAACATGAGAAAATTTATCGAGATAAGTTATCATTTATTTAGCTAAGAAGAAAAGAATATTATTTTTTTTATATTCTATTCGTTTTTCACTCCAACTTATATGGTTTGATTTCATGAAATTTTTATACCGAAGTTAATGTAAAGGTAAGAGGAAGGAAAAAAGGTTTTCACCTTCAGTTCTCATGAGATTGAAACTCGGGGAACATTATTTAAGGTGAAAGACTAATTTTCATCAACCAAAGGCAAGGGAGAGAAAGGAGAGGAAGAGGGTGGGGTGGGTGAGACATGGAAAAGACAAAGATGTATGAAGGAAAAGTATACAAACATAGAAGAAAAAAGAAAAAGCAAAACAAGAGATTCTGATGAAGATAATGGTGGATGATAAAGGTAAACAATAGGATGGAAAAAGAAAACATCACAAC